ACATTAAAATGATGGCTATTCAGTGGCTACATCCTTAACTCGAACTAACCCAGCTATTCAATCATTTGTGATCCATGATTTCCTCAAATACTAACAATTATGGGGTGTTATACCCCTGATTTAGCATCCTCATAAACTGATAGAGACTAGTTAGATTTGAGTCCCTCGAAGAATAAGTAGGATTGTTCCTAATTAACCATGAGACAATGGTTACCTTCTGATTCTAATGGTTAGCGCCAAGACAAGCTTTTGATTTCAACAGTAGGCTACCACTATTATATGAGTAACACAACTGCTCCTCCTCCTATAGGTGAACTCCCACCTCAATGACCATGCCATGCATAAATTGCTAATTTACATGCCATTCAATGACATTAATCATATCACATCATAGTCACACAATTTTCTTTCTCCATCATACTTCACATGCCAAATATCACATATTCATCATTTTTACAATGACATGCTCTCAATCATCATCATTAATCACATATGTATAAGTATACAAATTGTTATGGACAATTTAACCTAAACAACATAATCCATCGCATTGCTAAAATTTGCATCAATAAGTCTTCATCACCCAACAAGTTCTAAATAATTTAATTTAATAAATAATTAATTAAAAAATAACTATACAAACTAAATTTTCCTTTAGTTACCTCAAATATTTGAGAGGTTAAATGTTCACCTCTCAATAAAAAATCTTCACAAGCCATACCAAAACTTGAATGGTGCATAGGATGATGATTTACAATTAATCATATTAATCATTATTAATATCATAATAAATACTCTTTCAACTTTTATTAATCAACACTTTAATTACCTAAAATTTCAATCTCTTGTACTTAAGCATAACCATTAGTTTTATTAACTTTCATTAACTTCATTTAACCTCTATTAACTTAAATAATCACTAATATAACACCCAACAATCTAAAATCATGCTTTAAAGGTCTAGGATTTGTCCAAAATAAAATACTTCAATAACTCCTCGTAGTCATATTTAGATTAATAGATTTAGACCTATAGCTTTAGATTCAAAAATCATCATTTTTCAACCTTAAATCTTATTTTCAAAAACGTGTAGAGAGAAGAAGAAGAGATAAAGAAGGCATATTTAGATGAAACTAAGCTCTAAACACTTTCAAAATGCCCAAAAGTTAGTGCTCTGGCAAAAAAAAATACTCACTTGGTTGCCCCCTCTTTGTTTCTGGTCTTACTCTTTGTTTTTGAACTAATTTCGCATTTAAAAAAAACTGGTTCAGGAAATTATGCTGGGTATAAATTTTATGCTGTAGCATAACGCATAATAGGCTAAAAATTTAATTTTTCTTTATAATTTGAATTTGAGTGATTCAATTCACTTTCAAATCCAATTCAAAGGCTAAAGCTAAATTCAATAGCCGTTTTTAATTATCCTCAAATCTAATTATATTTAAATTTACATAATCATCTTTTATTAGATTAATTAATTATGAAAATAAAAATTAAGATGTTACAATGGGCAATATGAAAATGTCAAGCAATTAGAGTTGGGAGACCTCGACTCCTTGGTCTCGACTAATCTCGATGTTCTTGGAATGATTATGATATGAAACATTGAAAGAGAAGAAGAGGCGGGAGAAGTAACAATATTTGGAGCCGTCCATTATTTTCGTTCTTACGTCATCTTTTTAAGAAGGGGTCTGAGTTTTTTTCATAATGAAAACGAAGAGGCTTCAATTCTAATTACTTGTAACCAATTTGTTAAAAAAAATTAAAAATTAAAAATTCATAATTTATCAATTTACTTTAATTTTTTTAGAATTGAATATTTTTATAATATATCAACCTGTTCTACCTTTTTAAGATTAAGATTTTGAATTTATCACTGTATATTTTTATCTTTAATGTTATTTTTACAAAAATTATAATTCAAAGTTTAATATTTTTCTTTAAAAAGGTTGAATTGGTCACAAATATATATGTGTGTGTGTATCATAAAATTCATATTCTTTTTTATCACATACATCTCAACTGGCTTCTGAATTATATTATTAAAATAAATTTTAATTCATTCAACTAATTTTTAAAAATTTTTAGCTTTTTATAATTGAATATTTTGAATTTTATAATTTAATTGTACCTTTTTAAAAATTAAGATTGTTTATTTATCAATGTTATTTATATTTATAATTCACTTTTTAAAAAATTTCATTTTAATTTTCATTTATTTCCTACAAATACTAAAATAGTCACAAAAATATATACAAAAAAATTCATGTTTATTTTTTTCATTATACATCTCAATTAGCTTTTAAATCAAATCATTCAAATAAATTTAAAATTTTTATAATTGCTTTTGAAAAAAAAATCCGAACATAAATCATATTAAAATTATATTTTTTTTTCTAACCTCATTTTTCTAATAACTTCAATTGACTGTAACATGAGTTGCTGATACTTTTAATTCAAACACACAGTAAATGCTAGACTATTTTTTTGGCCTAAAAATTCTAAACTGTTGAATTATTGATTTTATATTAGAAATATAAATATGTATAATTATTATAACTTTAATAACAACAACAACAATAATAATCAATTTACATTTTTCAAAATTTACAGTTGTTGTGAGACTGCCAAAATAAAAAAGCGACTGTTTTAATTAATCTACCGCCCATAAAATAATGGATGAGCACTTGCCCTCTTTGAACTATTGATTCTATAAAAAAAAATCTAAATCTGCATGATTGTAATCAATCAATTTATATTTTTTAAAACTGATAACTATTGGTATAACTTAATAATCAATAATATTTTCAAATTTTACAGCTGCAAGACTATCAAAATATAGAGAAAGAATAGAGTCAGGAATAAGAATCAGGTTTGAAGATTGAGCTTATAGGTCCTATTTAAATAAGGGTTTGGGCTTAAAAAATGATGATTTTTAAAGTAATCGGGTTTTTAGGCTCAGTCCTGATAAATTTTGAAAAAATAGGCTCAGGTCCAGGCAGCTATTCAACTCTTGTTATCTTTATTTTTTTACAATCTATGTAAAAAATAGTGCGTAAAGGAAAAACTAAAGCTTAAATTTTGCTAATTTTTGATCTCTTGACTTTTACTCTCTCAGCCTTTTCTGTTTGATCGAACCTCTCTCTCTTTTAGTTTGAAGACTAGAGATTTCATAATCACTCATCTGCTCTCTTGTCGGCTGTTGTTTATCTCTTCCTTACTCGTCATCTCTGGTCTTCGATTAGCCATTGGTGATCCCTGCCTTGTCTCTGATCTTTGCCTCACTCAGAGTCACTAAGTTCTCCCTTTTGCATTTGCTTGCCCTGTCGCTCTCACGTCTATTGCATCTGCTCTCCCTCATGCCTCTCATGATTTGCTTTTTACTTGTAGCTGTTGTCTTGTCATGGGTGTTAGGCGACCGATGCTTTGATCTTTAATTGTCTTAGATGGGTGTTCTGATTCTCACCAAGTTTAACTAAAGTAATTTTTTTAGCCAACTAGAATAATTACCTTGATTGATTTTATGTTCAATTCTAAAATATTCTAATTAAATTATAATATTATTTTTTGCAATCGGGCTCATGGGCTTCGTCTTGAGCCCTTTACATATGAGGATTGGACCTCAAGATTTGAAAAAATTTTAAAAAATTAGGTTTCAAAGCCTGAGCCCTTAAGAGCCGAGCTCACCCATTCTCCAACTCTAGAAAAAACACAATCTTTAATTTTTACAAATTTATTGGGGTTTGGTTTTAACCTTTGTAGTTTTTTCTTGTGTTTTTAACCCCAGTAATTTCAAAAAGATTGGGTGATTTTTTTAAATCCTTATAGTTTTCATTTTTCAATAGTTTTAGTTTCTATGGGGACTAAAAATATTGAAAAAAATTATAAAAATTAAAAGCAAAATCTGATAAAATTATAGAGACCGAACATTAGATTTTCCCAAATAAAAATGCCACTGTTTCAATTACCGTACCGTCCAATCAAAATTAAATACAAATAACGAAAACTTTAAATCAGTGCATTTGTAAATGTAATAAATTTATATCTTTCAAAAATTGACAGCTGTTATAACTTTGATTAATTAATCAATTTATATTTTCTAAAAATTTTCCAGCTGTAGCAAATTAATTTTAAAACCTTACTTTCCTGTGATTGATTTAATTAACTTGACCAGGTTAAATTCACCCTTAGTTCTCCTGTTGTTTTTGCCAACATAGTTCTGGGTCCGTTATCCATAAAAATAAATCTGGACCATTTAAATTAAATTTAAATGACCCAAATTTTTTTAATTTTAATTTTAATTTAAATTTATTAAAATAAAAAATTATAATTTTTATAAATAGGTTCATTATCAATCTAAATAGTATTGATTTAATTTAGGTGGTCTAATTTAATTATAACTTTTTAAATTGACTATCTATATATATTTTGGACAGTCCATATTCGATATGAAATGTGTATCTGCAAGGTCCAAATTTAAAGTTTTTATTTTTTATTTTGATGAATACAATATTAAAAAATAAAATATATTATATTTTAATTATAACTTTTAAAAAATATTTTTAAAAAATTATAAATTAAAATTTTTAAATCTGAACTATACAGAATACATCTGGATAGTCAATATATAAAAATATAATAATTTTAATATTTAATTAGATACTCTAAATTATATATAGACTAGATTAGTCAAAATAATATTTATTAAAAATTTTTTATAATTTTTATCTTTAAAAATATAAAATAAAAATATTAAATTATTTTTTTAAATTTAAGCCATTCAAATTAAAAATTTTAATGGTTCAAATTGCACTCAAGATGGTTCCCATAACCTCCCTCCCGTTTTTCTGACTTTGACTTTGATTTTTGTTTTTGTTAATATAAATTGATCTTTTTATAAAATAGGTTAATTCTCACTTTACATCAGATTATACAATGCAATACTAATAATATGTATACTAATAATATGTATAGTCCAACCCCATAACACGAAACGAGAAGCTGCGCGAGCGAGTCTTTCGCTTTCTTTCCGTTCCGGGGCACCACCGGAGACACTTAAATTCCAACACACTGTCACTGTGTGTGTCCTTCTATGGAGTCGTTTGCTCCTTTACTTGAAAAGACCCGAGTCCCGCAACCGTCACTGCAAAAGTTCGCCGTGATTTCAATATTTTCGAAGCTGCGATCATTGCCAAAGTATCTAGACCCTCAATCTGAACCCGGAAGAGATGCGATTGCTCAGTGCCTTAACTCCTCCTCCCCTGCCGTTGTAGACCAATCCATCCGTGAGCTATGCCGTCTTGTGACGGATTCCGTAGTGGGTATTTCTCGCGGGTTGCTTGAACTTCAATCTGCTCTTGAAGGAACCGACCCGAAATTCGTTGCGGTCTTTGTGAAAGGATTGGGCTTTCTCGTCCGCCTTGGTTTCCAAAAGAACAATGCCTCGTGGCGGTTCGGTTCCACGGATACTCAACCTTTTGTTAAGGTAAAAATAACACAGGGATTTTCTTTTTCTTTTTGTTGTAAAGTAATTTGACGTAACAAAGAATTGCATGATTGAGAAAGATGACCGCTGACCTGTCTTCCCATTTGAAATTCAGTGTTTCATACCTACTGACCTCCAACAGCACGAACTAGCAAATTTGGAATCAGTTTTGGCCTGTTGAGACCGTTAACTGGGGAATCTTGCAGCTTAAGTTTTAATGTGTGTGACAGGTACTGTCATGCCGGGCGGAAGTTCAACCTGAACTCCTGCAGCAAGTCTGTCTGTTTATGCTGCAAAATAAGAGACTTGGAATGATCAACGTTTGTGAATTTTTAAGACCATTATTGAATTTTTCGGTGTTAAGACTATTAGCTTCCGAGTCAACCTCTTCTTCATTTACAATGCAACTGATTTTGACTATGGCATCATTTTGTTGCTCATTCCCGTCTGAGTCGGTGCCTGTTTTTAAGCTGCTAACGGGATGCCTCAAATATCTTCCTCACGAGACCTCGGAAGTAAGCGTAATCGTGATAGAAAGCTTTGAACTTTGGAATACATTGCTTTAATTCTGCTTATTAGCCATTAGGTTTTATTTTTGTATTGGAACGTGTAAATAATTATATCTTTTCTTTAACCTTCTCAGGACCACAAGAAATTTGTAAATTTCGTAGAACAGATGGTAGAGGCACATATAGTGGTACTGAAAAAGTTGGCTGGAACAAGATCGGTATGGTCCTAGTTATTTATATATCACCCTGGTATTGTTACTGTCGCGAAGTTGTTTCCTTTATCTACGCAATACTATATTTCTTGTTCATTTATTGATTTGAATTTGACATTATCAGCTGGTCACTGAGGCTCAACAAAATGCTGTTGAATTCCTAGACACAGTTCTTTCTCTGGCCACTTGTCTTCAGTGGAATGGTGGCGGCAATGAGTACTTATTTGAACTCTCAAAGCGGTTGTTGTCTGTACAGAAAGATCATGGGTTGACATGGCTTCGTGGTTTATCATCAACTATGGTATCATTATGGACAATCCTTGTTCAATCAGAACTTGAACATGTTCAAATTTCTATTCTGAAACTCATTTCTACAACCCTGATGTGGAAATATGAAAATGGTAAGATTTACAGTAGCCATTCCACTTTTGCATTCCGCTCATGCATTCAAGTTGAACAGACCGTGTAACTGTACAATATTGAAAATTTAGAATTTCAACATCTGTGTTTTGAAATGCAATTCAAGAATACTTATAGAAAAGTTTATGCATTTCTCAAGAGACTGCTTGTGCTGGACCCGAGTTTCCTGCACATTGGGTGGACGTCTGTTCTGGGCTGTTCTAATCTGAATTCATATCAAACTTGAACCGTCCATATTTTTTAAAATAAAAATATTAAAATCAGAAAAACAATAAAGCATGGACTGTCCATATCTGACTTAGGTTGTCCAAATTACACATGTAAAGATGTGCAGGGGATCTATGATAGCTTATGCTTTTGCTTTTTTGTTCTTTGTGTGATGAACAAAATTCATGTTCTTAGGTGGTCAGTTGTTAACTATTATGGAATTGCCTTGTGCTTATCATCTGCAGAGATCCCAAACTCTTTCCTTATATAGTTCTAGATTGTAGATTCCCAATGGTCTTGCTTTGCAACATTTCTTCATGATTTATTTTTCTTACGCACAGATTCATTAAATAATCCTTGTACTCATGTTAATTTATATCATGTCCTAAACTTCCCAGTGTATTTATACTCACAATTATAATTACTAATGCAGATAATACTATTAGCAGAACTAAATCTGTCCCAATTGAAGAAATTTTGTTCCTCCTTCCTGTCATAAACCTTATGTCATCTCCTTCGAAATATGTGAAAGGACTGGCTACTGAATTGCTTTATTTGTTGGAGAAGCTCCTTGTTGAAGTGTTTGTGGCACCACAAAATGTACCAACCATTGAGGAAGTTCATTATCTCAGCACTCCAGGAATTATAATTTCAAGACTTTTGCGACATCTGTGGTACCAGGTTATGTGTCTGCTATGTGAAATTTATTTCCTCTGTTTCCAATGTGACACGTAATCTTTCTTTGGTGAATTGAAAAGTATGGTGTTTCATTATCTTTAATGGGATGTGCCAAAACTGCTTTATCTTAAATATTTACAGTTTGCTGACTCAAAAGTGCTTTGTAACTGGATCACGGTTGTTAGAATGGTGAAAATCGCAGCTGTTTGCAGCTATAAATTTAGATGGTTTTGAAATATCTTTTTGCTGTTTCAGGACAGAGAATCTTTATCTGGAATTTTCCTTCTGAATGTGAATCTGGGTTTCTCAAGTAATGAAGGTGTTAGTAAAGGCATGATAATGCATGGTAAACAGACTTGGGTTTCTCAAGTAAGAAGGTTCTGTTTATCAATTGTTAACCAAAGAAAATCAACATTGCCTCTCTCTCATTCTCAGGAAGTATTTTTGACAGGTATGGTACTTTGATAAAGGGAATAGTGTTTAGCTTAACATGTTAAAAATGTCAGGGATTGATGTATTCTCAATGTCTGTGCTTGTAGAAATGCCTTTGTTACTCAGCACTGTTGTTGGCATTCTATTAATTCATCCGTCGATGGGAGCAGCAGCTGTAGATTCTTTGGCTACCCTTGGTATTATGGATCCCAAATTGGGAGTTCCCTTACTGCTAACAATTATGTTTTACAGTAATATATTCACAAGAAAGGATGTTATGAGCCATGATATGCTGGTAACTTCTCCTTTTTGTATCCTGGATTGGTGCTTAATTCATTGAATTGTCTGTTACTTTGTCTCCATTTTTTGCGAGTACCATTCTGTTATTCTTTCATCTTTGTTGCAGCTAAAAATTTTAGAAATGTTGCCATCACTTGCTTCACACTCTGCAATGATTCCACTTGTAGTTCAAACTATCTTGCCTATGCTTAACAAAGATGCGGAAGGGTGGGTACTCTGCTAAACTGTCTATATTGTTTTTAGATTTTGTTTATTTTTCTTGAATTGTTGTGGTAGTCTTCGTGGTTATTTGCAGCAAAAGTGTGGTTCTATTATGGTGCATCATCTAGCATGGGGCTTCAAATATCACTTGAAGTCATTGATCTTCTTGTTTTAACTCTGAACTGATTTTACATTTAGTTGAAAACAGGGATCCATAATTACATTAAGAAACCCTCTTTTGAGATTCTTTTTTGCTGTGTTATTTTGTCATTCTTGATGGCTTCAAATAATATTGGAAAATGTTATTCATTTCAAGCTCATAATCCTGAGGTATTGTTTGTAGAAATTGAGAAATTTATTTGCAACTTCTCCTTGAAATGTTAGAGGGATAATTTTCATGTCACGTGTCTTGTATGATCTGTATAACTACCAAACAAGTTGTGGTTGTTTTATGAAGTCAAGATTATGTTAAACTCAAGTAATTGGTTGTTTTATGGAGTGAAGATTATGTTAAATTCAAGTAATAACATGGTTCTTTCTCGTTAATTTTATGTTTCTCTTGCCAAAGTTGGGTTCCTCTCTTTATTATTCTTATGTTTAAAAACAAAAGGCCTTTTAAAATTTTTGGAGTTCAATTTAAACCAACTTTATTATGTTTGCGCATGCAGTTTGTTGTGTGCCACAGCAACTAGATTGCTGTGTAGAGCCTGGGAAGCCAATGATCGAGCTTTTGGAAGTTTGGAAGTAAGTTTTTCATTGTGATCTTTGCATTACTGTTTAATGCTGCAGAGCCCTGCTATTTTTTGCATACAAAGATAAAAAATGGAAATGAAAAATTAACTACTCAAGAACATTTGACTGATAATTGACTGGACGAAAGACCAAGAATTAAAATTGGTGTTTTGGAATTAATTTGCCATTTAATACTTTAAATAGTTGTTGACATGCAAGGTTATTAGATTTACTTATAGAAGCTGTGTACTTAATTTGGCTTACCTTGGTATGTTAGGGAGCTGGGACTTAGAAGACTTAAGAAAGAGGAGGAAGGTTAAGGAGATTATTGAAGGGTTTCTCCTGATTATCTTTTGCTTCAAGAAACCAAGCTAGGAGTTATTGATGGATAGAAGTGGTACATGTATGGGAATTCCTAGGTAACAATGTGTTAGTTGGAGAGAAATATACTTGTAATAAAACTTAGCATATGACAGGTAAACTATATAAGCTAGATCTCTGTATCGTTCTAATTCTTTTGATTATTAAAACGTCCATTCTGTATCAAAGTGGTATTAGAACCACTCTCCTTGTTATCGCATTGAAGACAAGTTCCCAAAATGAAGGTTTTATATTGCAGACCAAGCTGTGAAAATGGAACTGGGCTAGTATACTCAATGTTTTCTAGTTATTTCTTTCGCTTGGTTGATGATTGAGAACCTCAAACAGCTCATGTCAAATCAAAACTTTATGCCTGATTTGAACTTTGTTTGATACTTAGGAAGCCAATATTGGAAAAGAAGCAATAATTATTAGTTGCATTTAAGCAAGATAAAGTTTCATGCTCTTTTTTCTCACTTTTTATTTTATTTTATTTTATTTTTGATTATGTGTGGAATCTTGGATTCTTATTTCCTTGAACTTGGAGCCTTAAGATGTTAACTATTTAGATACTGCTTGCTTGATTGTTACTTGCTGTTTCACTAAATTCTTATGGCTAATTGGTCTAATCTTTTCTTCATTCTTCTTATATAGGGGGTGTTGCTTGCGAAAGGGTTTGCTGATTTTATGTCAGATAGAGTTGTCTGTGTCAGCCGAGCCGCTTCCATCCGAGATGTTTGCCAGAAAAACCCTGATCGGGGTGTTGACCTTATCTTGTCTATTTCAGTATGTGATATCTATATACTGTTTTCTTGATTCTTCTTGTCTGGTGCATGCTTTTTTGAGATATCATGCTTTTGTGTTTGGATAACAGTCTTGCATTGAGAGCCCAGATCTGGTAATTAAATCTATTGGCTTACAAAGCCTTGCCCACCTTTGTGAAGCTGATGTAATTGGTAATTTGCATTTTACTTTTAATCGGATATCCTGATATTTATGGATTTGACTTTGTGAATTTCTTTGTTTACAATTAAATTTTTTATTGTTACTATGTATCTTATTTGTTCAGATTTTTACACTGCTTGGGTTGTCATTGAAAAGCATGTGAAAGATTACCTTGCTGATCCAATTCTGGCACAAAGGTAAGCATGCTAATCAGAAGCTTTGATCCCAAAGTAATGTTTTCACTATCGCAATCTCAATAATCTTGTGTTTGGTATTCTGGAATCCTGGATGTGGAAGCAGAAGCGGGAGTAGAAAGTGAATTCTAATTTTGTCATGTTTGATATTGTGGAAAACTATTCCCAAAGGAATCAAGATTCCACAAATTCGAAGTATGGGTTTCCACCACACAATCCATGAAATTGTAACGCTCTTTGCATGGAAACAAAGATTTGAGGTCCTATGGAAAAATTCTTCAGAAGGACCTCTCTCCCCTCTCTTAGTTCTCTCTCTCTCCTCCTCTCTTCCCTCCCTCCCCTCTACATCCTCGCTTCCTCCTCTCTCTTGCTCTCATTTTTTTCATAATGTTATTTTATTTATAGTGGTATTTTTGTCTTTTCACATCTTAATGATTCCTTGCTATCAATTTAATAATCATGCCTAACAAATATTGTAATAGAATTCCATCCAGTTTCCCTTACATACCAAGTGATGCTTTGGGCCTAAATGTTCCAGTTCATTTAGACCAATTCTTGTTTACTTTACCTATTCAAATTTCTTTAACCCTCTGTTTGGTTGGGAAGAAATTATGGGAGGAAAGAAAACTAGAAGAGAAAACAGCAGAGAAAACACATTTTCCCCTATTTGCTTGAGAAGAAAAAATTGAAAGGAAGGAAAAGTTGGGAAGAAAATAAAGAGTGGGTCCCACTACTTTTTCCTCTCACATTTTCTCTCCACATGTGGAAAGATTTTGAGAAGGAAATCCTTATTCTAATATTGCCCTCCTTTTTTCTTGATCTTCTTGGTTCTCAACTTTCTTCTTTACACTGTTTTAAACTAGCAACATCACACACATATTCATCTCTACTTTTATGACTATCATCTTCATTTTTGTTTAAGAAAAAAAAAATAAGCACAGTAATGTGAAAGACTTTCCGTTAGAAAATAAATCAATATTTATATATTTTCTTTTTTATCATTCAATAATGTAGTTAATTTGATTTTTTATGGGTTATTACATTTTATTTTTAAAAAAATTATCTGTTTTTATTTTTAAATAAAAATATATCTTGCAAATTATTTGATGTTAAAATATTGAGATGGTCTTATTTTTTCCCTTCAATTTATTTTAATAAAGATAATAACCTAAGACATATAATATATTTTAATATAAGGGTACTGTTTTCATTATATCATGTGCCTATTCTCTTTTCTCCCTATTTTCTCTTGTTTATCCAAACGAACAGGGTGATAGTATTATTTTTCAATTTTCTCTCCTCTCATTTTCTGTCCTCTCGTCTTCTTTCTTCTCAACTTTTTTTCCCATCCAAACAAAGCATAAAACTCCTTCCAGCATACTGAGCAGGCCTTGAGGAGGGTAAATTTTTTCCTTGAAAAGAGATAAATAGTAGTTTGGATAGGTTATGCTCAAATTGAACAAATCCTCTAGCTATTGGCATTAATTACTCTTGAAAATATTAGTTTCCAAATCTTTTTTCAGACATATGTCTTCTTTTTGTTGACCCTCTAATGGAACCCAAGGATATATATATATATATATATTTATGGATCTGTAATTCCTGCTATGATAATGTGTGGAAATGTATAAATAATATTTATTGTAAATATTTGCTGTTATTAGGATTTATAGTTTTATATGATAGGATCATATAGTTTCAGTTATGTTAGGGATTTATTTTGTTTTTATTCCTTTTCTCTGTACATCCCTAGAATCTCGGCCTAGATAGTGGCTTTCCTCATGTGTATAGTCAGTCGAGTTTCAAGAATGAAAGACAATTTAGTTCTGCGATTTCCTATTTATGGTATAAGAGCATGAGGAAGAAGGAAGAACTGAATCATCGGAGACAGAGATGGATTTGAACTCTCAATCTGAAACTCACCATAAATTTGAGTCGACTGGCTTAGAGGGTTCGTCTAATGTGGGCTCGCGTCAATTTGGGTCCTTAATGACTGGTCAAGAGAGCTTGCTCGTTTTGTTGTCTCAGATAGACTTGTTGGCGTCAACTATAGAGAATGGGCCCAGTTTGTTTGACTTGCAATAGAGGGTTGTGGCAAGTGGGGTATGCGTCAAGCGAGTCCCAATGTCCAGAATCAACGAACATCAAGGTGTTAAAGTCTGGAAGGCCGAAAACTTCATGGTATGTTCATGGCTAGTGAACTCGATGTTACTAGCTGTGAAGAAAAGTTTCTTATTCCTGCCAACAGCTTGAGAGATATAGGAAGCTGTGAAGGAGGCTTACTCCGATGGTGAAAATGCTTGTCAAGTGTTTGAGATTAAATCAAAGTTGTGGCTAATGAAGCAAGATAATCGTGACCCAAGTGAATACTGCCTTGAAAAAATGCTTTATGGCAAAAACTGGATTTAATTACCATTGAGGAATGGACCAACTCTGAAGATGCTGCTAGGTTTCAGAAGATGATTGAGAAAGAACTTCTCTATGAATTACTAGTGGGACTCAATTCTAGCCTTGATGATGTCCGTGGGAGAATTTCAAGCCTAGAACCTTTGCCATCTGTTCGTGAGGCTTTTGCAATGATTGAAAGGGAGTATTCATAAAGAAAGATAAGATGAACCTGTCTCTCAAACTAGTACTCTTTGATACCTCAACATTTGCTCTTGCTGCCAAGTCTAATGATTCTAGAAACACTAAAGGATGTCCTACGTGTGAATACTGTAAGAAGGTTGGTCACATAAAGGACAAGTGTTGGGATCTCTATGGCAAAACCCTCGATTGGAAGCCAAGAAAGGTAGAAGCGTGGCTATATTGCTAAAAGTTCATAGGAGATGGTAATAGTTCTCCTTCCTTGGTACACCCTCAAATGATCAACTAAATAGAATCCTTGAGATGCTTTTGGCTCTACAAACTAATAGTAAGCAATCTGTTAGCTACTGTGGTTCAAAGAGGTGATTTTTATAAAGCCTTAGCCACTATTAAACGAGTATGCACTGGAAGTTGTTGGATAGTAGACTTAGGTGCTTAGACCATATGATTGATAACATTTAAATTGTTCACAACATATGTACCTTGTAAAAGGAACTTATAGTTAAGATTGTTGATGCTTTTGAATCAGTTATTATTGGTATTGGGAGTGTATGAATTTCACCTACTCTCACCTTACAACATGTTCTTCATGTTCTAAATTTAAAGTGCAGTTTACTTTCTGTGAGTAAATTGGCTAAAGATGAAAGGTTCCATGTTGAATTCTTTGCTACTTATTGTCTTTTCTAGGATCTACTAATGGGGATGACAATTGGCAGTGCTAAAGAGTTGACGGTCTCCATTACTGGATGAAAGTGAAGTCAGCAGAGTTAGGTCATGCAATAAGGTGTCTCTCCCTAGCACTAATGAGTTGGAGTTGTGGCACAAACATTTAGGTCACCCTAATTTCAATTTATGTCAGAAATGTTTCCTTCAATTTTCAATAAATATGATTGTTCTCAATTCTATTGTGATTCTTGTGAGAAAGCAAAACATCACCGTACTTCTTTTCCTCATTTGCCATACATTGCATGCAAACCTTTGACAACAATTTCTAGTGATCTGTGGGGGCCCTCATGAACTCCTAATAGAACCCACTCAAAGTGGTTTATCACCTTTATTGATGATCATTCTTGTGTCAGCTGGGTATTTCTTTTAAAAGGCAAATTTGATGTGTCATAGGTGTTCATTGATTTTTATCATTGATTAAAACCCAGTTTCACCCTTCCATTCAAGCTCTCCATCCTGACAATGGCACAAAATATTTGAATAGACACCTATCTCCTTTTCTAGCTTCAAATGGAATTGTGCATAAAAGTATTTGCCTATATAGTCTTAGCAAAATGGTATTGCTAAGAGGAAAAAAAGGCACATCCTTGAAGCAGCCTGTGCACTTCTCTTCAGTCGTAATGTTCCCAAATATCACTGGGATGATGCTTTCCTCACTACAACTTTTCTTATTAATCGTCTTCCAAACCGTACTCTATCTTATCAAACTCTCTTGATGTTCTACACCAAACACATGACAATCCCTACTTGCAAAACAAACTTCCCTTAAGAGTTTTGAGTGTACTACCTATGTCCATCTTTATCATACAAATAAACTGGATCCTAAAGCTGTCTGCAGTATTTTCTTGGGTTATTCTGCCACTAAAAAGGGTACAAATGTTTGGATCCTCTCACAAATGGGTTTTTACCATTTGTTATGTCACGTTTCATGAAAATAAACCCTTTACTCCCAATCTACAATTCAAAGGGAGAATTGGAATAAATTGCAGATTACCATGAGTGACAACACAAGTGAACTACCTGAAAAATTCCTATACCTCACCATTTGGCCCTTGACCTCACAGATCTTGACCACCTTGGCCTAGAAATTGAGGCCTACAACACCAATGCCACCACCATCCTATCTGCAAACATGAGTGATGTGCCAAATCCTAGTCCTAAAGAGAAGGAGAAGTCTAAGACAGGGGGAGATACTAGATTTGCACAGACCTATACATGAAGAAACAAGACAGGTAAAGAGATTCTTGCCCTAAGCACTGATCAAGAGTCAAAATTGGATGTAGGTCAAAAAGAAGATAGTGGTGATATTGTGGAAGCGTCAAGGCGTGATGATAATCTTGATTTACCTATAGCTGTGAGGAAGAAGCTAAGAGCTTGTACTAGGCATCCTATCGAGAAATTTGTATCCTATTAGGCATTGTTTGCCAAATCTTGTGGATGTACTGCTCACCTAGATAATGTCATAGTACCAAAGAATATTGAAGAAGCCTTGGCTGTACTTGAATGGAGACAAGCTGTAATGGGGGAAATTGAGGTGCTGACAAAGAATGACACTTGGGATATTGTAGAGTTACCTTCATGTAGGAAAGCAGTTGGCTGTAAGTGGGTTTTTACACCCAAGTATAGTGCTGATGGAAGTCTAAACAAACATAAGGGAAGACTTGTTGCTTAGGGTTTTTCCCAGGTATATGGTATAGATTACACCGAGACTTTTACACCAGTAGCCAAGTTAAATACTGTCAGAATAATTCTCTCACTTGCAGCCAACCTTGATTGGCCATTACATCAATTAGATGTGAAGAACGCTTTCCTAAATGGTGAGTTAAAAGAAAGAAGTATAGATGAAGTTACCTCCTAGGTTCGCAGGGAGAAATCAAATCAAGTATGCAAGTTGAAGAAGTCCTTTTATGAGCTAAAGTAGTCATTGAGGGCTTGGTTTGAAAGACTTACATAGGTACTCAAACAGGCAAGGTTCACACAAGGTCAAAGCAATTACACGATGTTCTTCAAACACCGAGGTACTAAAACTATTGTATTGTTGGTTTATGTGGATGATATGGTTCTTACAGATGATGATCCTGAAGAGATCGAAAACCTTAAAAATGCATTAGCCCAAGAATTCCAAATAAAAGATCTTAGAGAAACGAAGTACTTTCCATGTATGGAGGTGGCAAGATCCAAGAAGGGACTTTCTATTTCCCAGAGAAAATATGTGCTAGATCTTAAAGGAGACTAACATGCTGGGATGCAAACCTAGTAATACTCCTATCTGGATTTACAAGATAAGTAATGAAGAGGACCTTGGCAAGTCTAGTGATATGGGCGAGTATTAACGTATGGTGGGAAAACTGATTTACTTGTCACATACTAGGCTAGATATTGCCTTTGTAGTTGGAATGGTAAGTCAACACTCACATGACCCTAAACAAAAACACTTGAATGAGGTCTACAAAATTCTCAAGTATTTGAAAGGCACTCCTAGAAAAGGTTTATGATTTAAGAAATTTGAGAAACAGAATGTAGAAATTTTCACAAATGTAGATTGGGTGGGTGACCAGGAGGATAGAAAATCTAAATCTAGATATTTGCATGTTTGTTTAGGGAAACTCGGTTACTTGGAGAAGCAAGAAGCAGAGTGTAGTTGTCGTAGTACTGCAGAAGCAGAACATTGAGACTTTGCTTTAGGGTGTGAAGGTATATGGATCAAAAGAGTTCATGAGGAACTAAGAAAAAATGTCAACTTCCCTATTACTCTATCTTTGACAGCATGGCAGCAATTAGTATCTCACAAAATCCATCCAACATGATAGGACTATACACGTTGAGATAGACAAACACTTTATCAAAGAGAAGATTGATAGTGGCATCATCAAGATGAGGCACATACTAACAAGGGAGCAAACAGCTGCTGTTCTCACCAAAGGATTAACTAGAGATAAGTTTGATCATTTCATTAACAAGTTGTACATGATTAACATCTATGTTCCAACTTGAGGGAAAGTGTGGAAATATATAAATAATATTTATTGTAAATATTTGCTGTTATTATTTTCTGTTATTAGGATTTATATGATAGGATCATATAGTATCAATTTATTCTGTTTTTATTTCTTTTCTCTGTAAATCCCTAGAATCTTGGCCTAGATAGTGGCTATCCTCCTGTATATAGGCAGTCAACTTCGAGGAATGAAAGACAATTCAGTTCTTCAATTTCCTCTTCATAATGGAACCCAACATTGGATATTTCTCCTTCTGTCCCTCTTGCAACCTCACCCAAATTTCTAATGCCTGGGTCTTAATCTTCTCGTTTCTTACATAAACTTGCCGACCAGAAGTCCTATTAATACCTGGCTTATTCTCTCTGTTTCTTCTCTGTGTTATTTTGATTGATCTGTATCAATGTATCCACTTCACATGTTAAATGTGATTGTTTATTGGTAGAAGATATTGCCTTATAATCTGCTATTGTGCCAGCATTTGCCTTTTACTGAGATGGGGTGCCATGGATGCTGAAGCATATTCAGAAGAGGCAAAAGGTGTGCTGCAACTTCTATGGAGTGTTGGTAGCTGTAGGCATGCTGGCAATGAGATACAATGGGAAAAAGCAAGAATCGCAGCCTACAGGCTCTTATGCAGTACGAGGTTTCTCTAGTGACCTGCTTGAATTGACATTGACAATTTCTAAGCATAAACATATTTTTCCAATAATGTTGTACTGCCTTACTTTTTCAGGTGTCATATCTTGAAAAGAGTATACCAGATTTTAAAAAGAGGAACTTGGAGTTGCTATTTACGGAGACAAGTCCCAATGTACTCTGGGTTATGGACGACATTCAAGTCAAAATTATAACATATGAACACATGTAAATTATTTTCTACAATCAATTTACTGACTTGCTTAGAAATGAGATGATATGATTAAATTTAATAACCTGTCAATTTTCTTCAGAAATCGGCGAAGATTAATCAAGGAGAAAAGAGTTACAGGGAGTAAGATTGAAAAATTGATGGATGTATTTCCTCGGGTTATTTTTTCTTCAGGTACTTAATAAAGAGAAATAAAATGTTAAAGCCTTAAATTGATAATTCTCACCTATCTTAGCATTATTTTGAAAATAAAATTCTCAGCTTTTGCTGAATTGTAAATTGAACTATTAGTAAAGTCTCTTCTCATTTGCTGATAGAAATTGATTAACTGAGCTAGTTTGATTCTTCAATTTATTAATTTTATCAATTTTTTTTTTGACAATTAAGCATTCTATTTGCAGGGAAGATAAGTGAGGCTAGAGAGTTACCTGGTGCTGCCTTAGTATGTCTGTCTTTCACTCCGAAAAAAGTGAATGAACAGCAAGGACAGAAAGTAAGAGCTATAAATATCAGATTTATTCTTGGTTATCAAGTACATTTTAAAGCTACATTTGATATGCAGGTTTCCTAAAACTGTTCACGAATAAAGTGTACCACATTTCTGATATAATTTTGCATTAATCTTCATTTCCCTTGCCATACGGTTTCCACAAAATATGGGCAACTCAATCCCAAGTACACCCATGGAATTTCAGTTGTCCCATACTATCTTCTAATGTTTGTTCCGAACACTTCATTGATTGCTGGTGCATTTCATTCTGTGATCAAATTGCTTGGGCAAATGATTCATTTAGTTAATTAAGAATCTTTACACTAAACATTCCCTTAATCTGATATTATTGGCATTCAGGGAAGAGATGTACATGCTGAGTATGTAAATGCACTCGTGGAAATGGCTGGTTCACTTCAGCTCTCAAGAAATATTTTGGTGGCACTTATGGCACTACAATCATGGAAATGCTTCATGCGACGTTGCATGAGGGCTTGCATTTTATCCTATGATACTAAAGCACAATCTGCTGTACTAGATAAAACTTCTAAAGCTGCTAATGCTATCCTAAAGGTTTAATATTTTGTTTCGTAATTGTATTCTTTTTGGTTGTATTTAGTTATCTGCATCCACTGCACAATCATGTGCCATATCTGATTCAGCTTGCTTATTATATACTTGCAGAGTATGATAGCCATAGCAAATGAAGCTATTCCTAGATGTGCTGAAAATATTGCATTGGCTGTTGGTGCTCTCTGTGTGGTGAGAACTTGTTTTTAAACATTATGGAGTCTGACTGTTTGGCAAATTTTCATGCCAAGCATATGTAACTGATAAATCCAGTGCTGCTGGGTCATGTAAAATGTAAAGGCCCTTTGCGGAATAGTAGATCTTGTAGCTTTGTTGGGAAGTGTATTTTTTCTATGTGGATGGTCATAGAAGCCAGTGTCATCTTAGATTGTTATGTAACTCAGTTCTAGTGGCTGCTGCAAATTGAAATCTATAAATAATCACTTGGGGCTATGCTTGGGAGAAGGATCATCAAATTAGTTAGTCAACTTTGTTGACCATTTTAATTGGTAAGTTTCTTATGATTAGCATCAAATATCTATGATCTGACCTTTCTTGCCATTGTCAGGTCTTGCCTCCTTCTGACCATACTGTGAAATCTGCTGCTTCAAAGTTTCTTTTGGAGTGGTTGCTCCAGCATGAACATGAACACCGCCAATGGTCTGCTGCAATTTCCCTTGGATTGATCTCAAGTTGCCTCCATGTAACTGATCATAAACAGAGATATAATAACATCACAGGACTTCTTGAGGTGCTACTTTTCTTTTTATGGGTTAACTGACTGTCTCATGGTCTCCCATTTTTTGACTGTCTCATTCTTTTGTTTTTTCTTTTTTCTTTTTTTTTTGGGGGGGGGGGGCGGCACAGGGGTTTCCTGATGTATATTCAGAAGTCAAAACACGTTTGGTTCTGTTTTTGACATTATTTGTTCCTTATTGAGAGCAATCTAGTAGTCAGCATTGAATAAAGCCTTAGACAGTTAGACCACTGGATATTTCTATTGAAAACAATACATTTTAAGCAATCAATAAATTAATACTGCTTGTTTACCATTTCTATTGATCATGGTATATCTAGTTTGTTGCTATTTTCAACTTCTGAAATATTTATCCTTTTTTTTTTACCCCATTTGTTCTTTACTTGTGAAATTCATTAGTTTGTACATTATTTTTTTAATTAAGAAATTTTATTACCTTTGTTAAAGCATTGTACCATTGGAATTTCAATTTAATAGCAATTAAAAATGGGAGACGGCAAATCTAGGCTTTTCACCATGTTTTTTCTGCCTTTTTGTGCAATATAACTTTTGTATTAAGGAGATTGAATCTCCACTCATTTCTTTGCTTGTATGGGTGATGATTCATTTAGAGTTGGAACGTTCTAAGAAGGATATTTAAACTCATTGTTATACCATACTGATGGTGTGAACTCTCAGGTTCTACTTGTTAGCAAAAGTTCCCTTGTAAAAGGAGCATGTGGTGTTGGCTTGGGTTTGTCATGCCAAGACCTTCTTACCAGAACTGGAGCTGGTAACGACTTTGGTGTGAAGAATGACATGGACAAGGTTCCAGAGTTTGATTTACTGGGGAGAATAGTTAGGGCTTTATCTACAACAATGCGCCAGATTACTCGATCTTCTTCTGATGTGCTTCTCAGCCTATGTACCAGCTTCTCATCTGTGAATACTGAATTATTTGTAGTTCCACCTGATAACTGTAAAGACAAGGAAGAAGATATCTGGGGGGTTGCTGGACTTGTTCTTGGCTTGGCTTTCGCCATTAGTGCAGTAAGCAGAGCTGGAGAGCAAGATTCTGTTCTCAAGATTAAAAGCTTGGTAATCTCCTCAATTCCATATGTAAACTCGCAACTTCAAAGCACTAATTTCCAGAATGAAGAATCCAGGGTTGTTTTATCAGTAGGATCCTGTATTGCAATTCCCATTATAGTGTCATTTTGCTGGAGAATGGAATTGATGGATGAGATTGAGTTGGACCACATAGTGATTGGCTTTAAAGAGTTGATTTCTGAGTTAATCACTGTGAAAAAATCTGGCATGTTGCATCAGAGTTTTTTGATGGCTTCTTGCTTCGGAGCAGGGACACTTCTTTCATGGACACTGAATGAAGGGTTTCATTCTACTGAGGTTGACCATGTTAAAAGTTTCCTGGAGCTGTTTAGAAAATGTTACTCTGATCCTTACCCATCTTTTGTGAATCTGGGTGGTATGCTTGGAGTGGTCAATGCTATGGGAGCAGGTGCTGGGATTTTGGATATGCAAGCTGATTATCAGAATAAGGTATTTTGATAATATTGATAGCATCTATCTTATTAGGATTGTTAACTTTTTTCTGATCACATTTTTAAAACCCACACTTGCTACTTTATGCGCAACAGGCATCTCCTTCCACAGGCCTTCTGCTCAAAGGCTTTGACTATGAATCATATTTGACATCATTGGTGCAAGAGATGTTTCTCCTGGCTCAAAATTCTGATGATAATCAGCGGCGACAGTTTGCTTCCTGGGCTCTGTCTTTCCTTCAACATCATTTACTATCCAAGGAATTTATGGATGTTGATGGTGATAGGAAAGCATCAGAAACTAATTCAAAATCTGTTTCTCAAAGTTTTTCTGAGGACAATGTGGTTTTGCAACTTAGCTCGTGGCTTACAGATTTAAAAAATGAGGTAGGCGTTTCCCCATAATTTTTTAGTGAATTGTTTTGAAATTCTTTTAATAATTGTATCTTTTTAGTTGCCTTGTGTTAGTTTTTTTTTTTTTTCTTTTGGTCCTTCTTCCTTTAAATGAAGTTAACATTGCATTATATACATGGATATGAGTCATCTGCTTTTGCATAGCGACCAACATGATCTTCATTTTAGTTGCTCTTGTCTATTTTGTAAGTCATCATTACGATGTTCTATCACATACTCCCTCTTTTCCTTTTTACAAGAGACACATAACCAAATCATTAACATAAATATGGTTAAAATTAGTTAATCTTAAATGTGTTACAAATTTAAAATTCTTTCTGAAAATGCCATTATTAAATGTTTGACAATGACTTATTAGTGGCACTTAATTATTCCCTATAATTAATGGGGGCATAATGGGAATAATGCAATAAATGCACCAGACAATGGTCTCATGTTTGTTATATTTAGGAACAAGAAAACACTCCCATTTGTCGCTTATTAAAAGGAACAGAATGCTTGCTTTTGTGACTTACAAACAAGTGGCAACAATTGTAGATTTAATTGATTTTTGCTTCTGATCATCCTAAATTACCCTTTTCAAAATATCGATGCATGTTAGAATTGTAAAATTTATCCAAGATTTAGGCACTATTACGTTATGGGAAATAATTTCATTTAATTTTCTCATTATATCTCATACAGGTTCTGACTGGCACTATTGTGCATGTTAGCACTGTTGTTACTGTATTGAGGTGCCTTTCAAAAGCTCCCAGATTGCCAAGCTTGAATTGGGGAGCAATTATCAGGCGTTGTATGAGATATGAAGCCCAGGTAGCTAAGTTGTTACCAGCAGATTCTTATTATAAGAAAGGAACTTTAAGAGAGGAATGCTTACAGTTTGCACTAGCTCATGCCAATCAATTTGATTCACTTTTAACTTTTCTTGATGAGCTATCTGAGTTTTCCAGGTTCAGGACTCTTGAACTACATCTGCAATCATATCTACTAATTCATCTAGCCGACCTTGTAAAAGTGTATTCAAGCTCCAGGCTTGAGAAACTATTCAATGATGTGTGTAATCATTTGTCTTCTGCTACTTCATACCAAGACTCTGATACCTATCAAAAGAGCTTGTTACGCACCTCATGCTGGAAAGGACTTTATCAATGCCTAGATGAAGTCTCTTTGGATGCTCTTGATATATCTCAAGTTCAGAGGTGCATGGAAGTGCTATTTTCATTGTTGCCGGTGTTACAATCCTCTAGCAGCATAGTGGCAAAGCAGGAAAATTTCGTAGATGAGTGGTCTGAGGCTGTGAGATGCTTAGGGAAAGCTCCGCAGAGTTGGTTGTTAGATTTCCTCAAGGTATGTAAGCATTTAATTATAATCTTGATTTGAATTTTCCTATACTCGTTATAATTTTGTAGCATATTTCATCTTTTCCATTGTCTGGGAACTTCATGAATTGTTTGAACGTGTTATTTTGTTCATTCAAGTTTCCAACTCTTTATCCTCCTTTGCTTTGGTTTGAACTGATAGTCAGATAGAGATCAAGCATATGATATATAAAATGCCTGTTTAAACTCTGTATATTGTAACCCACAGATTTATATACATGTTATAGGTTTCACAAGAGAGGTTTGTTCAAGATGTTGACAAATCTATTGAAGCCTGCAAAAAGATTTGTGCTAAGGCAAAGCTAGTGAAGAATGGTTCTCTGCCATTTCTTGAGCTAGGAAAGATGAAATCTTACGTATTGAACTCCAAGTTACAAGGTCAGTTTACTAAGCTGTAGGATGCTATTATTTTTGGTCAGGAAACTCGTTGCAATTGTTTTTGATAGCTGCTGTAAAATCATTTGTTTGATAACTGTCTGAAAAGTGGAAGCATATAGGATTGGAAATGCACAGCAGGTTTATGCTAAAGAATAATTTTTGCAGGTCTCTGGGATGTGCTCATTGAGGTTGTGGCGGCTCTGCACCATGCAGAAGGAAGTGTCAAAAGACAGTGGCTTGTTGATGCTGTTGCAATTAGTTGTGTGTCCCCTTATCCTTCCACGGTAGGAACGAAGTATTGATATTTTTAGTGATGGATTTTATTGTATAAAGTTTTAGATTAAGCCCGCAGCACTGAAGACCGAGGCCAAGATGTTGAGGGCCTCTTTGTTTCGTGTTTTTTGTTTTTGAAACAAAAAAATTTAAAAACTCGATTGGATAAGTGTTTTGGATTTAATTGTTTCCAAAACTATTTTCATTTTTTGCATTTAAAAGCCAAAAATAGAAACATTTTGAAGTTTTTTATTTTTTTTTATTTTTCTTGTTTTTAAAATACACTATATTTGGTTATTAGAAATTACAGTTAGCTTCGCTATTAGTCACCAATGACCAACATTACCAGCCAATTTTGAGAAGACACCCAAAGAGGCTCTAAATCGTTGCATTTTTAAGTTTTCTTTTCTGTTTTTCATTTTTGTGTGGGAATCAAAGTTTCTATTATTCAAAAACTGCAAAATGTAATGGCTGTTATAATTTAATTTTTATTCAACAGTTTTTATTATCTCTTTCTACTAACTTTTTTTAATTGGGACACGTGTTCATTCTTACATCATCATTCCCTTTTCCTTGCTATACCTATTATACACAGCAAATTAGCCGTAAGCTGTCATCATTAATCAGTCATTTCTATTGCTTGCTGTATCCCTTACATGCATATCCTTATTTATTCTACAGGTTCTGCAGTTTATTGGTCTGCTATCAGCTGCCTGTTGCAAATATATGCCCGTTATGATTGTGGATGAACAAACAGTACTGAATGATCTTCCAGTCACCCTTACGTCTCTTTTAGCAGACCAAAGTTGGGATATTGTTGCGGAATCGGTTGTTTCCCTTCTTTATTCATCAACAGAACGTATATTCTACTGGGCTGCAGAGATTGCAGATGGTAATTATATGCCTAGTGCCCAGCCCATTGATGAAAGTGAGGATCATATGGCTAAATTGCTGTTGCAAGTAATGCATCATACATGTGTGTTGTTAAAGGGCTACTTGCCGTTGGATAAGCAGCTTAAGCTTGCCAGTTTCGATGTTTCTTAATATATGATGAACATTACAGAATTTCTAGGATACTTTTGAAGCAAAAGCCAGAATCATGTCCTATCATAAATCCTTCATTTAGAGGAACACAATTGCCATCCCACATATATCAGGACATTCTGGGAAATTTCCAAATGTTGGTACACGGGTTTTGAAAAGGCCAAGTGTTGTTCACTCAGCCATGAAGAAATTCGGGTCTTAATTTATATCCTGCCAGTCTCTGAATGGTAAAATATAGTGTTGAGCAGAAGCGATCCATGTTAGAAAGCCGGTGGGAAAACGTGTCATTTTATTCCATTCTTGTATGAGCCTGTGACAGTGAAGTACTGCAATCTTTGGTACGGTACTTCCTGTGAGATATGTGCCTGTTGTGAAATTATTCAGCCAATATTCTTGTACATTATAGAAACTCTTAACTCTAGGCCAAATTGACACCTGGGTATGTTGTATGGATAATCCTTCTGGGTCTGTTTATTTCCATTGTATTTTAACGTTACCGGCATCAAGAGGGAAAACATGTAACTTGATTTTCTCTTATAATATGTGTAAACTGAACGAATTTTTTTTTCCTTCTTCTGTTTCTTCTATATTCTCTTGGTGGATGTTTTGATAATACTGGAACGGACGCTTGAATTAACTTCAATTAACGAAACAGTACATTATGGAGTTAATGGAAGTGGAAGTGTGACAGGTGGATGAACAATTTTGTTGCGATCCTACAAGAAGATGAAAGGATGACGGGCCTGAAGCCGATGGTTTCCCCTGAACCAAAAGAACAAACCCACTAGGAGACGGAGTTACCTGGTACGCTTCTCCATGTTCTCTCGTCTCAGGCTCGGGGTCGCCTAATTTTTTTGATCATTTGTTCCCTTCCCGAAACCTGGCTCCATGTCACTTGTGGGTTCTGTGGGCATCTTGAAAGAGGGGATAACACAGTTGGACATCCCAAAGGTTCAAAGAGAATGTATACAAGTATAATATCACATTTTAATCCAAAACTGTGTTGTGTTTGTGTCTTTTCTACTTACATACCTCATTTCTAACCAAATTTTATTTGATGTGGGATTTTTTTCCCCATTTCTCATCAAGTCAACTCATACTTGACATCTATAGTGCCACCTAACAATACAGTCAACCTAATTTGTTCAAACTTTAAATTGCAAAGTTTTTGCTTTTATCTCCTTCGGATTTCAGAGCAATGCATGAAACTGCCACTTCCAATCCTCATAGCTTCCCACATGAGGATCAGATTCACATCTGACACAATTATTAATGCATGCATGCTTCATTATCTTTATCTACTTTGACATATGCCCTATTTGCTTAATTTTATACAAAGGCGTCTTTCTTAAGTTTCTCCTATTGAAATAACAACTCAAATAAATTACTTTTGCATAACGAAAAGTAAGAAAAAATTAAGGAACAGATTCCACAATAATACAAAACTTTGAAGCTTCAATCATAATATTTTGCATACTGTTGTTATTGATTTCTTCAGTGTACGAGAAGAAGAAAAAAGGGGAATTTAGAAAACCCACGATATTTAAAAGAAGTAGAATAAAAATTTATAAGATGAAGAGGACTAATGCCATTGAGGACTAGGAAGAAAATTAATCTTCCAAGCCTAGGTCAATAATAAAAATCTTTAAAGTAATGAGAGTCAATGATAACTAACCATTTTAACCTGAATTAACATGTCAGCAAGTAGCAGATTTAGGATCTGAAATTAGCAGTGACAATTGCCTTATTTAAATTCCTTTTTAAAAATAGTAATATAAAAATGGGGCCGGAGCTTAAATAAAGCGTGATATTTAAAAATTTTATTATATATGTAAAAAAAATAATGTATTTAAGTATTACAAGTGGTTTTTTAATTTGAAACAAATAATCCTCTGAATTTATAAATGGACTTCTTAATTAATATTTTTTATTTTATCTTCAAATTTAATTTTATTTAAGTTGATATAAATTTGAATTCAATCAAAATGATTTGATTTAAAAATATCAAGGTAAAAATTTTTATTTAATTTTTCTATAATTATTCTATTTGTGTATTTATAAAAGATCAAATGTTTTTTTCACCGAAATTTGAATTTTATTGCTAGTAAATGTTTAATACTTTTATATGATATAAGAATTTGCAAAATATAATTATTTTATTATTTCATAATCCTATATATTTTGAATTATTATCTTTACTATTTATAAATATTTTGTTAATATGAGATGTTGCGTTAAAATATGATTTTACCAGATTCATTTTTTTTTTATTAGAGACAATCATGCTTGATAAATGGTTAGACATTAAATGTGAGCATTTATCTCTTAGTTTGGCACATTGTAACAGACTAGTCTTTCTTATTAAACCCAATCCCTTTGGTTGTCATCTAATTTAATGTAGTTCTAATTTAATATAGTAAAATATTAAGGTTATTTCTCGAGCAATTTGGCCAAGATTAATATTATTTTTAATTATTTTAGAAAATTTTGCAAAATACAGGTATGAGAAAATCAGTAAAATAATGAAATTGAAAAAAAATTGAAAATACATGTGTAATTTCCTAGAGTTTAAAAAAACCATGATAAAAATTATATTTAATAGAAATTCTTTTTATACTACTTGATAATTTTTCTAATAAGACGGGAATATATATTATATAGTATTTGATATTTGATATATAGAAGAGTTGAGTATAAATTTATAATTAACTAATTAATTAATTAAATTATATTGTTTCAAATAATTAATTTTGGAAGAAACTAATCTTTTGATCCTTATAATTTCACTCAATTTTCAATCACATCCTTGTAGTTTTAGGGGTTTCAAATCAATCCTTCTACTTTGCTTTGTTAAGGGTGTTAGTCCTCGCTGGTCGTAAAGATTTTAACGTCGTCAATCTATTAATAAGGTGGCTAACAATCTCAACCCCTTTTCTTTACCCTCCGACTATCCATCATTACCACCTCCTTAGCCTTCTCCGCCGTCGCCTCTGAAGAAAAATCCACCGTCAAAGTATTATCCTCCACCTCCCGCATCAATCCTATGCATCACCGGACCTCCAGGCAACCAGTATCCCGTGGATGAAAATTTTAACGACACAAGCCGTCGGAGTTTTGGCTCTGCCGCTTTTAATGGATCACCCATTCAATTCCCAAACACAGCCTGTTCTCTCTTATTGCCATTTGATTGTAGAAAAGGTCTATTAGTTAATTAATTAATTAAATTCAATTGGGTGGTCCAATGTCTTAGTGCTATGAATGCTTTAGTAAGGCGTAGCGTAGCATGTTCATATTTGCACGTGTTCAACTCGGCTTCTTTCACCTTTTAGTCTTTTCACGTCTCCTTATAATTGCACATGGCACGTTCCAATATGATCGGTTGAATTTATCTTTTGTTGGTCATTTGTAGAGAGAAAAAAGAGAGGGGAGGGAGGGAGGGAGGGAGGCAACATTTCCTAAGTAGTGTTAGATAAGAGGGAGTGATGAGATATGCAATGGCAGACTCAAAGACCTTGGGTCGAGAGACGAAGCTAGGATCATAATATAGGAAAAACATTTTTATCTTTTGAAAATTTATTAACTTTTTTTTTGTTTTCATCTTTGATTCTTAATTCAATTTTCAATTACATATTTACAAATGTAGTGAGTTAGCAAAATACATTCAATAAATTTATTTTTGATTCTTGAATCTTTATTCTTTATAGCCTTTTTGTTTACTAGTATTCTCAGAATGAGAATGACGTGAGTTTAGTTTAACCAAATTGACTTTTTTTTAATTTTTTAAAGTATTAATAAATAATATTGGCATTTAATTATGGTGAAATTATAAGTTAATATTTATTAGGCTAAGTTAAAAAAATTAAATTTTAGATTTGGGTTAAATGCAACATGAACATGAGTTTAAAATTTAATATATTAAAATAAAGGGTGAAAAGTATAAAAAAAAAAGGAGCAAATTGTAAAATATGAAAAGATATACGCCATATATGCTATTTTTCCCAAGTGAGGGGTAGGGCATATGTCCCTCAGCAGCAGCACGTGGCTCCGTCACTGGAGATACGTGACACAAAACCTTTTAATTTTTGTGTAAGAGAATGATTATTGCAAAGGAACTAATGGTTCTGATGTGTTTATAGGGTATATATAAATATTGCAAGTGAAACTAGAAAAATAGAATTGCTCTTCATGCAAATGACACTTTGTTTACCCCCGTCTTCTTCACAAAAAGCAGAGGTACTTGCTGGAAGTTTGAATGCATACAAGAAACGTCAAGAATGGATGGTCAAAGCTAAAAGTTCGAACGTTTTGATGCAAGACAAGGATGAAGTGTGAAGAAGTTTGAATGCAGTGAGAAAGATGAATTGTAGTGTCCTCTATGCTTGTGCATGTGTATTGCATATTTGAACAGATGGCTAAGAAGAAATAGAACCCAGTTCTTGATGGTCGATTCATCTTATTATGCGTGTTGTTTGCTTCAGACTTTTTATCAGATACATGCTGCCACATCAGCTAAAATATGACAGCGTTAATCTATGGAAGATGTTAAGATGACATTTTTTTTTTTTTTTTGGCATAGAAAGGCAAGTTACAAGCTTAAGAGATCTAGTGTCTACTAGGGCTTAAGATGCAAACACGGCTGTCTTCACTAAGAATTTCAAAACAAAAACTGGGAGCATCATGCCAAAATTGACGGTCCATATGTAAGGAGTGAGCATGCTTCGAGAGTTTGTCTGCACATTTAAGTGCTTCCTTGGAGCAATGGCGCAATTCAGTATGATTGGAATTAATCCACAAGTCTTGTGCACGATGGATGAAATCCGCAAAACTAAAGTGTAAGGATTGATGCTATAACGATGTGATGGTATAGGGGCTCATCTAACGAAATTGAATTAAAAATTGAATGAAAGTATACAAATTAAAACATTAATTTTCCCATAATTTTGCTATTGGAGTAATTATCTGATATCTCTCGACTTGCCCCAAGTTCTTCCTAAAATTAATTATAACCCCGATAAAACCCATTCAATTCGATTTTGGTCGTCGACGATCAAGCATTCCACACTCCGTCGGACGCCGTCCACCGTTGTCAGCCCTGCGTGTGTTCTCGGGCTAGCAGTGAAGAAGGTTTGAGCCCTAGTGATTTTTCTACTCCCAGAATCCGGTGACATTGATTTGTTCAATCTCTCTGCGTTGAATTTATTCCCCGTGTCATCCGTTCCCTGTGTGGCCGTTCTTGCTTTGTTCTAAATTTTTCATTTTATTTTGGCCTTGAATCTGATCGTGTAATCGATGAATATTAACGCTTTTGAATTCGGGAATATTTAATTTACCTATTGAGTTTATTTTTTTATGGACTAGTTTTTGCTTGATTGGTGTATAATTGGCTATTATACTTCATTTTGATTAGTAGCGACTTATATGATTTGGATTGTGTTGTTTTGCAATGTTGGGTTTGTTGTGTGTTGGAATTGTTTATTAATCTTTTTATATTATCAAGGTATTGGTGATGTATGATCTTGTAACTGACTTGGCTCAAGTTGTGTCGGAGTCTCTGGAGGTATGACCAGTCGATGAACGATTTCGTCGCGATCTTTGATGTTGCCAAGATGATGAAAGGTTGACGGGCCTGAAGCCACTGGTTTCCGCTGAACCGAGAAAACAAACCCGCTAGGAGATGGAGTTACCTGGTATGCTTCTCCAGCGCTCTCTGTTCTCCCATGCTCGTAGTCACCTTATGTTTCGATCTTCAATTCATTCGACTGCCCACAAAATCCTTGCTGCTTCAAACCACTCTACGTGCGTACCTAATACATTCGCCGGAATATTCTTTTAGTACCTTCCTTTAACGCAAGTTTCACAAAATCATCTCCACTTTTGCCGCCGCCGCCTTCGTCATCTCTACCAATTGTCCCGGATTCTCCTTCGAAACCCGTTTCAAATCCGCTTTACAATTTTCTTCCCCCAACCCAGAACCCCGACAATTTAGTCAACCTAATTTGCTCAAACCTTAAACAGCAAAGTTTCCGCCTTTATCTTCTTCAGAATGATATCAAAGATATTCTTCCACATATGGGTGCCCGTGAAATTTCAAAGATTTTGCTGAGATGCCAATCTGACTGCTCTTCGGCTCTCACTTTTTTCAATTGGGTTAAGAATGACTTGCGCATCAGACTTACCGTTCACAACTATTGTTTAATTGTTCATATACTTACTTGGTCGCGAATGTTCCCACAGGCCATGAAACTGTTGTCAGAATTAATACGTTTAGTTGAGGAAGTTTCTCCAAATGAGGATATATTTCAAGATCTTCTTATGTGTACTGAGGATTGTAATTGGAGTCCTCTTATCTTTGATATGCTCACCAAGGCTTATGTTAAGGTGGGTATGGTTGAGAAGGGGTTAGGAACTTTCAGAAAAACCATAGAGGCTGGTTTTGTCCCTAGTGTCATAGTCTGCAATTGCCTGTTAAATGGGTTATCCAAATTTAATTATACTGGTCACTGTTGGGAAGTATATGAGGAAATGGGAAGACTTGGGATACATAGGAATGGTCACACCTTCAACATTTTGACCCATGTTTTGTGCAAAATTGGAGATACCAATAAGGTGAATGGATTCCTGGAGAAGATGGAGGAAGAGGGATTTGAACCTGACTTGGTCACATATAACACGCTGGTTAATAGCTATTGCAGACAAGGAAGGTTGGAAGAAGCATTCCATCTGTACAAGATCATGTACAGGCGGGGTGTGATGCCTGATTTGATTACATATACAGCCTTGATGAATGGTCTCAGTCGGGAGGGGAAGATCAGGGAAGCTCATCAACTTTTCCATAGGATGGTTGACAGAGGGCTAAATCCAGACATTGTGTCATATAATACTCTCATATTTGGTTACTGTAAAGAAGGTAAGATGCAAATATCTAGATCTCTGTTGTATGAAATGATTGGAAATGGGATTTACCCAGACAGTTTCACTTCTAGGCTTATTGTTGAAGGATATGCAAGAGATGGAAAACTGCTTGCAGCATTGAATTTGATTGTGGAGCTTCAGAGGTTTAGAATTAAGATTCCTAGTGACATATTTGATTTTCTTATTATCGCATTGTGTCAAGAAGGTCGGCCCTTTGCTGCTAGAAATCTTTTAGAAAGAATCTCTTATAATGGTTATGTGCTAGAGAAGGCTACATACAATCGAATTATTGAATCCCTATGTATGGCTGATAATGTGGAGGATGCAGTACTGTTAAAATCTGAGATGATAAATAAGAATATGAAGCCAAATCTTACAGCATATAGATCTATTATAATCTGTCTGTGCAGAAAAAACAGGACTTGGGAAGCTGAAGAGTTGTTGGAAGAAATGGCTAAAATGGGTTTTCTACCTGATAAAGAAATATGCAGGGCGCTAATCAATAGTTGTTGCAAGGAAAAGAATGTTGATAAAGCAGAGTCATTACTGAAATTCTTTGCCAAGGAGTTTCAAGTTTATGATAATGAAAGCTACAATGCAATTGTTGAAGTCTTTTCCGATGCTGGTCAATTGACTGAGTTGATGGAGCTTCAAGATAGGCTGCAAAATGTGGGATATGCTCCAAATAGTTTAACATTCAAGTATATGATCCATGGACTGCAGAAAGTTGTGAAACAGGAAAATGGAAAGTCGAGGCACCACAACCTTCAAGTATATCATAATGTTGAAATATAGATTCCCCATACAACTTCTAAGCCACCCAATGACCTGATGCAAGGCATTCTTGACTCTTAACTAAAATGATCAATGATGCACGGAGATCAGATCAGCACTCTGTGGAGGGACATTCCTTGTATGGCCTTCTAAATATGGTTACTACATGAGCCAAACTAGAAACACCTGATCTGGTCACACTCAGGAACTTTGAAATTTGAATCATGAACTGGAGTCTATATGTTGAGGACTAGGGAGACTTGATAGCTTGCAGCAAATCACTGCAGAGTCACTGTGTGTCAACCAAATTTTTTCACGTTCCAACTTTTCTGACTGATTGACCTGGAAAAAAAAAACACTTTCCTGACTGACCAAAAAAAAAACTTTGGGACGAGAAGGAAGAGAGAAAGAAGGTGAAAGATAATTTGAACTGCCTGGTATAACTTCTCCATTTCATGCTAGTGAATAAGGCTGAAAGACCGAAGCTTGGCGTTTTGTTCTACGTTCAACATGTTTCATCAATTAACAAGGTAAAAGGTAAATAAACTGCCTGGTATAATTTCTCTCTCTCTGAAAATAGGGTGTGTTTTACAGGATTGGATTCCAACTGTTATTAGCTTGGTTTATTTCGGAGAAAATCAGAGGTTAGGAAGATTCTGTTTTAGGTATTAAGAGTTCTTAATTTTTCCTTGTAGCGACGTCAGCGACAATAACGATGTCCAGATGGTTTGACCGAAAAGAAAAAAGAACAACGATGTCCGGATGGATTCTCGTGGAAGGAGAAAAAAAGACATCAAAGCTAATGTGACATGCGAGGGAAGCCAAAACCGCTAATTGTAATGATCATGTTAAAGTAAGATTCGATGGTCGTGGCTCAACGTCAAAAGAGGGTTTAGTTTATGGGAGAAATTTTCGGCTAGATGCTTTTCCCCCTAAATTTCTGAGTTAAAGAGATGATGGCCCGTTAATTTCTGCAAATGGACCCGTCTTATTCCTGGAAGATCATAGAAAATATAGAGATAGAACCTCAGCTATGAAACTCAGAAAAACATGAGGGAGTTGGTCATTATAGGGATAATGTAATTTAGTCACTTGATTTTGAATCACTTGTCCATTTAGTTCTTTAAATTTAATTTTTATTAATTTAATCTTTTAAGTTTTATAAAAATAACTGAATACTCCTTAATGTTTGAAGAGAATATAATACTGTTGAAATGTGTTGAGATAGATGACAGACTTGTAACAGTCATATAAATTACTAAAAATAAAAATATCAAGCAAAAATTATATGTTCACTTGTGAAAATGAGAAAAAATTATGAAATTTTAAAAAACATATAAAAAGAATGTTAAAAAGATGGTCTGTTCTCATTTATTTACATGTCATGGTATCATTATAATTTACATATTAAATTATTTTAAAAATCAATTTGTATTTAAAAATTTGAAAGACTAACATGATAATTTAATCACATACAAGAGATTAGATTAATAAAAATTAAACTTGGATTAAATTAATAACTCAATGAAATTGGATAGACAAAAAGTTTCATGATTCCTTAATAATATCATTGAATTAAATGTCATGTGTCATATTGCATTTTGCATCAGTAGGATAATTAATAATTATGTTATTCTGAACGAGAGTTGCTGCTTTCCATCGACTTTAGTTTATATCTGGGAGGGGGGGGGGGGGCACTCGTCATCTTCATGCTCAATTAGTTTGGGTCGATTGTTGCTTGACTTGATTGCCCTCATTTCGTCACTGTTCTCTTGAATTCTTGAATACAAATATCATTGGCACATACAAGTTATTTTCTTCCCCAAATTTTCCAACTCGTTTTATGAAATGACAAATAACCCTTGCTTCTTTTGCTGTTTTGCTCAATGAGATAGCCTGAAGATTAGACGATAAATGCAGCACAATTATAGAGCGAGAGGGGTTGAGGCATAATCAAAATAGTCAACGAATTAAAAGTTGATAAGGTCCTGTGAGTATCAGTGTAGGTCACTCTAATCATCAATAAATTTTAAAATTGCAAGAAAAGAAAAATGCGCGATGCAACAAAAACAAAAGGGGCCATGAATGGATCAATCCATTCAGAGCGCGTAATAAAAACATATCATTAAATAATTTTTCAATAAAATCAATCTTCTCTTTCTAAATCATGAGTTATTTCCGCGTATAACATTTTTGTTAAAATCCTGATTGTAAACATGAACCAAGAAAAAAGTGTACCTATATTCGGTATAACCAAGATGTGAACAAGCAGAAGTTCCAAAGGAGCAAAAGCTCCCCGCTTTAATTATATTTTTCATACAGAGATCCAAAATATTTGTTATGTAACAGATCAATCGTGTTCAACACAGTTTTTAACTTTAAATCTTCGATCCTACAGAGACCTAGGCTGCAAAAACAACAGGACGCGCCATTCAAACTATACCACCCAATACAGGCGGCAGCCAAAAAAGAACGAAAGATCCTTCTTACATGTCTTGACCGTAAAAAAGTGGACATATGGAAAAATGAATTTTTAGAAATTGTTAAAATAGGCTCCTGAAAATTAGAGTTTAAAAGATTAAACATTTTACCTCGCTGTACAAATCTGACTATTAGCAGATCCTCAACAGACATTGCCTTCAGGTGATTGTTCGGCAGAAGAAGTTTGACTACACTGACGATCCTCACCTGTTTCTGTATGCTCCGAGCTATTTTTAGTTCCAGAATTTGAGGGTTCTTCGTCTTCCGATGTACTAGCTTCTGCCATAACATAGTCTTCTGGGTGATCATCTGTATGCTCCAAACAACTTTTAACTCCAGAATCCGAGGGCTCTTTATCTCCGGATATATTAGTTTCTTGCATAACTTGGTCTTTTTCTTCTGGGTGATCATCTGTATCTACAGGCTCCTTGGAGTTAGATACTTTTCTATCGCTGCTAGAATTACTAGGTGTTAACCACATAAATTTGAGACTATGTTCCTTCCAGCTTTTCCCATTGATGAATGCCCTCTCAGCTGCCTGACGAGTGGTGAAGCTTATACGTGCCTCTGACTGGTTAATATGGTCTCTGACATCCTCAAGCTCAACGGCAGAAATCTCCCCATATGGTGAAAAGTGTTCCTTCAAAACAGCAGCCTGAAAGATAAATTACGAAAGCGTTAACGAACTTGCATGAAGAAAAACATTACGATGTGTTAACTGTTTACCTTATACCGTCCAAATTAAACATAAAAACAAAAACAGGAAAGGACCTTTATAATCTGATCAAGAAAAGTTTCGAATCTCTTTATCTTATCTCTTTGTTTCCTTTTATTTTCTTTTTCTCCTACTTTCTTCTTATATAGCAACAACTGCACATGTCTCAGTTTTGAGGCCCCATGCCCAACGTAGGCACGTGAATAGAAGGGTGCGAGTGCCTATTGGATGCTGACTCCATCAAATTAAATTAATCTTTATCATTTTGCTCATGGCTAACAAACACAGTCCATACTCACAATACTGTCATATCAAGGCCGAATGTAGAGTTAAGTTTGGGAGTGGGGAGGAAAGAATGGAAGGAATCAAAACTCCGAAGCAGATACAAGGGGAAAGAAGGAACAAGAAAGGTGGTAAATGAATGTTTCCCTTCTCCTTGTTGGAGAAATTCTCACGTTCAAGAAGCTCCCAAATTGGAGGAACTTGAAAATACAAAGGACAAAATGGTTTGGAGGACATTTGAAAATTAGTCAAAAGTCCTTCATTATCCACCCTAAGGCTGTGCACAAACTCAGAAGACCTCATAAAACCATCCCAACCAGATTTTATCTAGCTTCAAAAACAGGGCTCAGGTTTAGGTGTCCACTGTCCAGCTCAATCCAGTGTTGTTAAAGGTGAGGCACTGAACATGGTCATTGCCACTCTAAATTGAGAGGCGATGAGTTTAGTCAGGTGCTCACTTGAGAGCGCCTTGTGCGCTTTGCATGGCCAAAAGGCACTTGCTTGGTAGCACCTTGAAGCAGTAGAGAAGAGAAGATAATGGCTGGGACTGGGTATTGCAGATGAGAAGATGAGGAAAGAAGACAATGTCAACTGGGAATAGAAGAAGAGAAGATTATTCATCCACCGACTGGCTATTGGTAACCGACTGGGCATTGCAGAGTCATGAGTCACAATTTTTATAAAAATGGAAGACAAGATTCATCCATGGACTCATGACTCATGATCGTGCCAGGGTTAGTGGGTATTTCTATATTTTATATCATATTTAATAGTTATATGATATAAAAAATAAGGAAACTTATATCATATTGGAAAAGGAAAGATTTAAATTTTAAATAAGAGAAAACAATTACATAATAGAAAAGATTTTAATTTATTATAAGAAATTATTTTTGACTGAATTTTTAAATATGATACAGAACACAAATTTATATGAAGGTTTAAGTAAATTTATATTTATCATTTCATCTATAGTTAGTTGTTTATATATTTTTCATTTTCATATAGTAGCGCCTTGCTTCATTCAAGTGCACACCTTTCTAAGCGCCTTGCGCCTAAGGCATTTTACAAGCTTTGCGCCTTGCATGCACCTTTTGCCTTTAACAACACTGGGTCAATCCAGATTGTGGGTGACAGTCCAGACAAGCCAAACCAGCCTGATGTATCGTATTTTAAAAATATAATTCCCTTCCTTTCCCTTAGCACTCTGCCCTTTCTATTTTAATTTTCTTTTGCAGAAGGTCCACTTTTTACAAAGAAGACCAAGGGAGGCACCAGTGAGAAGAGTGGAACATATAACTTTGAGTCCGATTAAGAGAGGTAGAGGAAGGCCTAAGAGAACACTCTTGGAAGTTGTTGAACGTGATCTCTTAATTAATAATATTTCTAAAAGCTTAATAAATGATAGAGCACAATGGCGTCTTGCAATCCATGTAGCCGACCCCACCTAGTGGGATAAAGGCTTGTTGTTGTTGTTGTTGTTGTTGTTGTAAGGTCCACTTTTGTTCCATCCTTTATTCACCTAAAGAGAAGTTAGGGGTTTACAATTGAGGAACGACATTGATGGTCATGGACAAAAGCTTCACTGCTGACATAAAAGACCTTCAACAAATGAAGAATAATCAAAATCTGTTCACAAAATCAACCTGATCGCCAGATTTGCGATTTCATCTGTCAATACATATGGAGAATTCATTACCTGAATCCACCTCTTTGCAGTTTAGGGTTTGGATTGGACAATGGGATTGAAGTTGCAGAGGAGGATGGTCGGTGACACCTATTACGATGAATCACTGAGGAAGAAAAGGAAGGGACTTGTGGATTTAGGGACATGTTTCCACATTGAAATCATCATGTGATAGGGAATATTTCATGGGAGTTGGTCGGACATCATTTTTTCTATAAGGGACAATTACAACGATACACATCCATCCATATCTACAGTCCTTTCCCATGGGAGGTGTGGAGGTGCCATTGTGGTGCATGGGCCACTGGCGGTTGACCAACATTTAGCAAAGGCAACAACAGAGATGCCATTAAGGAACTAGCAAATCATCTGGCCCTCTACTACTACACCTTTTGTCATTCCCTTTCTCCCTCTCTGTCAGAGGGAGCATGATAGAGGAAGAAGAGAAATATAGACGAAAAGAGAGGCTGATTTCATTCACACCCTCCACTGTACCCTAGACACTCTATTTATATAGAATATACCCAAGTACCCAAATTACCCATTTATCCCTAATTTCCCTAATTATCCCTTTTTATTGCTAACTCCCATATTCCCACGTATCAATATACTCCCCTCTAAAAGAGATCCTTGTCCTCAAGGATCAGTACAAAGATGAAAAGTTTAAAACCTATATCTAATATATGACTTATTCTGGTGCCATCTCCTCTTGAGCGTCTGCCAATATCTCTGCTCTGTCTTCAACAATTAAGGAAAAGACCTGTGAATCTTGGCAATGGTGTGCACGGCTGTATTTGTCGTCACACCAATAACACAAGCCCTTACGCCTTCGATCGTCCATTTCACTCTTTGAAAGTTGTTTTAAGGGCCTAGAGGATGCCGAACTAGAGGTGCTGAAGGATTGGGTCTGTTTGAACTTATCTGCTAATGGGCTCGTGGTGGATATGGGCTTAGTAACTAGGTCATTAGTGGATATGGGTTTAGTAACCGGGTCAAGCCTGGAACCCGATAATAATGGAGAAGGCAAACGAGAAGACCCAGATGAGTAGAAAGAAGAGAACCCAGAGGAAGGCTTGTGAATCGGCGGCGTAGAAGACGGAGCGTGGTCATGAATCGCTTTAATGGCAACAAGCTGTTGTCTAGCCATCTTCATTCCACTAGCTAGTGTTGTTGGTTGGAGACTAAGGACGCCCTGTTGCATGTAGTTGCGCAAGCCTAGATGAAGCAATTCATGGCTGCTGCCTTTGATAAGTCAACTTTAGTAAGCAACTCATCGAATTTCTCCTCATATTCTTCGACAGAGTCTTGCATCTGCAGTTTCTTTATCGCAATCATGGGGTTTTCATCTTTTATATCCCCAACTTTGGTTTCCATTTCGCGGAAGTATTCTTCCCAAGATATCTCGTCCAAATGCCTCTGTTTAGTGAAGGCTAAGTGCTAATGTAAGGCACGTTTCTCCAAGTGGATGCTAAGAAGACAAATACGCTGGTCAACGGGCATTCCATCCACGTCAAAAAATAGGCGACAGCGATAAGCCCATCCTTGGAAATCAGTGCCATCAAATTTGGGGAATGCGACTCTGCTACTCTTGGTAGGAACAGAGTATGAGTTGGGTGGTGGGGGAAGGAGACCTTGAAAGGACCCGAACTGAGGTGGTGGTGTGAAAATGGGGGATGCAAGTGCTGAGGCAAAAGGGTTCGCTGGTCAAGAGAAAGGGGGTGGTGGTGGGATTGCTATTAGGGGCGAAAGGACAGAGGTTGTAGGTCGAGGGAGAGCGACGAAGGGTGCTTGGGAAGGTGGCTGGGAGGGTTCACCGACTTGAAGTGGAGGGGAACACAATGGTTGATTGGCTAGCATAGTAAGCTTATCAGCAATCTCCTTCATAAATTGAGATAAGGTAGCTTTAATCTCAGATATATCGTTAGTGTGTTGGTCTAGAACCTGTTGAGTACTTTGAAGTAATGAGGATTGCATTTCCAAGCAGTGTTCCAAGTCGCCAACGCGTTCAATCAAGGACCGCATCTCCGGTGGAGACATGGCCGGAGAGATGGCTCTGATACCTTGATAGAGGAAGAAGAGAAATATAGACAAAAAGAGAGGCTGATTTCATTCACACCCTCCACTGTACCCTAGACACTCTATTTATATAGAATATACCCAAGTACCCAGATTAAACTTTTATCCCTAATTTCCCTAATTATCCCTTCTTATTGCTAACTCCCATATTCCCACGTATCAGAGCACCTGTTGAGTTTTACTTTTTCCTTCTACGCCTAACTCAACCCATTATAGACCCAGTTAGACCTGATTATCAGCATGTTCGTATATATCAGTGGTTCTGCTGGGATGATAACTGTTCTGACCATTTCAGTGATGAAGAAATAAAGAAAGAAGCTGCAAAAGGACTAAGCATGTGAAAGAAAATAATACATCTTTTTAGAAAATAAATGAAAATGGCCTTGACTTGAAATAAAAGAAAGTGTCCAACTTATCCTCGCATTTTTCATTCTTCACTTTAAGAATAACGTGGGTCCCAAGACTTGAAATAAAAGAAAGTGTCCAACTTATCCTCGCATTTTTCATTCTTCACTTTAAGAATAACGTGGGTCCCAAAACTTCTCAACCTAAATCAGAGGATTGACAGAAAAAATGAGCCAAATGAAAGTTCTACTACTAAAAAAATTTCCTTCCCTCCATCCAATGGTTAAAAAAAAAAAAAAAGGGATTGAGTCATCCTTGTTTGACTTACTTTCCCTTCCTTCCAGATCTCTCAACCCAAAAAATGCATAAGATATAAATAATAGAAGCTAAGCACTATAGAGAATTGTTTCTTCTGGAGGGAACTGATATTTAAGGACTTCAATTTCTAATCCAATCAAGGACCTGGAGTTTATAATAAAAATTGAATATTTCTTACATATGATTGCATGCCATTGACATGTTGGATATCTATAAGAAATCATGAAAATAATTAACTGTCATATACTAGACATTATAGTTGTTGGACTTGTAAAGAATAATAGAACCTCTTAAATTACACTTCAACAGTGAAGAATTGTTTAATTTCATAACATCAGCAGTCAGTAAATTACTGATCCAGATGCAATATTGATCAGTCTTTTTTTGGGGGGGACATATGGTTCCACCACTTCTCAATCAGTTAATGTGAATATCAAAATGAGATCCTCCAACTACATTTTCATGTTTCCTGAACATGTGTAGCTGAAAGTAGACAATTATCAAAAGTCTACATTTGAAATCTGATCTGGATACATCATATTCATGTCCCCAAAAAAAAAAATGGAATAACGAGGTGAGAGAGAGATCATGACCAACCCATCAAGTTTGTCTCAAGCAGTACTAACCACTATTTCGTCTCTAAATCTATATTCTCTCGTTCTTTCTTTTTCTTCCCCTATCCATAAGACTAAAAATAATTAAGTATTTCACTAAGCATCGATATGTAATGCATCTTCAATATTATGGACGGTCAACTCTCATTGTTAATCAACAGTTCCGTACATTGGAGTAGTCTTCATGGTACTTATCATTAATTTTAATTTTCTAAAAGGTAACTAAAATTATAGAGTATGAAATATGATGGATAGCTTTAGACAAATCTGCCATATACTGTTCTACAATGTAAGTGTCCAACAGGAGATCTGTCTCAATGATGAATCAGACTAAAACATGACGAAGTAAAAAAAGGCATATGATAAATTAATTATCCTTCTCACTAGAGAGAGAAAGAGGACTTACATTTGCTAGTCCAGCTGGTAAAGGGGGGATGATTCTAAATGAAGTGGGACGATTGTCCAATTTGTATCTATTTACAGGTGCATATGGCCGAATTGGTGGTTTCAAGGCCGTAGATTCTTGCTGTGTGATTATTGGAATTGCTTTCGGACTATGAGATACAGGGTTTCCCAATGCATTGTTCTTATCAGCTATTGTCTCCGCATGTGGAGATGTCAGAGAAAAGCCAGAATCAAATAATTGAGAAGCTAGTTTCACACCAGCTAACAAGCCTGTTTTGGGTCTCTTGGCAGCTTGCTCAGTAACTACTTCACCCTTGAGTCCAGTGGCCTGCAAAAGATCAAAGAATAGATTTGTCAATGATCAATTCAACTTGATTTTAATATGTTAGATGAAGGCTCGTGATTGGTTTTAATTGACATCTACAATTGCACTCCCTTCACATCTGAGCTTGAAGCTTACTCAGAGATGGGCCTGACATTTTTGTTGCCGAAGCTTAGTTTAATAGAAAGGGGGTTAAAAGGATCAAACTCTATAGGTTAGACCGCTTTGTCTTGAATACTATGTCCATCATCAATTCGAATTGAAAGCTTAACCTATTAAATGAAGGCTCTCGATATTTAATTTAGTAATTCTCTAAAAATATGATACAACAGAAAAGCAGCATCCTCACATGCTTGCATACAATAATAGAAGAAACTTCAGTACAATGTAGCAGCAGAAAGATATAATTTATTAATGAATAATGATCCTTCTGGGCATTGGAAGAGGACATTGGAGTCGAAAGGTTTCCATCTGAGTAGGAGTAAGACAGAATATTTATATTGTAAATTTGGTAAGAGACTAGTTGATAGTAACTTGGAAGTAAAATTGGGAGATCAAATTATATCTCAACTGAAAAAGTTTAAATATTTGGGAGCCATTATTCAAAATGACGGCGAAATCAGTGGGGATATTTCACATAGGATTCAATTTGGGTGGTTTAATTGAAGAAAAGCTAAAAGAGTTATTTGCAATCGTAAGGTGCCTAATAAACTTAAAAGAAAGTTTTATTGTATTGCTATCAGATTGGCTATGTTATATAATAGTGAATGTTAGGCTCTAACGGGACAGCAAGAGCATAAAGTTGGAATAGCAGAGATGAGAATGTTACGATGGATGTACAGACATACACATAAAGATAAAATTTGAAATGAGCATGTACACGAAAAAGTGAGGGTAACACCTATTGAGAAAAAAATGGTAGAAAATCATTTGAGATGGTTTGGGCATGTACAAAGAAGACCGCAGGAGGCACCAGTGAGAAGAGTGGAACAAATAACTTTGAGCCCTGTTAAGAGGGATAGAAGAAGGCCTAAGAGAACACTTTTGAAAGTTGTTGACCGCGATCTATTAATTAATAATATTCCTAAAAACTTAATAAATGATAGAGTACAATGACGTCTTGCAATCTATGTACCCAACCCCACCTAGTAGGATAAAGGCTTGTTATTGTTGTTGTTGTTATAATGATCCTTCTGGGCGATTGATGTAAAAGAGTGTTAGAAAAGGGGGAGGGAGAAGGTGACAGAAAGAAGGGAGAAAAGGAAGAACTTGAGGGAGTGAACATAAAATTCTCAATTTTATTCGACGAGAGAATTTCCCAGCACGTCATACAAGATGTTCCAAAAAGAATCAACTTTTCATAACATATTTAATTTGTGTGTGTATAAAAAATAAATATTTTATCCTATTACATATGTTAGCCAACGAAATATGAGAAAAAGCATAAAGCATATATTGAGCACCCAAAAAAGAAAAAAAAAACAATTGAATAACAACACTAACGTTTCACATAATCTGATCAAGCTATATAGAGAATATCTCAACATATATCCAAATGAAGTGCAATAATACAAAACAGGGATACTTTTATCATTATCAGGATTCTTTTATTTCTTTTTTTAAATTAGGTTAGTTCTAATTGAATTAGGATGCTTAGATTACCTTCAAAATAAATTTAGTTGGAATAGGATTTATAGGATTCATCCTATTTTCCCATCTTGTCCTGTTTGAAATTTAGTTTATTTTAAATTTGGATAAATTTAATTTATTTTGAATTTGAATAATGTTTACCTTGTCTTTTAGAATTACAATAGTTTAGAGTCATTAGAACTAGGTATTTATGAATAGACCTAGCACCCTTTTTGATGAATTGAATAAAGTCGAGAAAATTGTGTCCACGCTCTCCTTCATGTTCTTCCTTTTCTTCCTCCTGTCTACTTCTCCTTCTCGCTCCCCCTTTCCCTTCACTATTTTACATAAGAAATCTTTTAACTTTATGAAAGGTTAACCCACTTAAAATATTTCAATGAAAGGCTATACAACCTTTGAGCTTTAATAGCCAAGCAGTTATAAGCATCCAAACAAGCATGCATAGTTAAAATAGTGAAAAGTCATTTAGTTTTTACCTGTTTCTCAAGCTTGTTCAAATGGCGTCGAAACTCATTCCGCTTTTGATCCAGCATTTCCTGCTTCTTGCGCAATTCTTCCTTCAGCTGCTCCAAGTTTTCAAGCTTCTTTTGCAATGGAGGCACAGTTTTGGGTCCATTTGCTGTTGCAAGCTTAGGTTGATCAGGAGCTGGGGGTGCATCAGAAACAGTCTTTGGAGCAGTTGCTTGATGGATATCTTTACTCCTATCAGATACAACCGTATGAGAAGGAACCAAAGCAGATGAATGCCCAAGGGTAGTTGCAGTTACACCATTGCCACTGCTAATGCTATCATCAGGAATGCTATCACGATTAGCCCACCACAGCTTAATAAACCGATTACCCATTACAGCATCAGGTGCCTTCAAAGCAGCTTCAGCCTCTTCCCTCTTGGAGAACTGGACAAAAGCTCGCTCACTGTTCAATGGAATATGAATGTCAATAACCTCCCCAAATTTCTGGAAATGAGAGAGAAGAGCATCCCTTCTGTTGCTTTTATGCGGAATGCCATTTACAAATAAAGTACGCAGTGCCTTTTGTGATGGTTTACGGATGTTACGTATATCAGTCTGTGCCTTGAGAGTTGAACCCATGGATTTTGGGCCAACATCATCAGCAATGATTTGCTTCACTTGCTGGGATGAGCTGGGAAAACAATTTAATTCATCATTGTCTTCTTTTAACTGATTATCAGGATGCTGGAAGGTAACCATCATAGGATTAACTTTTTCTTTCACATCAGATCTGTTCTTCGAACCACCAATCCTGGCCCAAACTGATGAACTAGCACTCTGGGAAGTGAAAGTTCTGCTAGTTCCCATTGAAGAATCTCTCTCTGGAGCATTGGATAATCTTGCGTTATGCCTATCAGAAGGAGCATCACTGGAGAAGGGCTCAGTTTCATCAATCTTGGATGACTGTAGATTAAGGAGTGCATTTGACGTTTCAAGACCACTATCATTCCAAAGAGGCTGGTCAGGATCATAAAAATCAGCTCCACTTGTGCCACCAGGAGCCAGGTATGCGCCACCCAATACCAAACCATCATCACCTATTCCAGACTTGCTAGCTTTGCCATGTATACCTTTGCTATTCATTGAAGTGGTTGTTGCACTTATTGAATGTAAAGATCCAGATCCAGCCGGTGCCCCCATAAGGTGTGCACTTGGAAGTGAAACTGGAAGGTTGAACTGCGAAAGACTCTGCGAAAGACTCTGAATTCAGTGAAGCTATTTCAGTGAAGCTATTAAATCAATAGAAACACTGCATATTTTTTTATAAATTGCAACTTTTGGGAAAGTCCATTAATGCAACTCACAAATGCGCACAGTAAATACTAAATTTCTAATTCTCTACAAAGTCAGAGTTCACCTAGAAAGACACATGGCACATTATCATTGTAAAAGTACTGTAAATTGGATTGATAGTCCAAGAGAGCTGGACAAACCCAGAGCTCAAATAAGATTATCATAATCTCTTTGTTAATGCTTCTAATCATAGACAACAAACCAAAACTGCTCAGAAGCACCTTTCTCTACCATTTTGCTACCATAGGTACAAGTACCAAGATGAAACTCACTTAATAAAGATTCATGCACATCTACAAAAATCATTTAGCCTTTGCAGATACACATGCAAAACAATAAGTAGAAATTACAGAGAGAAAAAAGGTGATATTAGTAGTGGAAAGATGGTTGATATTAGGCCCCACATATCAAATAGAGAATAGCTAAGAGAACAGATACCTGGACATCTTCAATAACAATCCGATTGACACCATGCTCCATTGGGCACATGTCCCCTCTAAGGCAAAAACCACGTTCCTCAAAGTCTCTACATCTTTGGCGAGGAATACTCAAACTTATTGATGAATTAATAGGTGGTCTGAGTGCTCCTTGTAAACCAATGGGACGAAGCATATCCAAGCCACCATTAGGTACTCCTGGAATTAAACCAAAAGCATTCCATGATGCATTTTGTGCATTTGAAACATTTGGCAACCCCCTTCCACTATAAAGGCTTGAAGGAATGGGCCCCTGCTGCATCATCTGCGAAGCAACATCAATTGAGCTGAACCTAGAATCACGCTGATTCCAAGAACCCAGCTCTCTTCCTCTTCCCCTCCCAGCACCAAGATCTCCACTAAATGATTGGTTTGGCCGTAATCTTTGATTCATATCTAAAGGTGCTCGGGGAATTGAATTCAATCCAGGGCGCCTTTTTATCATTTCAAATGCTTGAGATTCATTTTCCCTGAAAGATTGCCGATTCCCAAAAGTTTTGTTACGCTTTCTGAATGGCCTGCTCATAACAGGCTCTGTAACATCTCTCTCCAATGATAGAGAACGGTCTTCCCGCCTCCGATGCTTATGATTCCGATCATCATCATCTTCATCACTCACTTCCTTTTCCTCTGGATCACTGACACTATCAGATGGGGCAAGAGATGGCTTTGGAGATGAAACTCTCATCTCCATTGATTCACTTAAAAATGCAGGTTTTACTTTGTCCTCTTCCTCTTCCAATTGCAATCTAGATATGATAATCTGACTTATCTGTCATACAGAGTCAGTCCAGCAATATAGAAAGAACCTGCATCAAGAGAAGCAAACTATGCTCAGAAACAATATTGATAAAAACAGTACTCAAGCATATAGCTTAGCTTGATGAAGAAAGAGAACAAGTTGTCCACCAAATAATTAATACGTATGCTGGTTAGAGTAAGATCAGACAGGAGAAAGAAAGTGAATTCAGAAAACTATGAAATTACAACCGCAATAGACAAATGCTTTTCTTATCTTGTATAAAATTCAGAACACTCACGATATCAGAAAATTTGGTGTTATACAACTCTATATGCCCAAAAATCATCATGTCAAAACAACTGCATTGTTTAGTGTTGCAGTTGCAGCAATCCATGACAACAAATGAAAATTGAGCATCTTATAATTTATAAAGTGTGTGAAATAACCTATTTCACTCAAATCTATTGGATAAAACAATCATTTTAGTAAGATAAGATAGAGAGAAGGAAAAAATGAGCCATTTACGAAAAAGGAAACAAGAAGAAATAAACAATCAAAGGAAAAAACATTTCAGAGAATTAAAGCACTCAAATCTCCCAACATGCCTGACCATACTCCAAAGAAAAACAAAAGGCAAAAAAAAAAAAAAAAAAACCTTGGCTAGGAGCCCGGAATCAAAAAGATAACAAAGAGCCACGCTTTAAGTCTATCCTATTGAAGAGGCAAAGAAGGAACAACACCTATACCATTTTGAAGAAAAACACCCATTAGGAACCCAGCAGAAGATCAACCAAGTATAATTCAGCACTGCACTGAGTACAAGGACCCTATTTATTGATAATTAATTGTTCATGTCCTTAAACACCAAGTATATTGATCACATTAAAAACTCAATACCTGGTGCCAGTTTCAAGCATTTGAAATTTTTTATATGAAATACAACAAATATATAGAATGGTATAAAATCCTAATGTTTATCAATAATCATAATTGGGGGAAAAAAGATGAAAGGTTTTTTCTCGTTAATCTGACCCAAAACTTTTTTTTGGGGGGGGGGAACAAAAGAAATTAGTTCACAACCTCCTAATTTCTTATCCATAATTGGTAATCATGTTTCCCTGTCTAAAAAAATCAATCATAATGTTTACCCTAACAATCAAAATTATCATTACTAGAAGCTATTAAATTGTTTATCAATAATCATAATAACAGGCAATTACATTTAAGGTTCTGAGAGACAAATCTGTTTGGTAGTCAGTACCCAACATATTAGATACAGAAATGGAAAGGATTTAAGCCACTCAGGTATTTAAGCCACATATCAGAGAATTAAAGCTCTGTTCTGGTGAAGGAAAATGATTAATGGGATCACTGACTATCTAAAGCACTGTGACCCTTGCGCAAGATGCAAATACGAGGCCATTGCTACCCCAGGGCAGCTACAACCTCTTCCAAACCAATTCCAAGTAGGATTTAGGAGAGCATTACCATGGATTTTTTTTTTTTAAGGGCTGCCTAAATCTAATGGCAAGGATACAGTATGGGTTATCATTTGCCTAAGTGTAGTGTTAACATGCCAAAAAATTGCCAAACCCACCTAATGAAATAAGGCTTGTTGTTGTTGTTGTTGTACAGTATGGGTCATCATTGATCGGATGGGTGAGTATGCTCCTTTGCTCCCTCTAACTCATCCTTATTTAGCAACAACTTTGGCTCAAATATTTATGGATAATGTGTATAAACTACATGGAGCTCCAGCAGAAATTATTAGTGACCAAGACCCTGTCTTTGTGAGTAATTTTTGTAAAGAATTCCTGCAGGTGTTATGTAGATATTATTGTTCGAAAAGGATTTGTCTTGTTTCTCGTGGTTCCCTATCCTGATACCAAATGTAACCTAAGAATCATAACAAATGTGATGGACGTGACTAGATATTTATTGAACTAATACTCAAAATGGAAATCCATACAGTAAAATCCTGACTTATATATATATATATATATATATATATAATTATTGCATTCTCCAGGGCAGCTGAGGCAGCCACCGAGGTCCCTAGAGCAAGGCAGTTTGAGAGCCTACTTATAAGAAGCTTTAGAACATGGATGAAAAAACATCAGACACTTTTGGGTCATCTAGGGCCAAGCACCATAGAGAGTCTGTATCAACAATCATATCAGATATCTAAGTGGTGAGAAGACATCCAGGCAACAAGCATTATGATCAAACCAGATTTGTCAAAAGCAATATAAAAATGCACATCACCATAAAGCCCTTCCCTCCTTAGAACCACTGAAACTTCTGAATCTAATCAAAAGGAGTAATTTGTCTGCATGAGGAAGTGGAAGCTGGGCAATGTAAATTTTCTTTTTATACATACAGAAAGGAAATTTTATTGGGGAGGATAGGTAACAATACAGAAACAGAAGACAAAAGATCTGAAAGAAAATTAATGATTATCTCATTTTTATCTGCCAATATAATTTTGGTCATATAAGAAGATACCACAGCCAAGGCATTTAAATCATGTTGCTTTACATGTTTGATAAGTTCTATGCTCTTTACCGAGAAGTAGCAATTTTGGCCCTCTAAAAACATAAAACTTCATTTTCTATAAGTAGATCTTTCACAGTATCAAAAGATATTTTAAAAAAAAAAAAATCTGATTCATGGAAGCATATGATATTATTATTCTGTTACACAATTTTAATTGGAACAGTTAGTTAATAGTTTATTGTTAGCAATCGTTCGGAAGAAAAGTTAGTTACTAGCCGTTAGAAGCTTAGGTAGGGGTAGAAGCTTATAAATAGACAACCTATGTAACTCAAAGGATGGCTTTTACCTTGAATGAGAATTACTTGGCGCACTATTCACAAATTCTCTACCCCCTCTGTTCTTCTCTCATCTAAACTTTATCTCTCTTCGTCTCTTTCCCTCTTTTCTCTTTCTGTCAGTTTTACAAACTTGCAACAAATTCACTGACAGTACATCAAATTCAAATATTTTCCGGAAATGACAAACACGCCCTTTTCAGTCACGTGACCACTTCAAATCCTGCCTGATTCCTTGACAACCTCCCAATGTCTCAATGCTCTAAACTTTAAAGCATTTTATATCTCAAAACAGAATTTCCCATGAATGCTAACACCCTGATCCCTGTTGAAAGCTTCGAAGTTCAAATGTTGTCAATACAATATAATTGGTTTTTGTCCATTTCCTCGCAGATATTATCATCATATCATCAAATAAGAATGTAACGCCTATTATAGTCTTCTACGTACTTTTTTCAATTAGATATTTTGTGAATGAGACTATCCAATCTTCCACCCAATCAAAACAAAATAAAATGTCAGAACTCCCAGCTTAAGTTGGTAGTAGACAGTTGCACGTGCTGAGAATAACATGCATTGAGAACAGGAGAGGGTATAGCATCATGGTTCGTCTGTGATTGGAATTAAAACAACTTCCTATCCGGAAACCAGATGATCACGGAGTAACTGTGAAAGGAGGGAACACATACCCATAGGCGGACCTAGACTACACTTAGTGGGAGCATCCGGCCCACTGAATTCTTTGAAATTGGCATAGTTGATATAATACCCTTTTAATTTTTGTTCCAGATACTTTGACACAGTTCGAGCCAAGTCATTTCCAAGACCATACATCACAAATACCTTGAGAGTTCTCCAAAATTGATGATAATATAAAAAGATTAACAAACAGAATGCTAATACACAGCAAATCAAACGTTGCAAAACAACACAACCGAAATCATACAAGTCGCTAGTAATCAGAATGGGGTATAGTAGCTAATTACACACCATTCAAGCAAAATCTAGTACCAAAAAAGATAAACTCAATATGTAAATGTTCCCAAATTCAAAAGAGTCAATATTCAACGATTACACGACCAGATTCAAAGCCAAATTAAAATGGAAAATTTAAAGCAAGGCAAGCACGGCCACGCAGGGAACGGGTGACGCGGGGAACAAATTGAAATCTAGATTCCAAGAAAGATTGAACAAATCAATCTCACCGGATTTTCGGAGTAGAAAAAGCCCTAGGGTTCGAACCTTCTTCACTGACAGCCCGAGAACACCCATGCAGGGCTGACAACGGTGGACAGCGTCCAACGGAGTGTGGAATGCTTGTTCGTCGACGAAGAGAACCGAATCCGCTACTCACGAGAATGGGTTTTATCGGGGTTATAATTAATTTCAGGAAGAATTTGGGATAGGTCAAAAATTATTAATCACTCAAATATACGTGTAAATTTATTCTCAGCTCTTATCTATCAAATATTAAATAATACTAAAAATATTTTATGATGAATAAGATCTTTGCTATGATCTTTTTTTATTATATTTTTACTTGGATCTTTTAAAAACTCTTGGATTTAAGCATAATAAATGTAATTTGACAAAAAAAATATCATTCTCACTCTTTAAGCAGGAAAAAGCCAGCAGTTTAATCAAATTTATATAATTACATCGTGAACTTAGTTTTATATTAACTTAAATAAGATTAAATTTATAGATAAGGTAAAAAAATTAAGAACGCCCCTTATAAATTTAAGAGATTACCTGTTTCATATTAAGAAGATGGCTTGAAACATTTAAATATTTACCTGCATTTTAGCGTCTTCACTCTTCCTTATTTTCACTTGTTCTACTCATCTCTCTCTCTCACACACACGCGCGGGGGGCTCTGAATTTTAAATCAATGGGACAAAGTTTTCCATGCCTGCCTAGAATTTCACTCAACTCGGGTATGTTTGACTTCCCTGAAAATTGCACCCGTTAATTCAAAATTCTAAACTCATCACCGCCCTTACCCATTATCTTCTTGGAAGAGGAAGACAGAGAAGAAGGGAGTGCAGGGAAGAACTTCATCTAAATTAAGGGCTTATTTGGATAACTGTCAAAAACACATTTATATTACATCTAGAATATATTTTTATCAAATTTAATAGATGGTTGGATCTCTTAAATATATTTTTAATAAATATAAATTAAAAATCAAACATACATTAAAACAAAATACAAACCAAACCGAAAGCTACCAACAAATGAGTCCTGTATTTTAATGAAGCCACAAAGAAATTAAAGTCAATTTCCTATCCAACCATTTCAAGTTTTCTTTTTACCTTGAGGTTGATGTACGGTCAGCATCTGTGCAAGGACCTGTTGGGTTTGGGAATCACAGCCAATCTCCCAAAAGCAAACCCAGAAACCCATTACTCGTCAAGGTTGTTAAACTTGCAATAAACCCGTGACAAACATGTGAACTTGTATTATAAACTTAGATCGTCAGCTCGTAAAAGTTTATTTATATTAATAAATAATTATTAAAATATAATTATAATTTAATTTAAATATATTAAAAATATAAATTATTAAAATTAAACCCATCTATATTAATAAATTATCATATACATGACATAAAATTTTTAAAATAAAAGAGCTTATTTTTTTATTAATATTAGTTTTTGGACTTCAAGTTTTTTCTTCTTTGAATTAGGTCTTATAACCTCTATGAACTAAATTCTTTATAATATATACTTAACAAGTTCAACTAAAAAAAATTAACAAATTTAACAAGTTTAACCAAACTTAATTATATCTAGTTTGAGTTTATAAATTAATTGACATGATTTTTTAAGTTAAAAACTTAAAAATGGTAAACTCGCAAGTTTAACCGAACTTGTATTTAATTTAAATTTATGAGTGAATTAACATGATTTTATAAGCTGAAAATGTAAAAATATTAAATTCGTAGAATTAACTCAAAATTTTGACAATTATATTACTCGTGTTGTGTCAGTTTGTCACTCGTAAGGCTGTACCCACGAGAGAACTAGTACGATTGTTGCAAATACATCTTAATATAAAAAAAAAAAAAACCACAACAAGGATGGGGGATTCAGATCCAGGTATTCCTCCCCTCCCAATTTATCAAATAAATTTATATAAAATTTTAAGTTTTATTAAATACATTTTACATTCTTATTTTAAAAAAAATTTAAAATATAAATTTTTAAAAATATTATTTATTTAATACAACCTTAAATTATTGGAGACAAAATAATAAGGAGTGAATGATAATATTAAAAAAGTATATTTGATGAAACCTTATTTTTATCCAATTATCTTACATTTTGAGATAATGAATTATGTTTAAAATCATCCCATAATTTGGGATGGAAGTAGCATAATCTTATCTTTAAATATTTAATGACTCAATATTTTATTATTTTTATTTAGATAATTATAAAATCAAAATATATTTGCAGTATAGTACCTTTTTTTTTTCGGCGAGACACTTATGCCGAAAAAGGTTCCATAGATAGAGCTGATAAATAAGTGGGATTAATAAATATGGGCACATCTAAGCTTGACCTATTCGGGCTCAAGTCAAGAAGCCCATTTAGTGTCATTTATCCAGATGCACACTTTATTGATAGGTTTTTTTTTTTAATTTTAAATTTTAAAATTTTTAATTTTTATATCATAGTATTGCATATTCTATTCCAAAACTAAAAATATAATATTCAAAATAAAAAATAAATAATATAAATTTTAATTTTATAAATGAGTATTTTGAAATTTAAATATAATTTAAAAATTAAAAATGCCTTTTATCAAGGGTGGAACACAAAAAAAATGTCTCAAAAGGGTACTCAACCACTAAAAAAAATTTAAACAGAGAACCCATCAAATTTTGTATGTATCCCCAACTCTACTACAAGCATGAGATTAATATCTTAAATTTTAATTTTTCTCTATTTGTTAAGGGCGGTCAGACTTTAATTAACAATAATATCCCACCATCGTTGCTTTTAAGTTTACTTACCTTCCTTGTTTTAAATGAAATGACTTTGAAAAATTGTTGATATTTGTATCTGATGTATTTCTTTTCAACCAGATAAAAAAAATATTTTACATCGATTGTCTTCCTTGTAATTACATGGCATTCTTTAACTATTCAGCAAAGATTGACAAAATAGTCCAAAGCAGTTTGTATTGTAAAAATGGGAAAAAAAAATTATTACCTTTCACTATCACCCTCCAATTAAGATCAATATTGTATCCTAATTCCTTTTAGTTTATTTCTTTTATAATTTATCTACATAAAATTTAATAGAGAAATATTTTTTGCCGTGATTGTGTGAAAAAAGCACCTTAATGTTGGGAGTATGGTATGGCAAGCATTTATGTTATTACTGGTTTTATATGTCATTGTTATTTTTTCTTGGAAGTGTCAATGATATCGCTCAATTTTTATATAAACCTTTAATTTAGTTGTTAGAGAGATGCTCTTTGCTTTCTCTATTTAAAAATATAAAATATTTTTATTTTAAAATGTAATTAATAAATTTTTAAAAAAATATCCACAATAAATAAAATACTTTATATTTATTTTAAAGTAAAACATACCCTATTAAATAGAAAAAATATGAAAAAATGATATTAGTTTAAAAACATCTAACTATTTTAATTAGAATGAAATTTAATTAAAAATATTTTATATTTTTTATCAAAGAAAGTATCATATTTACAAGACAGTGGTATAATAATATGAAAATTGAAAACAACAAGGGTAAACATGGAAAGAAATCTTGGCCAACAAATAACACAAAGAGATCATCATCAATAAATAATTTCGTTTTTTTTTAAGTAACCGTGCACGGCCATATGTTGAATTAGCGGTGCAAGGTTTTTATGATCTTCGTTGAATGTAACGTTTTGCCCTTTTATGGAAAAAAAAAAAATTTAATATTTATAGTTCATGCACTCATATATAAACCTCACGCTTACGAGGAGGTGGTGAGAGAAAAATTTCGTGATAAAAAATTGTTAGCTATGTGAATAACATTGTATTATTTTTGAAAATTTAAAAAAATTTATTAGAAAAAGTGGTCTAAGTTCTTAAGCCTCACTGATTTTATAATTTAAAGATAAATTTGTCATCTAGGTTTTTATTAAAAATATTATTCAATGTATTTCAAATAGAGGATTCAAATGCTGACCCAAAAAATAAAATAAAATAAAGGATTCAAATGTTACGTGTGTGAGGGAAAATATGCTATGACGTGACGGCGATTCCACATTACAACTAAAGAGATGGAAATGTGGAGAAACTTGGGCATACTGAAAAAAGAGATTATAAAATGTTAGAAAAATCTGGTTGACAGGATTTGATAAAATTTTGTTGGTGATAGAACTGTATTATAAGAGCCATTAATTTTATGAAAATTGTTTTAAAGCTACATTGAAGACTCTTAAAAAATATGAAATATTTTTCAGAAAATATGACACATCTATTCGAATATTTTCTGAATTAAAATATTTTTTAAACAGAACATTCACATTGCCATGAAAGAATAATTTAACTAATATTCCAAAAATTTTCTCATACATGATAGGATCATTGTTACTCGAGCCTTTATGAATTTTATTAGTCATATTATTAATAATAACCAGTATTAATTATAAATTAAAAGTATTTATGACTCACAACAACTTGTGATTTTTTTTCCATTACTCAAAGATATCACTCTACTAAAAAAAATATACGTTTGAGATACGGTTGAACATTAAATGTGAACACTTTTTTAATAAAAATTTAAATTTTGATTGATCACTTTATAAGTCAACTTGTGATCTACACTTTGATATGAGCATAGGTAGCGTTCAATGTGGCATCTGACAAGGTTTTCAATGTGGTATCCATGATGGTATGGAGAGTGGTAGAATCAAGAAGATGAAGAGAATATTTGTGCCATTAGAGTTCATTTGATTTAATCAATTTAAGTTTTTTTCTGTTTCTATTGATTTTTTGTATTTATTTTTTCATGCATTTTATTTATTTAGTATTTGTAAACTTTAACAGTCTATTTTGGCCTTTTAAGCTTAAGTTATCCATTGAGATTTTCACATTAGGTTTTTAGAGAGCCCTAGCTGAGTTATGAGTTTTTTTTTTTAAAAAATATTACTCATATTTGTATGGCGTAAGGGGAGAGCATGTGAAATAAAGAAGTTATTTCTTCTTCACAAGTTTCACTCATTTATCGGTGTTTAGAGTTAAATATTACGTGGCTTTTCAAGTATTTGCGGTGTAACACCCTCAAATTTACAAATTAATTTTTTGCAAATCATTAATTCAATAAATCATTTTTTTTCATTGAACCCTCATCATACCCTTATTATGGTAGAAAAATTTCTACCAAAGTACATCCAAGACAATATACCACATGTCTTAAAATATCTCAAAAAAACAATTAGAACCATGAGGGACAGACAGGGTCCTCATGGCATGATATTTAAATCAGGTCATGAATCAAGAGGGACAGATATAATCCTCTTGGTCATATAAATACTTTTAATAAAAAGAATTAGAGTTTACATGCTTCACAAGGAAGATATGTCCTAAGTTGGCACAAGATACATTGTATAATCCAAAATAAGAGGCAACGTAAAAGATGGTGTCTCATACACCATAGTTACACCTCTGGTGCTTTCTCGGCCGGACTCGCTCCTATAAAAATATTAACCATGGGGAATGAGACTTAAAAGTCTCAGTAACCAGAAATTAACATGTAATGATGCATGCGGATGTAACTAATCATGCGATTGCTAAGTGGGCACACAAAACATTTAATCGAACAATACTTTCAAACAAACCGAACAAGTATTTAATTTGCATGACTGCACCTTATATCCTCCTTTCGCCATGCTCAGACGCCAAATCACCCAGCCAAAGGTGAGTTAGACCAAGCGACACGCCACTCATTGGGTCCAATGAGGGCTTACCACGTGGTAATAATTAACCGAACAGAAATTCCCATTAACACCATACATTAAAATACCCTGACAAGTCATGCATCATTCAAATAGCCAAACAGGAATATATCCGAACAATAATATCTCATCATGATAAATAAAAATAAATTTTTGACCCACTTGGCAATAATTTCAAACAAGTATATAACAGTATTTATTTTCAATAATTCATAGTTTTTCCAAACAACAAGTCAACACATAACCATTCACAAACACACTCATCACAACACATTAATAATGGTTACCTTGTGTCTTGAATAACAAGTTCCCCTTCACAACTCCTTTTTCACCACTATCTTTGTCAATATAATCTACATAATTATTTCACAATACTGTATATTAATTTTACATTAAAATAAATAACTCTAATTTAAAGAATTAGAAAGTCTTAGATCTATAATCCATATTAATACTAATTTAAGATTTATGCCTCATTTAGCTTCCCAAATTTTTTTTTCTAAAATTCTCGTACCCTAATAAATTATTTTTTTTATCCTCAAATCACTTCTAGTATCACAATTTCATCCTTCTATATTCTAAAAATTCATCCAAAAATAAATTAAAAATTTTAAAATTATCCTGAAACCTCAAATCACCTTTCTATAACCTCAAAAATACCTATTCATACTTAAATAAATATTTAATAATTAGAGGTTTATCTCTACATCTCAGATTCCACATAAATTCAACCATATAGATCTAGATTTTAACTCAAAAATTTTTAAACATGGGTTTTAACCTCAAGAAAATATTCTATAATATTTATTATATCCCTAAGAGTTTTAACCTATATTTTTAATCCATCATATGATCAGATTAACTATCCTATAAAAAAATCCTAATCAGAATATTTACTCTATCCTACAAAATAATCATATCACTAAAAAGCTAATGTTATTTAGAAAATAACTATAAAATTAATTTTGTAATTAAATAAATTTTTTAAATGCTAATCTAAACAGGAAAGTTAGAACATACCTGAAGAAAAAGAAAATAATTCCCCTTGCGAGAAAACGCTGAGCAACGTGAGAGGAAGAGAGAAAAATAATATAAAAATGAGATTGTGGTCCCAAGGTTATATTAAAAAAAACTATAGCTTTGAATTTAATTATTCAAACCTTTGAGCCATTACTTGCAATTTTCACAAATTGCATCTTGGGCCCTTAATTGTAATTTTCACAAATTGCAATAAAAAATTCTTCATGCTTCCTCCATAATGCACCTCTTCTTTTTATACATGAGGAAGTGCCTTTCATTCCCACATCTAACCGATGTGGGACTAAACCCCCTCCCCTTTTTTTTTTACTTTCTTTTCTTTTTTTTTAACTACACTCACACATTAATAATATTTTTTTTTAAATCTTAAAATTATATCTTAACAAAATATTTCTTATATAATTTTAAACTTAAGTTTTTAATTCATAATTAAATACCTAACCATATTATTATTTTCAAATAACCTCAAATAATATAAATTCCTATTATTATCATCATTTTAAAAAAATTTAAATTTCATAAATTTTTTTTATCTAAAAATTAGGATGTTACATGTGGCATTGAGAGCTTCTTCTTCTTTTTTTTCTTCGAGCAATCTTTGGTATGGTTACAACTCTTCTCGTGGGTATTTCAATCAATGTGTTCTCTATGAAGTAACATACCGCGGGATTTCAAGTTATTAAACAGGCTTCTGTATCATTTAGTACTAGAGGTAGGTTTTTTGTAAAATGTTGGATCCTTTCATAACATTCCATCTTTACATTTATCCTGTCTATTCATTTGCCCATCCTTTATTCTGTACAAATTATTACTACTATAAAATATATCTTTAAGAGTGGGTATTTAAAAACGCTTCTTTGAAAAACACTCTGAAATGTGAACATGAAGTTTATTGGAGCACTTTTTTTAAATAAGTACTTATGTATGTCAAAACTTTGAGAGCACTTAATAAGATAGCACTCTAAATTAATATTATTAAAATATTTTAAAAAGGCCTACAATATTATTTAAAAAATGTAACTAGAAATCATCTAGTTTAGTTAAATCAACTCTCCTCTATTTTTATTGAATTTTCGTATTTATTCTTTCATATATTTTATTTGTTTAGTATTTGCAAGTTTTAATAACATATTATGGGCCTTTGGGCTCAAGTTATCCGTTAAGGTTTTTATACGAGGTCTTTAAAAAGTCTTAATTGAGTTATGAATCTTTTATATTTTTTTAAATACTACTTGTGTGTGGACAACATAAGGGCAAAGTATATGGAATAAATAAGTTATTATTATTATTATTTTTTTACAAACTTCGCTTGTTTATTAGTGTTCAGGGTTAAATACTTTTCAAGTAATTGTGGCATTGGGAGTTTATTATTTGAGAAATCTCAGGCATAATTCAAACTTTTTGTGTGAGTATTTTAATTAGTGTGTCTTCTATAGAGTAACCGACCGCAGGATTTTGAGTTATTGTGAGTTTTTGCATTACACTTGATAGGGTGATATAACGTGATTAATGTTAACGACATGTTGCCACAACAGCACAATTCCTTTTCAGTAGAAATGATGTCACATGCATGTTTAACACCGAGAGATGAGCGCGGGCTTGATTAAGTAACGCTATTATATTTTTTGGTTGTTTCGAACAAAAGAAAAGGAGCTTGAATGGTTGATCATTGATTCATGTTAACAAAACAACAAATTTGTCAAAGTATTATGTTTTGAATAGACTCAGCAGAGGCAAGTGGATGAATTGCTTGTATTTAAAAAAACACAGTGTTATTCACCCAAAAATAATAATAAACAAATAAAAACACCACAGTATCTGCATCCATGTATTAATGCTCCTCGCCCTCACCGCATGTTTGATCACGCTTCCTCAACTAACTCTTCATTATTACTCCCTAACCACCTCCTTTAGGTATCCTTCCCCCATCATCACCAGCACCCCACTCTCTCAAGTTTACTTGCTAAATCAATCAAATATAGTTTAATTCTACTGATCAGGAGCAAGCTTTCTTAAAAATAGGATTTTATCTGATCTACATACATAAATCTTGTCAAAAGTATTTTTAATATAATTATATGATTATATGATATCTAGTAACATTTTGTAAGGTAAAAAAGCAAGTTGACCCAAAATTCTATATATATATATATATATTTGTGTATTGTTTTCCTTCAACTTTAAAAACAGTCTAATCTATCCTTACTATTAATAAAAATTAATTTTAATCGCTAGTTAACCAAAAAAATAATAAAAAAGGAACTAAGAATTATTAAAAAAATTAAGAAATTATAGACAATGACCTAGATTTTTTTTGGCTTTTTTTTCATAATTTTTGAGTTCATTTTTTTATATTTTTTAGTTAACAAATAGTTATAATTAATTTTTATTAATAATAAAAGTTAAGTTGCATCGCTGTTAAAAGTCAAGAAAAAAATATCATATAAAAAATGAGTTTAAAATAATACATATTTATGGATCGATAATTTAATAGTCAATTTATTTTTTAACTCTATTTTTTAGGGGAGGTTTGAAATAATATTTTTCAATGAAAACCTTTATTTTTGATTTGGAGGATTCTTCCTAACAAAGTTAATACTCATTGACATCAATAACCATTTTGATGCCAAAATGTTTTTAATTAATCATTTTAAAATTTAAATTGATATGAGTAATTTCTCACCATTGTTTTTTTAACTGGAAATTTATTACTTTTGATTAAATTTGTACAAACATATACTTTCTTATCTTTATTATATGATACTTTCAAATGATTCATGTATATTAAAAAAATTAATTATAAAAAGTGAGAGATTTGTTCAATTTTTATCCTTAATTTTAAATAATAATATAATTACATTAATTTTCATATTAATTAAGAAAAAATAAAATTAAAAAAATAATTTAATTATTATAAACTGTTCTCAAATAAAAAATTATTTTTAAAAAGCATGTTATAAATAGGATGGGAGCGAGTACTTATTTGTAAGTTAATTATTTGTGCAAATCGAATCCACCCAATAATCTTCTAGGAAGCACTACAATCTACAAGTCTATAAACTATTAATAAACAAAGCAACCCAACCAGAATTCATCTTGGCTATCAAGACTTTCTGCCTCTGAAATAATCATTCATTCCTGCATCCTAGAAGACGTTCTAACAAAATCAAATCATATTATCTGGAGATGCACAGATTCTGTTCTCCTGCTGTCCTGCTTGCTTTTTTCTGCTTAAAGAACAAGGTTATGGAAAAGAAAGTGAGTAGTTTCATTGAAGTTTAATCACAGGCTTCGCATCACACGCAACCAGAAAAGACCTTGTCACTTAGTGCCTGCGATGCGGAATATATATTTGGCAGGCAGCACCTCTTTCTAATTGAGACTAATAAAAGTTTCCCCGCTGAAATCGACACTCGACTAATGACTCAAGCGCACTCCTTCTCTCTCCTCCTCTCCATTTTCTAATGCTCTACAGTCTAGCTTCTTAACTCCTTTAATTCGTCTCAATCACATGCTCTCGCATATTGTGACAATTCACGAGAATCTTGAAGGACATTGTTTCTAGCACCACATCCCAGCATCCTCGCAAGCAGAGCTTGTATTTTCCTTGGGGGTTTGGATGGTTATCTGGGGAGTAAATTTTCCCGGGCATTTGTTCAAGTAGTGAGGGGAATTCTCAAGTCTCTCTCTAGGGTGAGAAACGCTGTTTGTTTTTACTCTAGAGTGAAGTCAAATGTTTCATTTCTCAAGGTGATTGAACTACTGCTGGATCAGTTAGAAATGGGGGAGCAATCAAACTGAAAGGGTTAACAAGATGAAGCGGAAGGTTTCTCAGCAGAAATCTCAACCCAAATGGACGAGGAAGCTCTTTGTTGTGTTATTGCTGGGAATTTGCTGCGTAAGCTTGTTGTTTATGCAGACGCATTACTCTCGAATTACGGGCCTGACTTCCTTGCAGCACCGATTCGTTGATAGGCCGAAGATTGCGTTTCTCTTCATAGCACGGAACCGGCTTCCTCTGGAGATGGTTTGGGATGCATTTTTTCGGGTGTGTTATTCAATTATTTTGTCTTTTGTGTGTGTGATCTGTAGGAAGCTAAAATAGGGTGATTAATTAGCTACTTATCTCTTTTTCCTTTTTTGGAATATCTAACGCTTTTAACTACTTTTGTATGGCTCAAGATTTCATGGATTCGAGTAATCTTTAGCAAATATCAATTAATGCGTGGGCAATCGCTTATGGATGGGCTATGGTTTCAAATTCTCAACACTGAGCTACTGTTTTGGGACTTGTTGCTTAAATATGTAGCGAATCCGAATACACAACAGTTCTGAAGTAGTCTTCTTTTTTCACCATAGATCTTAATTGCATGTGTATTCAGAATGTTTTTTTCCTGCTAAGAATATTCATCGAGTTTTCCACATTCAAAGCACCACTGATAAATAGCTCAATCTGCAATGCTATATTGAATCTCTTCTCGGAATAGTGATTTAAGCAAGGGCAATTATCTATCTCAATTGTCGTTTAAATTTTCACAGCAATGATGCGAATTTCCTTACCTTCTGGAACTAAATTCATCTTATGCAGTTTGCACACAGAGTTTCATGGTTCTGGCTAAATTGATTGTCTGAACCTCTTTTGATCTTTCTTCTCTCCCTCTTTGCCAAATGAGAAAATATATAATCATTTACAGATGTTCCCAATGTACAGTCGTAGAAAGTTACCATTTGTGCATTGAAACTTGAAAAGTCATGAACAATAAAAAATATTAGTTAATCATTTGTAATTGTATTTCTTTTAGTTTACCTATTGAAGCGTCATCCTTAAAAAGTTATTTGTGCTGTTTTATCAGGGAGGAGATGGCAAATTTTCAATTTTTGTCCACTCAAGGCCTGGGTTTCTTTTCAACAAAGCAACAACTAAATCAGTCTATTTTTTGGATCGTCAAGTTAATGACAGTATACAGGTTTCTCTCATTGAAAGTTAACAAAACTTGTTTTTGCATATAGTACTTTTCAATTTTCATGTCTTATTAGGGCTTTAAAGTTATTCACATTGTTATAGTTTCAATTTTCTTGCTTATCTGACTGAACTTTGGCTTGTTCAATTTTATTATCTTGGCCCAAAATTTTCAGAAATTAATTGTGATCTAAAGCTGTAAATCCACCTTGTTATGTGACTTATGTCTGCTGGTCTCTTGATACTCCGTGCACGTTATCTATGTCCAGGTAGATTGGGGAGAAGCAACCATGATAGAAGCAGAGCGCGTTTTGCTCAGACATGCATTAACTGATCCTTTAAATGACCGTTTTGTATTTCTCTCAGATAGGTGAGGAACTTTGAATCTTTTTTCACATGCTTTGCTGGACTCAACTCTGATCGTTTGTTTGCTTGAATATACTGTCAAATTCATGATTTCCTTCTATTTGTCTTATGGTTATGCTTTGCTTATTTGATGCCAGAAATGGCATTGATATCGCTAAATTCTTCATGAACTTGGCACCTTACTGTATTTCAGTTGCTTAACCTCTTTTCAGCTGTATACCTTTATACAACTTCAGCTACACATATGACTACATCATGTCGACATCAACTAGTTTTGTTGACAGGTGAGCATTATTATCTTGACTTTGCTGTACATCAGCTCTGCCATCTATTTCCCCGCCTTTTTTATCACTTGTTATATTGAGACCTTAAGTTGAGAAAGTGTATCTCTAGTTCTACCAAAAGAAATCAAAATTTAATTTTGTGAAACTATAATGGTCATATGAAAACCTAAGGTCAGCTTAGCTGCAAAGGGTAAATTTATAGTTAAATATTGATATTATCTGGTTAGTTTGAGCAAAAATCTCAGCTTAACTGACTTTATTGAGTTAAGAAAGTCGGCAGCCTCATGACCTGACTGCAAATGAAAATATACTGTATCCAATGATTGAGTATAAGTTGAATTCGTTGATGATGAACATTCTGTTCCATGGTGGTGGCATTCAAACTCTATCTTTACTGCCTCTTTCTGATCCTCTCGATGCCTCCTGACTAAAATGACGCAGACAGAAACAACGTAGCATGTTAAAACTGGGCCAGTATGTGTCCCCATGGCTGGGACGGTCATGGGGTTCGGTATTTACCATGATGCCTTGTCACTGGCATGGGGGTCAAGGACCTCCTTGCTTGGGATGCATTGATGTTTCAGTGAATAGCAGGAAACAAACCGCCCTATTAGATATAACACAGGACTCAACTATAAAATTTCGCAGTAATGAATCTTGAAGAGCTTTAAGCCTTTCAAAAGTCAAAAATAAAGTAATGGGATCACTTGTTATGTTATCATCAATTTTCTGAATTACTTGTCATCAATCACTTGTATAATTTTTTTTTTTTCCATTCATTGTGGATTGAATTGTAATGATTTTGGCAACCAAATGTGGGAGTAGCTTTGCTGACACGAAAGAAGGTCGTTACAATCCAAAAATGGCTCCTGTTATTCCCGTTCATAACTGGAGGAAAGGATCCCAGGTAAAGGCTTAAGTTACTACTGAGTCATTTTTAAACTTGAAAGCAAAATTCATGAGATATTTTATGATCCACGACCAAAGAATATCGTGTTAATCCTATTTATCTTCCTCCAGTGGGCTGTTCTAACCAGAAAGCATGCTGAAGTTGTAGTAAATGATGAAACTGTCTTTCCTATGTTTCAGTGGTATTGCAAGGTAATTGGTGACTGCATCCTTTCCAGGTCCCTGGTTTTACAAGCGGTGTTGCTAGTCATAGTAATTTTTTTGGAAAAAAAAAAATTTGCCTATTCTTTTAAATTTTAAAAAGGTTATGAATTATGACCTTGAAATATGTTCCGAAATTTATCCATGAAATTGAAAAGTTTTTTTTTTTTTGGACCAACATGAAATTGAAAAGTATAGAGGGCTTTTTTTTTTTTTTTGGGTCTCTTGCTTCTGACAACCTCTTTTCTTTTCTGACATGCGGAATTAATTATGCAGAAAAAACCACTACCAGAATTTTGGAGGGATCATCCCATTGTGAGTACTATCTATGCGTGTAAAACTCATGGGGATTTTTTTTCCAATATTAGTTCCAATCAAGCTTTTTAGCTGCATTTCATCCCTTTTTCACGAAATAAATTATGGTGTTATTAAATAATTTTATTTTGAGTTGTTACCTGCTGTCATTTTGGTTATTGCAAATGGTAGGAAAGAAGAGTACTGACCCAGTTCATTGTTTCATGCAGCCTGCTGATACATCGAAGAAGCATAACTGTATACCAGATGAACACTATGTTCAGACCTTACTGGCTGTAAGATTCTTGCTTATCCTGTTCCTGTGTGTGAAAGACTAGTGGTGGTTAACCTACTAAGTGAATAGATAGTGACGAAGAAAAGTGTCGCCAGATAGTTATGCCTGAAGTTTTCTTTTCTTTTCTTTTTTCTTTTTAAACTCTGTCAACTCATGCGAGTTAACTTGGATGTTGAGGCCCTTTTTTTTAATCTTACTATCAATTGGTGAGGATAACTCCTAATTTTCTTTGGGCATGTCAGAATGTATCTTTTTTTTTTTTTTCCTTAGCAATAAATGGTTAATCTCATCTATGTCAACACTTTTGCATGTGGATCAATGTAGATAAATCACAAGTAAACAGATGGATGCAGCGTTATTTTGGTCATTTCGTTATCAGCTACCTTTATTATCCCTATACTCACAAAAAGGCTGCTTATCTAGTTACTTGGAATGGTGGTTGATGATGATCAATTAAGTAGTTGGTTTTGAGTTTGCCAGAAGCGGTGGTGTGTATAAGTAATTATGCCCTGGGTCTGGATTCCTTAGTGGGTTTTCGCTTAGTATACTTCCCGAACCACTCAATGTTTGGTTCACCAGCTGAACAACCTCTTATAGCATAATTTATTACACTAGAAAGTTGGGCCATGTGGGATTAAAAGCTAAACCCGTAGTTTCTTTCCAATTCTATTCTATTTTGGCAGCACCACAATTGTAACGAGTTAATCACTGATATTGGTGAGACATAAAAAACTTTGGCATTGTTATTCGATATTTCAATTATGAAGACAAGTTAAACATAAGTTGCTCAAAAGCATCATATGAAAATAGACAGCAGCAGAAAAATTATGCAATAGCTTTGTACCAACTATTGTGATAGTGTTAATCTTAATGAATTACATTTGCAAATTTGCGACCATCTCATTAGTTTTGCTTAACATTTTTGGTGTTTGCCTTCTGAAATCTAGTTAAAAGGCCTTGAAGGAGAAATCACACGGAGATCAGTGACGCATACCTCCTGGGATCTTTCCTCCTCCAAAGATCGTGAACGTCGAGGATGGCATCCTGTGACATACAAGTTCTCGGATGCTACTCCAATGCTTATTAAGTTTATAAAGGTGCGACCTTTGCTGCTACTGCTAACATTATTCTGTTGAAGCAACTGTGCTTCCATAATTAACCCATTCCTTTTGCCCTCCTCCTCTCAGCTCAAACTTTTGTGCTCTTCATCATCTTTTATACTGGTTTTTGTTAGAAAGAAATTGAATTTGGGGGAAACACATGGAGATAGAGAGCAAACCTTTGGAGTCAAATGACAAAATCTGAATTAAGAATGAGATGAAACTTTGTCTTAATTTATGATGAGTATCATCCAACTAATGAACGCAGCATCTCGAGGAATCAGTATAGCATGCGTAAGCCATAAGCAGTTCATGTTGGCAAGTGATAAAGCATCGATCACAATTTTTAAGTAACTTTGGAAAAACATTTGGGGTGGGTGGACTCAGTGGTTGCTGAGTTGCAAATGAGCTGAAGATGCAATAAAGTTCACAAGATTGATTGATCTGGAAATCTTTAATCTAATTGATTGATTTAATGTAAGCATGCACAGCACATCAATTCTACTTTGGTTTAATCACATATTTAAAAAGTTGATAATTTTTCAGGAAATAGATAATATTTATTACGAGACTGAATACCGGAGAGAATGGTGCAGCAGCAAGGGAAGACCATCCACATGCTTCCTTTTTGCTAGAAAATTTACTCGTCCTGCAGCCCTACGGCTTCTTAACATGGTGAGTTTGTTTATCATGAATTTCCCTTCTAGTTAAAAGTGACACAACAAGCTTTTGGCTTATTTACACTAGAATCGTCCTTCTCCAATGAGAGTTTCGAGTTTGAACCCCTGCTGAAGCCAAAATAAATTCCAAAATTGTAAAAATGATACAATGGGCTTTCGTTTGTAAGACTGAAAATAGTTTGTGGAGTTGCTGGACTCAGCTGACCTTTTTTTTTTTTTTTCTTATCATTAAATGTTAGCCAGTATACATGCTCATTGTTTCCTGCTGCTTTTTTCGCAGTCTGTTCTTGGAGTTGGCAGTTAACAGCGAGAATGCTTGTGATAATGTCAATTGAGAGGCTGAATGTGCAAGCTGAAATCGTACTTAGTAACGGGAAAAAAGGAAATTCAAAATTAAATAAGAGTAGGCGATGATTATTGACGAGTATATTGGTAGGTACATTGAGATTTAGATTTGGAGAGTTGTAAAAGTGTGCATGCGGTGTATACGTGTTCGATATTTTTTCCAGAACCGAAATAATTAATAAGATTGGAGATGTTTGTTCCCAGCTTCATCTTCGGCTTTAGTCTGAGGTGGGTTTTAAAATAAATTTGCAGTGGAACAAAACCTCAAGTCTGATTCCAGTTCAACGCATTATGTACATACAATCATCTATATATATATATATATATATATATATCAAAATATGATGTAAAATTTATAGAAAGTGGTATCATTCATAAGCCGCGCCATGCATTTCTTCTGGGTTCCATGCAATTTTTCCCTTTTTTCTCTCCTTCCTGCACATTAATTTCAACGAGGTTTGAATTTGAAACAGAAGTATGGTTTTTAATAATCATTATATTATTGGACACAGTCTCCCCCCCCCCCCTTTTTTCTCGTCTCTTTATCTTTTTTTTAACAATCTTCTTTTTTGGAATAAGAATTGTAGGGGGGAAAAAATCTCTGCTGTCTATCTATTACTACTCTGTCACCTTGTTTGCCCTTGTGCAAGTTTCAAATACCTTTAAGCAAGGAAGAATTATATTCAATAATCATTCAAAAAAATTATTTATAAATAGATATCAATATAGAATAAATTGTTGTTAAATATGAGAATATAACTTGTTTTTTCTCAAATAAGATTTATTTTTAGTCGTTTTTTACAATAATATTTTTGAGTGGTGTTTCAATGTGATTCCCTCTTTGAACGAAGATAGTTTTTAGTTTCTACATCACACCTAGATGTAGAGTCAGAAAAATGAAAAGAGTCAGTCTAATTGATCCATTTAATCTTGTTTAAGTGAAGGGTTAAGTTCATAATTGAAGTGCATTGATGCTCAAACAAGCTGGATTGATTCAAAAATAAACGGCCAAAGCTTCTAGGGTTGAGGGTTGACCTGTTTAAATCCATTTATGTTATTTTTATATAAAGAAATTATTAATAGTGAATAAATGAGGAGGGAGAGAATTCAAATGTGGAAAAAAATATTTTAAAAAGAAAATCTTGATTTTTTTTACCATTGAAAGGCCAACTCATAATGAATACAATTAAATATTGTTGATACTAAAAATGATCATGATGATGCTTCTAATATTCTGATATTATTATTTTATTAATATTTAGAGAATACTCATTTAGTTTATTTAGCTTTCAACCTAGTGGTTGGCCGTGGGACAATGAGCCACAAAGAAAAAAGTCAGTTGGTTAGTTTATTTAGCTTTATTTGATTTGATTTGGAGAATTTGAACAATAAGTTTGTATTTTAATAGATTGATATTTAATATTTTTTATATAATTTATTTTATTTTTATATATTTATTTTAAAAAATAAACAAAATAAAAAGGCTCAAGGATCCAAGGGTCAGTCTTGAGCCCACGAGCTCTAGAATCAGACTCTGAAAATTAGGGCTTCAGAATAGAAACAGGCTTTTCAGGCCCTATCCTTTTTAGGGCTGAGTCTATAAAAAGCCTACTAACTCTACCCAGGCGGCTGGACCAATGGAGTGAGGTAACCCCTATTTGCTCTTATATCTCATGGCAATAACAATATTCCGTTTCGCATTATCTCAGTCAAATGTAAAAGGGACGAGAATGTGAAGAGGTGGGCCGTTGCCCGAGGTTGGAAGGCGAGGATACACCTGTGATACAGGTGTTGGGTGGTGATTGGTCCACCGACAAGTAGCAGCAGCTTCTTTGCTCCTCCTTCCGTCAAATGAGCAAGGATTAATTAAAATTAAAAAATTAACAACTGTAGTCATAGCTATGCGATATTGCCCCTTGATTTCACGCAATAATAATATATTATAGTAACTCTGCTCTTCAATTTGGTTGACCATTGCACCCTTAACATTACTTGCTATTTCACTCAAACCCCTTGACCGCTGTGCGCTTTATCCACCGACCATTTCCCTTATTATTATTGTTTAGTGTTTAATTAACAATTGTTATTTACCTTACCCAAGAAGTAACATGTTGGTATAATATTCTTTTATCTTAAATTATAAAATATTTTTTAAAAAATTTAATTTTAAAATATAAAATATTTTGATAAAAATAAAATTTTATTAATGATATTATTTTAAATATTATTTTATTATATTTTATCTAATTCTTAATATTCTTTAATAAATAAAATATTAAATGAAAGATATTTTTAAAAATTTATATTTTATTTTTAAAAATAGAGTTGTGAAGTATATCAAATGAAATTTATTAATATATATAATTTTGTCCAAAAATATTTTATAATTTTTTTAAAAATATTAATATCTATTTCCTTCTATCTTTTACTCTTTTCGGTTCCTCTTTTAAAGCATGGTTTGAAAAAAATATATAATTATTATTATAAATGACTTAATGAGATATTAATTAATTTTTTCAAACATTATTCATCCTTATCTAAAGCCATCAAATATAAAAAAATTATTTTTTTGAAATCATAAATTTATTTTATTTTTAATGAAATTAATGAATTATTTGACTAGAAATGTGCATTATAATAAAGGGAGGAGGAAGGAAGTACCAGAACTACTTTTGCCTTCTCTCTCCATATGCCCATGCCACGTGTTTCCACTGCTTTCTCCTTTAACGCTTCTTCAACTGCTCCCAACTAACTAACTAACGCACGCTAGCATTCTCAGATCTCCACATCTCTTTCGGCATACACCCTCCTGGCATTATTAAAGTTTACAGTTTCTGTTACATTCGCGTGTTACACGAAAACCAGTCCGTATGATTATACCACAAGCTTTCAATATAGAAATGCCGGTGAAAAAATAAAAAATAAAATCACCCTTCGTATAAATATTTGATAAATTAAATCATTTAATTAAATATTTGCGTTGAAACTAAAAGGTTAGGCCCCCTTCAAAAGTTGAAAGTCAAGTTGTTTACTTTCTACGAGGAAAGACATGGTTTACTGTTGAACAAATATAAATTAATACTATATTCTATCTCTATTTAATCAAAATTAAAAAGGTGTAATTAAGTCATTAATTTTATCTAAAAATATAATAAACATTTAATTATACTCTTATTTAAATAATTTTTTTTAAATTTGCATTACATTATTTCTCATGATTAATAAATATAAATATTATTAAATTAAAAACATATTAATACTTCATTGTCTTGTGTATTAAAGATCAAAGACCCTTTAGACTGTGCCCTATGATCAAAACGGGAGGGAATACATGACCAAATTCGTGGGGTGATAAGATATTCATTCTGTTTAGTGTTTATTCTCAATTGCAAAAATAGGAAAGATCGGCTCGAAATTTTATAAGTCATGATATTCAAATTTCAAAGCATTTAATGATATCGCCATAAAAATTATTTTCCACATTGAGACGAGGGAGCAAATATTCTTTTCTTTCCTTTTTGTTATGGGAATAACATTTCAGCGAACATCGCCAAAACTTAAGACATTGATCCGCACTTATCTTCACATATTTTTCAATTTAAGCATTTGATACTTGTCGTTTAAAAAAACAAATCGTAAAATTTGAGGCATGGCGTCCTCGAGACTTTCGTGATCTTCAATAAAATCTCAGTGATTATGACTAGCCCCTTTGCGTTTATTTGGAGTACGTTTTTAAGGCCAGACCAATGCGTTGATGACTTGAATACACGCGTCACTCCACTACATCTCCACGCGTCAGCGGTCTTTATGAGAGTACCGGATTCCAAGGGTCGGTGTACAGTGGACCAGACACGTTGAAATTGTCGGCACCCACGACATTCATTTTCCCCCAAATTTTTTAATGAAAACTGGGAGCTTTTTTAAAAAAAGAAGAAGAAAGAAACAAAGAAAAGGGAAAAATAAAAAATAATAATGAAGGGATGACCCCGCGTAGCGAAGTATTGGAGGCTGATATTAAAATTTTAAAAAGTAAAAGCCCACGATTTTTTATGACCATGAAAATAAATCAGAGTTAAGTTTCATTATAGATAATTCATGACAATTGATTTCTCAGCAATTTTTTATTCGGATAATTATAAGTTTAAAAATTTTAATTACAGAAAAATATTTAAATTTTAGAGAAAATTAATCATTTAATTCCTGTAATTTTGATTTAGTTATAATTAAATTCCTAAACTTTAACTCGTTATAACTCACTTCTTGAAATTTTGACTCTATTATAAATCAGTTTTAAATTTTACCTCTTACAATTTAGTTCCTGAAGTTTTAACTTCTTAAATATTAATTCATTTATTTTTAAAAAAATAAAATTATAAAGATTAAAAATATTTTAAAATTTATTACTAATATCTTAAGTTACTAAACCATTTTACTATTTATAAATATTAAAATATTTTTAATATTTGTAACTTTTTTAAAAAATAAAGGATCAATATTTAAGAGATTAAAACTTCAAGGACTAAATTACAAGAGGTAAAGTTTAAGAACTGATTGATAAAAAGGTCAAAACTTTAAAGATCGGGTTATAATGAGTTAAATTTTAAGGACTGAATTATAATTGGATTAAAAGTATAAAAATTAAATAATTAATTTTTTTAAATTTTAAATATAATTTTTTAGTTTGCGCCTACGATCCACCTACACACATATGATACACCTACCTGCATGAAGGGAAAGGTCATGCCAAGGGCTCCTGGCCAATAATAAGAAATCAAAACTCAAGGAGTCAAGGTTGTCATAAGAAGTTAAGAACATGCCAACCCCTTCTTGTGATCATATTTTTTGATGCAAGATGTTAGAAGTTCAGACCACTGTATAATTAAAGGAAAAAAATATACATTTGTGAGTGTGAATTGTATATGCATGTGAACCCCTTTCATTGTAAAGAGGAGTTTGAAGATTGTTTAAATATGATATCATAATGCAAATACAACTCCCTTAAACAGGGCTTTAATTTTGCGTCTTGTAGATTAAATAAAAAAAAATCATACTTAGAGAGTTTTAACACTCATTTCAAGCCTGGTCTTTTTTAAATATATTAGCTGGGAAGAAAAAGATAACTATACACAATCATCAATCGGTAATTAATTCATAGAGTGAGAGAAAGGGGGGGGGGCGCTCTCAATAATCTGAATTGATTTGGTTTGGTCATTTTGACCGATAAATTTGATTATTGTGATGGGAAGAAATCTCACGATAAATCTAGCTACTATGAAACAAATTGATTCAATCTAGTTTAATTTTGATTGATTCAAGTTAAAGTATAATTATATTGAAAATATTAAATTTCTTTTAAATATTAAGTATTATTCAGCCTGGTCTGTTCGCCAAACGATTATTTAATCTAACAATTAAAGGCAGATACTTGTAGTTTTTATTCCCCTAGGCGTACGTTGCTACCCCTTTCACGTTGACAATAAACACAAAAAATAATTAAATTCTATACAAATCAAGAATGGAGAAAAGCTTATTGAATATGCGTCGGAGCTCATCTTAAATGCCCAATCCAGTCTTGTTTACTGCCTCCGGTACCTAGTTGGAGGATACATTTTGATCCTAAATACAAGCTAAGGCTTTAATTTTTCTTTTATAATCTAAAATTCAGGTGAGTTGAGTCATAAGAACTTACATCATAATTAGGATCTATACTCAAAAATCACTCATATAAATAGTTATAGATTACTGATGAATAAAGTTATTGCATTAATAATGATATTTGATCACACGACCTTGTAAATTATAGGAAAAATTTTTAGATAAATTAGATCCACTGCATCATTTATAGTCTATTTAATTAAAATACTCTAAGTCATTTAAATAAAATTTTATATGATATTAATTTAATTTATTGTCTTTTTATTTCTCTACTGTCATTAATGTTAAAAATTAATTTATATTTAATATTATTCGAATGTTATATTTTTATTAGATAAATTATAAATAAGGTAGTGTGTCTTGTCTACTGAAGAATTCTCAAGCTGTAGATCAAAAGCTTCAATTTTTACTGTCTCCTTCATCTAATATCCCCACAAATTATCATAATCAATTTCATAGTTATTGTCACCTTTTTTTTCCTTCCCTTTTTAGTGCTTCATCTATTAGGTAGTACTTTTGAAAAAGTAACACCTTTTTTTTACATAATAATAAATAATCACATCCTTCGTCGTTGTCCATCGAGAGACTTATTATAGTGTCTTTGAATCCTAGCTGCATCAAGATGCTGAGATGTTTTACTATACCCTCGTCTTGTTTTTGGTTAGTTGATGAATAAAACCACATCCTTCATCGTCATCCATCTCTGCCTCTCGTTCAGACCATATTCACCATCAAGTCGTCGATGTTTGGAGCTCTTGTCTGGTCCCTCATCCTCTGTCAATTGCTAGATTCACATCCTTCGTCACAGCCTCCCACGTCATTCTCTCTGCATGCATTCTTTGTCATTATCTCCTCCTGCTTCTCCAACAAGCACCATGTTAACAATGACTTCACCCGCAGCTATGATTAAAGGGAACTTTGATGGCGATAATTAACCCTACCTTTTGTGACGACAATGGCAAACTTCAAACCTGCACTGCAGCAAGTTCGAAGATGTAGCATGTGTCCCTCTTTGTCGTCGACTTTTAGATCTGCTCCATCACCTCCATCAAGACCTTATTGTTGACACCTTATAGTGGGTACAACGGGTCTCAGGTTCGAAGAAGAAGAGTGGATCTAATTACATGATTTCAATTTTTAGCAACACAATTTTGATTTCTAATTAATGCCTTATTTGTTGATTCTTGTCATATGATTTCAATTACATTGTTGGTTGGCTATTAGTTGACATGATTTACGCGATTTATTCTCATTTTGTTTTTGGGTCGGGCTGGGTTGAACAAGGAAGAATATGGCAAAATGGTGTGAAAGTGGACAGGGGTAGCATTATCTTTTTACATGTTAAAATTAATGTATTTCGCACATTCTATTTCCGGTTCTAATTTTGACTGTGGTGCTCTGCACCAATTAACACTGCATTTTGCAGTGTTAATTTTTTTATTTTTTTAAATCACACAATTATTATTATGATAAAAATTATTGTAAAAATATTATTTTATTATTTAATAAATAAATAAATTTAACTTATTAAAATTTGACCTAAATAGTTCATATGTAAATTTTGGCTTGAATGGTTAAGAATTGTAGTAAAAAAATTAAACTGCAACTAAATATATTTTGTAAAATATTTTTTATTTTATTAATTTTACATAGCTGTCCATCTATGATAAGTAATATCATTCAAAAATATGATCGGGTATTAAATATAAGTACTTTTTTTAATAGAAATTTAAACATTGTTTTGGTACATAATAATAAACTAGCTCATTCTATTAAATTCAACTATTATTATAAACTTTTTAAATCATTTTTTTAATTTTTTTAATATAGTTTTTAACTGTTTGGACTAAAATTTTTATCTAAACTGTTAATTTTTATCTGAACTATGTAGATTAAATTTTAAAAAGTTGAACTTATTTATTTACTAAGAATTAAAATAATAATTTTATAATATTTATTTATTATTATAATAATAGCTTTGTGATTTAAAAAAGAAAAGAAAAAAAATTAACGCCGCAAAACGAGGTGTTAATCAGTGCTGAATCCTTCTATTTCCATTTCATTTTGGGTTCCAACCAAGTGGGGTCTGAGGACTAAGATGCCAATAGGTTATTCCTAGGGCCCACTTGGGAGTACTTTAATAATATCGCTTTTCCTTTTTTGACCCAATATTAACGTTTTCCACAACATTTCACCGTAGAGAGAGAGAGAGAGAGAGAGAGAGAGAGAGAGAAGGGACAAGGGGGGAAAAAGTAAAAAACGGGGAACAGATAATTCCCAAGCCGCTTCATGGCCGAGATGGTGGGACCTATACTTTTTCACAGTCCTCATGGCTCCCTCCCTCTCTATAAATACCCCACTCACCCTCTCAATGCACCATCACCAAACAGGCAACTTTTGATTCTTTTCAGCACCCATCACTCTTATATCGATCTTCTCTAAATCCCTGATTTGTATATATCATTCATCTTCTCCGATTCTCCCCTTAAATATCCCAGTAATTATTCACTTCTCAGTCCCCGCTCAATCACTCTTGTTTTCTTTTTCTGTATATATTAATAAACACCCCTCCTAGAAATCCCACCCTGTCTTCCTCGTTCTTCCTCAGAGTCCTCTGTTTTCTGTCATCGATACAGGACAATAATGGCTCCTCCCAGTTTGGGCAAATCCTCCTTCAATTTCACCAAGCACGTTAATGGCTTCAACCCTTCGCCTTTCCAAGTAGTGGGGTCAAACCTGCTGGTCAACGACCACGTTGTCCTCTCCAATGTGCCTGAAAACATCACCGCCACTCCTTGTTCCTACACGTCCACCACCAAATCCTTCTCCACCTCCGGCTGCTTCGTCGGCTTCGACGCTGCTGACGCAAGCAGCCGCCACGTCGTCCCCATCGGAAAACTCAAGAACATAAGGTTCATGAGTATTTTCAGGTTCAAAGTTTGGTGGACCACCCACTGGGTCGGCTCCAACGGTCGAGACCTAGAAACCGAGACCCAGATGATCCTGCTAGACAAGTCGGACTGTGGTCGGCCATACGTCCTCATACTCCCGATCCTGGAGGGTCCGTTCCGGGCTTCCATCCAACCGGGTCAAGACGACAACATCGACGTCTGCGTCGAGAGCGGGTCCTCTCAGGTATCGGGTGCCTCGTACCGCAGCGTCGTTTACCTGCATGCCGGCGAAGACCCGTTCAATTTAGTGAAGGAGGCGATGAAGGTCGTGAGAGCCCATCTCGGCACGTTCAATCTCTTGGAGGAAAAAACCCCTCCTGGTATCGTCGACAAGTTTGGCTGGTGCACGTGGGACGCATTCTACCTTACGGTGCACCCTCAGGGCATATGGGAAGGCGTAAAGGGTCTAGTCGACGGCGGGTGTCCACCGGGGCTCGTCCTCATCGACGACGGGTGGCAATCCATCTGTCACGACCGCGACCCAATAACCAAAGAAGGCATGAACCATACCGTCGCCGGCGACCAAATGCCGTGCAGGCTTATTAAGTACGAAGAGAATTATAAGTTCAGAGACTATGTGAGGCCAACCGTCGGGTCGTTCCGAGGAGAAAGGTTTGGCCGCATTCGTGAAAGATCTGAAAGATGAGTTTAAGACCGTTGACTACGTGTACGTGTGGCACGCTCTTTGTGGGTATTGGGGTGGGCTGAGGCCCAACGTGCCGGGGCTGCCGGAGTGTGCGGTGGAGAAGCCCAAGTTGTCGCCGGGACTGGAGACGACAATGGAGGATCTGGCCGTCGACAAGATCGTGAACAATGGAGTGGGCCTGGTCCCCCCGCACCTGGTCGATCAAATGTACGATGGGCTCCACTCACACTTGGAGGCCTCAGGGATTGATGGGGTCAAGGTCGATGTCATCCATGTGAGTGTTTCTAACCACGATTTCAATTTTGTGTCAATTATATTTTAATTCCAAACCTACCCTTCTTGTGGCCTCGAAGATCTGCCGTTTTTATGCGGTGGCAGTGCCACTGGTTCAAATAACAGTGCTCCTGCGTGTCAAAACTCAAATCTTACAATTAAAGCGGCAAAGCTCTATGGGCCATTCATCCCATCCCATCCACAAACATATGTGCTATAAATTTTGTTTTTATAAATTTTGGATTCTTTTAAAAAGAAAGCGAAACGAGAAAATTCAACTTCTATTCACTCTAATTTCGACTACTTGGGTTGGGCCTTTTTTTTTTTTTTTTGACTTGGTACTGGTTTTACTCGGACACGTCTTGGTCGGCACGAAATATCGTTGATTCTATTTAACCATTTACATGGATTCTAATTCTAATTAATGGACTAAATTGATTGAATTATAACAGTTGTTGGAGATGGTGTGTGAGAAATACGGGGGGCGCGTTGATTTGGCGAAAGCATACTACAAGGCTCTCACAGCTTCAGTAAGAAAACATTTCGGAGGCAACGGTGTGATTGCTAGCATGGAGCACTGTAACGATTTTATGTTACTTGGAACTGAAGCCATATCTCTTGGTCGTGTCGGTACGTTCCTTTCCTTCCTCATTTATCTAATTCCCATAAAACATTTATTATTGGTGTGATAATTCATTAATACATGAGGGACGGATTAATTTGTGCGGAGCAGGGGATGATTTCTGGTGCACCGATCCTTACGGTGATCCGAACGGTACTTTTTGGCTGCAAGGATGCCATATGGTGCACTGTGCTTACAACAGCTTGTGGATGGGCAACTTCATCCACCCGGATTGGGACATGTTTCAGTCGACGCATCCCTGCGCCGCCTTCCACGCGGCGTCTCGAGCCATCTCCGGTGGACCCATCTACGTCAGCGACTCCGTCGGCAAGCACAACTTCGATCTCCTCAAGACCCTCGTCCTCCCTGACGGCTCCATCCTCAGGTGCCACCACTACGCTCTTCCCACTCGAGACTGTCTCTTCTCAGACCCTCTTCATGATGGCAAAACGATGCTCAAGATTTGGAATCTCAACAAGGTCAGTCTCGCTCGCTTATTCAGTCCTTTCACACACACAACTAGAAGTAGAATCAGAATCTGATTTTTTTCCCCCTTGCTGAAGCAGTTCACTGGAGTTATTGGGGTTTTTAACTGCCAAGGAGGAGGGTGGTTTCCTGAAACCAGAACCAACAAGTGTGCTGCTGAATTTTCGCATTCAGTGTCAACTAAGACGAAGCCTCTAGATATAGAGTGGAAGACTGGCGACGACCTCGGTGTTTCCATTGAAGGAGATCAAGTCTTTGCAGTGTATTTCTACCAGACCAAGAAGGTTGTCCTGTCAAAGCCATCTGATACGGTGGAGATTTCCCTAGAGCCCTTCAACTTCGAGCTCATTACTGTTTCTCCTGTGACTGTCTTGTCTGCGAAGTCCGTGCATTTTGCTCCGATTGGTTTGGTGAACATGCTTAACACTGGAGGGGCTATCCAGTCCCTGGGTTTTAATGAGGATCATCAGAGTGTCGCTGAAGTGGGAGTAAAAGGTGGTGGAGAGATGAGAGTGTTTGCATCAGAGAGACCACAAGCTTGCAGGATTGATGGGAAAGAAGTTGGATTTGAATATGAAGAGGGCATGGTTGTAATTCAATTACCATGGCCTGGTTCTTCAAGATCGTCCATGGTTCAGTACATATTCTGAACATATGGGATGTGAAAGTGAAGAAACACTGACTATTATTATGATTATTTTATTGTTTTCGTGGATGATTTTGATAAGGGGGCTTTTTTAATCCCTTGTCTAAGTGTTTGATGACACTCTAGTTTTTACCTTTGATGCAGAGGAGTGAACAAGTGATTCGAGTATTGTCTGTAATCGGAGTGACTTTCGTGCTTGATTTAATATAATTTTGTCTTGTTTAAATCTGTGACCCTCTTTTTCCCTTCTGTCATGCTTTCCATCTTCCAATTATGTTCTCAGCACGCCCACCATTTTCACTCTGAAAATGAGACAGTGGCCAAGATCTCTATTTGAAGAGGATGTTTTCAAGAGCTTCGATGGAAAATTCGACCAAGTAATATTTTTTTGGCCAAAATTCGACCAAGTAATAGGTGCTAGTGTTCCTCAGTCTTTTATTTTTCCTGTTAAGTTTTCATTGTCATCTTGGCTTTCTCTTCGAACAAGGAAGATGAAGGTGTTGATTTCTCATTCCACTCTTGGTGGTCCTTATGTCCATTTATCTATCATTTTACCCTCGAACTTTGCGATTAAGTCATACATGAGTGTCTCTCCCGCCAATTCTTAAGCTCCTGCGCGTATATCCGAGGGGGAATGGCAAAACGCGGGCAGTGACATGTGGACTACTAACGGCCTGGCCCTTGACCTTTAACCTTAAGTTATTGGGCTTTTTGGGCCAATTAAGTTATTGGGCTTGACATGTACAGAAATCAATGCCTGTAGTGCCACCAGAGGAGGAAGGAGTCTCTTTCACCATTTTCTTTCTAGTTTCTATCTCAAGAGCAAGAAAAAAAAAAAAACGAGGTTATTTTCTTGTTATCTTGCTCAATGCGTGTTTAATTTTTTGCATTAGCTCCGGTAATTTAATTTTACACACGCATGAAGTTGACCACAAAATTGTTTACTCTCTTGTTTATTAAATGCAGGAGCTAATTACTTAATTCACGTTTATTAGAAAAATTAAATTAGTTATTTTGTAAAAAATGTGTGCAGGTTTTCCTAGAATACATATACATATCCCTTTGATCATTTACATATTGAAGAATTGTCAACATAACTTATAAATCATATAAAAAATTAAGTAGAAGGATAGTTTGAGAAAAATAAAAAAATATGAGAGAAAAGAAGTTGAGATCCTACATTCAAGTCTAAAATTCAAAACAAATATTATAATTAGCTCTAACATTTAGGATAGAAGAAGAATAAAATTAAATCAAGATAACTTTGGACATGTTTTTCAAATTTGGACTCTCTCTAATATCAAATACTTTTCACTGGTTGCCACTTGCAGGTATTCCAATCAAAAGAATTTAAATTTTAAAAATAATTACAATATCAATTGACTCAATCAATAATAATATTATAGTCAATATAAAATATGTAACAAATTATACCGTTGATAAATACAATCATAACTATTTTCCTAGACTCTTGATAATTTTGAATTATCTAATTTTTTTACTTGTTTATTTTTCTGAAACATACAATTTTTTACATGTTATTATGATTATGATATGATTCAAATTGGGAAGATCATACATAACCTGTTTATCAATTTTATCTCAGCGCACACATTGTATTTCATAATTTCTTAAATATTTAAATAAGAAAGCAAAGGAACGCAAAAGGCCTTAAGCGAGTCCATCGAACCTTTTATTGGCCCGAAAGAGTCCACTGAAGGGTTGGTTCGTTTTCGTCGGCATCACTGAACCGTGGTTGTCTTGTTCTGCCGGTTATCTCCCACGATCAACAACACTAGCTTCTCCCTGAAGAAAAACCCAGAAATTTTCCAAATTAAATAGCCTATCATCTCTGTCTCACTGGTTTCGTGTGTGAAGAGCAGTCTGGGAATCCATGAATACGACGCCGTTCATGGATAAGCAGATAATGGATCTAACCCAAGGATCGTCTTCGAGCAAGGATTTCATCGACCTGATAAGCCATCCTAAGGAAGAAGAAGGGGCAGACGTGGTAGGTGAAGTTCGCCGTGGCAGCCACCACCAAATCGGTGGCAATGGGATTAAGGAGGATATCATTCCCAGTTACGATTTCCAGCCGATTCGCCCACTCGGAGCTTCGATTCAGTCTCCCAATCACGATTCCAACCCTAATATGGGAGGGATTTCGAGGTCTTGGAATTCTGATTCCAAGTCTAACTTTTCCACCCCAACCCTTAGAGTAAGACCTCCTTTTTCCTGCCCTAATTTACTCATTCATAGTCATAGTTCTTTTGTACTTACATTTTTCTCTTATTTGCTGATAGGGGTTCCTTTAGATGAGAACTTTCGTTTGTGTTTTTTTTTAGGGCTTTTGCTTGAGTGCTACGTTCGGTGTCAGGCTTCTACGGTTTGCATTTAGAAAACATTAGAATTATGAGCATCGTTTGGTAATTAGGTGTGTGGCGGTTGTCGTGGCAGCTGATACTCTGAATGCATTACTGAATGCGGTGGCTTTCGTGTTGATGGCTCTGCTTACTTGATATAGTAGTTAATGTCTAGATCGATTGTTGATAACTTTTTGCTACATTTTTTAATTTTATTCTTCTGACAGATTTGATGTACGATGCCACATCTCCATTTCGTCTCATATGTGTGTTTGATATTTGTTCCTAACATCTTATGGCCGAACATGGTTTATTGTTTGTGATGAATACATTCCAACTGTATTCAAATTGATTTGGTGACTGGCTATATGAGTTATTAAACAAATTTTGTAGTTCAAACCTAATTTTGTGTCAATGTTCTCCGTGAAGTCTCTCCATCATAAATTAAGCTGGGAATATCTCCTCCATGTTAACTTAATATTTTTTTTGGTAGCTTTGAGTGATACATGGAAATGAATGAGTTATGAATTTGATTTGATAATCAGGCTTCCTCTTGTGATGGTAAATTCAAAAAATTCTTGTGGGGCTGGAGCCTGCATAGCTGTAGCTATCATTGATATATTGATATTTATTAGGTTACTTCTACTTCTGCCACACCCAGAGAAGGCCTCTCTAACAATTAGACCGTATCTGAATTCTGAGCTTACTTTCTAATCTGTAACTTTCTATTCATTTTCTCATGCCTTTTCATGTCAATTTTGTTATAAAGCAAAAAAGTTCCACTATTTTTTGCTGTCTCCTTGTGACATTTGCTGTTGCTACCTGTAGCTTGCTCAAGTCAAGTTGTGGGGTAGTTAGGAAACCGTGAGCCCAGTACACATGGATTATCCAAGGTGTATGCTGTGCTGATAATTGTTGCATATGGGCTCACTACTGTCTGCCAACCTTGATGACTTTTTTTTTCTTCACTATTAATGGAATGTGTAAATAGTAAACAGAAGAGAAGCCTGTGAGAACTGAAAGTTTTATCATTGAAAGTGTGGCCCTAACCTTGGTTCAGTCAAACTGCCATGGTTTCTACCTAAGAGCTCTTGGGTATGAATGATAAATACTTCTAGTAGTTCATGAGGTCAGGCCTAATTCCCTTAGACCCCAATTCACCACAATATGATGATATGCCTGCCCCTACCAGCTGCAATACCCATTTGAATACTTGGATCAAATGTAGGGAAGTGGGAACTAAAGCATGGGTTCAATCCATACCATCACTTTCAGAAAGGAAAGACTGTCCAACTGCATGAAAGCTATCAAGAGGCGGCAGTCTCTTGTATCAGGAGAATATGATTGAGAGACTTGCTTTAGTTTCATACACCTCAACACTTTCAACTTTCATTGGCATCTATCGATATTGTCATTTTCACTTTCTAAAACATCTTTTTATTTGTGTGTTAACTACTGATGCTGTTGAGATACTTGTGTTTCCCTCTCATTTTGTCTGGTTCTGTAATGTTGTATAGATGGAAGGGTTAGTGAGTATTTTTGTGTATCTACCATTTCATTGAGCACGAATTTGCTTTGTACCTATATAGTTCTATTGCACACATTTTGTATTGCCACAGATATTGTGAGTGGACCGGGGTTTTGTGTACTTGGATAATATGTTGATTATATCTTGCCTTACATAGTTGCTTTACTACACTGATTTAATGTATTCTTATTATTAATGTTTTCCTTCCATTGCTCAGAATTATAATTCTCTGGACTCTCTAGAACCTGCAAAAGTCACAGCAGAAAAGGATCAAAATGCTTTTGATGATGCAATATTGTCTGAGATAGATCAAACCATGAAGAAGCATATGGAGAATCTGCTTCATGTTCTGGAAGGCATCAGTGCGAGGCTAACACAACTAGAAAGCAGAACCAATCATCTTGAAAATTCTGTGGATGAGTTGAAGGTATCTGTTGGAAACAATCATGGTAGCACTGATGGAAAAATGAGACAGCTCGAGAATATCCTTAGAGAGGTATTTTTTATTATATTATTGCCTTTCACTCTTCTTAGTTCTAACCTTGATGTAGCAGCATTTGATATGAGAATGAATGCTTATGGTGGATGAAGAGGACATGATGTTATTGAGTTTTGGGAAATTTATGGTAGTAAGAATATGGATGTTAACAATTTTGACTATCATACTTTGTGTGTTTCACCCAAAAAAAAAAAAAAACAAGAAGAAGAGAAAGCTGTGTGTGTGAACAAGATCTAGTTTATGTTGTTAATTATTACTCCTAAGTCCTAATGCCTTACCAATTTACAGTATCAATTATTTTTAACTTTTAGTATTATCTATTCTATACATCTATGAAGATATAAAAGGAAAATACAACAAAAACAACAAGCCTTATCCCATAAGGTATGGATATACAAGGAAGATAATTAGCAGTATTCATTAGTGTAACTTTTAAGCAGCATTATCTTTGTTTCTTCAAAATTACTCTCTATATAATATTTACATTTTTTTAAAAATAAATATCCCCTGCATCCAATGCAAGGGGCAAATTATTATAGTTATGTTCTTAAAGTATATTCCAGGTTCAACTGGTCAATAGGCATTGACCAACATTTTTTTCAATTCCAAATCAACACTGGAGAATAACGGTAATCTTGGTATACTCAAAATATTCTCCGCCTGAATAATTTTTTTTGGTCTCTAAATTTGACCAAACAACTTTCTAGTCGAAAAAAGTTTTCCAAGAAATTTAGCTCCCCTTTTCTGGTTCGCTATATTTTTGTCTAAGCAAGGAATAGCATATCGTTGTATGAGAAGCCTAGCAATTATGTGGATATGAATATTGCCTCTCCCCTGACTCCTTTTTTAGTTGATCTAAGTATATAATATTCTTGCCGACAAATAAATTGTGGGTTATTTCTTTCTTGATTGTAATTGTATACTTTGATTTAGCTTATGTTTGATCGTTATTTCTGGTCATGGCTCGAATGGTTCTCTTAATTTTTTTTTCTCTTCCCTGAGGAATTCTAAGTTTCAGCCTTGTGAATTTGCTCTGACCCAGCTTGAAACTAGTACTTCCGTATTTTTGGATAACTTTGGGTGTGTCCTAGTAAATTGGATTAATTTTACCGAAATTCACTTAAAATATCTGGTAATAAGGAGGATATCAAAACTTTACGGCAGTTTGTGATTTACGGAATTGTCTGGTTTATTTAGTTGCAGGGCAATGCCCAAGTTTTCAAGGGCATATGGTCACCTCTAAATATGTTGTGTGGTAGAATTGTCTAAATTGCTGCCCTTAGGAGCTAGGCTCATGGCTTTCTTCAAGGGAATCTGCATTTCTGATAAGAGATTGGGCAGCTCTTTTATGTAGTTAGCTTCCCGGGCCTTTTGTTTCATTGTTCTGTTTTTGTGTTCATTTTTATTTTCTGACTTGAGAATTTCTTATCCTCACTTTGTTCTTTCTCCTTTTTCTAATAAATTCATGAAAAAAAGCATGTATAGTGACTACTGGTCATATTCACTTACTACTAGGTTACTTTAATTATTACTTTGTTTGATGTAAAATCCACAAAATGTACAGGTGCAAATGGGTGTACACGTTTTAAAGGATAAGCAAGATGTGGTGGAAGCTCAACTGCAGGTGGCAAAGCTCCAAGTGTCCAAGGTGGACCAACAATCAGAGACTCACGCTAGTGTGATTCCAGATCCTGCACAGCAAACTGCATCAGCTCCTCAGCAATCGCAACAACAGCTTCCTTCCCCTGTTAACACTCCACAGTCAGTTGCTGCGGTCCCTCACCCTAATGCTCCACCTCAACCTCTGTCCCAACAGAGTTTGCCACCTCCAATTCAACTTCCTAGTCAATTTCCTCAGAACCAAATTCCTTCTGTTCCTCAGCGAGAACCGTACTTCCAACGAGCACCTCAATCTCATGAAACCCCAAATCAGCAATATCAATTGCCTCTGTCTCAGCAGCCACATCCTCCTCCTGGGGCACCTCCGCAGCTGCAATATCAACAGAACCCACAGCCCCAATTCCCTCAGCCTGTACCTCATCCACCTCAACAACAGCCATCACCTTCTCCTGTTAATCCCCCACCTCAACTCCCATCTTCAATGGGTCACCATGTGGAGGATACATCATATACCCCTCCTCAGACTTACCCACCCAATGTCCGCCAGCCACCGCCCATTGGACCACCTCCTGCTCAGCAATTCTTTGGATCGCCATCCCATGTGTTCGAACCACTATCTAGTAGACCTGGTTCAGGTTTTTCTTCTGGATATAGTGCACCATCTCTACCTGCTGAGCCATATCATTATGGTGGATCGCCTCAGTATGGTGGCACTTCAGGGATAAAACCACACCTGCCTCCTTCTGCGGTGGCTCCTCCAAGCGGTGGAAGTGGTTACCCACAGCTTCCAACTGCTCGGGTGCTGCCCCATGCATTGCCTACAGCTTCAGGGGCCAGTAGCAGTTCTGGATCTGGTGGAAGTGGAAATCGAGTTCCATTAGACGATGTGGTTGACAAAGTGGCAAGTATGGGATTCCCTAGAGACCTTGTGAGGGCAACAGTTCGGAAGCTAACAGAGAATGGTCAAGCAGTTGACCTTAACGTAGTGCTGGATAAGCTTATGAACGAAAGTGATATCCAGCCAAGAGGTTGGTATGGTCGGTAGCAAGAGGAAAATTGACCTATCTTTATGTATAGATGCACCACTTGTTCCTGGGTCAAAATTTATGGGGAAGAGGCTTTATGGTTGGACCGTGTCTCATTGGATGCTTTTAGTTCTTTGCTGATTTGTTTTCCTGGAGACCTGAAGCTGTTATTTTGCCTTGCATGCCTGAGGCTCATCTGTGCCTTTTGATCGCACTGTGTATATTCACAATAAACGATAGTGGATTTTTTAAACTACTTGGATTGTTCTATATTTGTTGTTTTGATATAACTAGTAGTATTCATGTTCACAAAATATCTTACTAGCATTATACCGAGTGCTTGGGATATCTAGCATTTGACATGCAAGGAGTCGGCGGCTTCCCTCAGCTCAACTGAGGCAGAGGCTTAACGTATATTTAAATTTAATATTTTTAATTTTTTTTAAAACAAGAAATATATACAAATTGTAAATTTTTTTAATAAATATACATATTAATTTAACAGTTCAGAGTTCAGATTTAATATAGATGGTTTAAATTTAATATTAAAAATTTAAATTGATTTTTTAAAATATTTTAATCGGTGTAGATATATTCTAAACAGAATGTTAAACTTATTAAAAAAAATTTAATATTAAATTTAAATCATACATATTAAACTTGAATTATCATGGATTATCAAATTAATAAGTATATTTATTAATTTTTTTATATTTTTTTTAAAATATTAAATCTAGAATGTTGAAATTAAATCTCTTTCTGGAGAGGCTGAGGAGGTTTCCTCAATAGAAGGAAGTCGACTCCGACATGCAAGTAGTCACTAGTTATTGCTCGTTTTCCGTGTCCGAAAGCTAGTGGCCTTTAGATCTCTCTCCCCGCAAATAAGAAGAAGGAGAAGGAGAAGGAGATTTATAGCGCTTGAGCCTGAGCCACGTAGCTGAAGAAGAAGTGAAAATGAAATGGTCTTTCCCTTAAGAATGTCCTTGGTTACGGCATTAACATTTGGAACGCTTCTAATTACTTTTATTTCCAAATTCAAAGTTTTTTTTTTTTTTCCTTTCACTTTCGCACTCAATATCCTAAAGTGGCTGGATATGCTTTTGCTTTCAAACCAATTCATACTTTATCTTCGACAGCCTGGGCTTGAATTATCCGTAACCATAATATAATAATATAATATAGCCGCATTCCCATTTTTCAAATTAATAAATAATAACATGTCTGGGCCTTTTCAAAAGAGAGACACGTTCAAATTCAATCGTCTGTCAAACCTTACCTAGCCTTAAGACCTTGTTATCACCCATTCGGCATTTAACTGCTCATGCTTTGACAAGTGGCGCCTTTTTTTTCTCGAGAAGGAATTTAAAAAAGTTCCAACGGGAAAAGTTCCCACTTCTTCAAGTATTTGGTAAGGACGATTCATTAATAAATTAAAATATTCATTGTCGTTAAAAAATTAAAACAAACACTAGGTCTTGTTCATCTTCGTGCGAATAGACCAGATCAACGCCTCCTGCTTATAAATACACTTCGCTGCATGTAACGATCTCATCTATCACAAGCAAATATACACCAAGAAGCAAAAGTTACTATTTGATCGATCAGAAGAGGGAAACAAAAATGAAAACCTGTTCCTTGATCCTTATTGCCTTCGTGGCTCTCTCATGTTCTAGTGTCTTTGCGTTCGACCCTAGCCCACTCCAAGACTTCTGCGTTGCCATAAACGACACCAAGACCACTGGTGGTGGTACGTTTTTATCAGCTTTCTCTTTTCCTCCTCCCAATTCCATTTCGATTATGCCATGCATGCATCTTGACCTGTTTCCTTCATTTGTTTGCAGTGTTTGTGAATGGAAAGTTCTGCAAGGATCCCAAGCTTGCCTCTGCCAATGATTTCTTCTACGGTGGATTGAAACAAGGAGACACATCTGGTCCGCTTGGCTCTGCGGTCACTCCTGTTGCTGTTACCGAAATACCAGGTCTCAATACAATGGGCATATCCCTAGCTCGTGTAGACTTTGCTCCAAAAGGCTTGAACCCTCCCCACACTCATCCTCGAGGAACTGAAATTCTTGTGGTTTTGGAGGGTACTCTTCTAGTGGGTTTTGTTACATCCAATCCTGAGAATCGCCTATTTACAAAAGTGCTGTACAAGGGAGATGTGTTCGTATTTCCAATTGGATTGATTCACTTCCAACTCAATGTGGGTAAAACAAATGCTGTTGCCATTGCCGGTTTGAGCAGTCAGAATCCTGGAGTTATCACCGTTGCCAATGCCGTGTTCAAATCAAACCCACCCATTTCTGATGAAATTCTCTCCAAGGCCTTTCAAGTGGACAAGAACATAATTGATGCTATTCAAAAAGCATTATAGATAGAAAATAATTAAGAAAAAGCACTAGCTAGCTAGTCATTCACATTTTATATATTAATTTTATTGATTTGATCATTTGTAATATTTGTTTTTGGGTTTGCCTGTTATAATAATGTAGGTTTGTATCTCATTTTTAATGATGTTTAAATAAAATAAGCGATGTATACGCACGTTAATGACGCCTTTACATGCATGCATGTTGAAAAATATCAATGAGCACAGTGCATTGCGACCAAGCTATCAGCAGTATATTGATCGAACTTTTACCTTCGCGTGCTATCTGATTGAACTTCTACACACACACACAGACAACATATATCTTCTTACAGCACTTAATTATTTTGTCAATCTTCATTATATTTTTCGCCAATAAATTAACCATGCTTGTGTTGAAAAATGAAGGAATTTAACAAAAAAAGTGAAAAAATCATATTTTTTTCATGCCATGATGTCTTGTTCCTTTCTTTAGATATATTGTTGACGCAACTCGATCGCGCTAAAAATTACAGCAGATTGATGCTGAATAGTGTTAACATTAGATTATATAATTTTTTAATCAAATATTGCTAATTATGTGGGAAAATACAAATAAAATTAGAATTATTTTTTATCTTGCTGCAAAAGTAGTATTAAATTTTCAATTCTCAAGAGCATTGAATGAATACTGAAAATAAGCTTCAAAGAGAGAACAGCCAATAAGCGAGATCACGTCTGATTTTCTTTTCAACAGTAAAATTCCAGATTTGGGTAAATTCCACTAATTATATATATATATATATAATTTACGAAAAATTCTAAATTTACTTTATCGTAATTAATTATAATTTTACTTTCAACGTTAGTACACACACACACACACACTCGCAAACATTACCAGTGTATAATTAAGATTGTTGTTACCGGTATTAAAGTTGTTTCTTTGTGGGCCAAAACTGAACATCCGTGTGTGGAATTGAAAGTTGGATCTCCATTTTTATATCTATATATCTTTCCACTTTCTAGTTTCAATTTTGTGTTTTCGTGGTTAATACTCCAATACTTTGCCGTTAGCTAGATCATACTTACAGAACTCAAGCAAGTTAATTAAAATTATACTAACCAGCGAACAAATCTAATTTCAAGTCACAATATAATTTGGATTTTTACTAACATGTCGTCAAAATCAATATTATGTGCTTAAAACGAGACACACGCTCGAACCAAATTTAAAAAAAAAATGCATGGTTGAAACACACGTCTTTTGATTATCATAAATTAATCCATTGGATCGTTCAAAATTAGTTACCTCGTTGATTTCGAGTTAAATAAATTAATTTTATATCTTATAACTCGAGAACATCATTTTTCTGTATAGCCTCCAGCGAAATGTTCCTCAAATATTACATATTCATATGGATGTATGTATTTGTTGATATATTGTTAAAGTTTATCACCAACTAATTAAATAAATAAAAGGAAGGATCTTGAATTATGGAAGCAAGCTGATGACTGATGGCGGTGAAATAAGAATGTCCGAGAATGTCTCAGCTAGTGAATGAGCAAGTATTCAAGAAAGAGGCATAGCCGACTTAGAGAAGCTATACACACACACACACACACACACATATAGGTACAAGTGTGTAGCTCTCGTCCTAAGCGTGCAAGTGAGAAGTAGCACGAGAGCAAGTAAAGAAAGAGAGACGCTAAAGTGTGTGTGTAACGTGAGTGAGAGAAAAGATAAAGGGATGAGCTTCGGGAGTGTAAGAAAAGGATTTAAATTAGTGTATGAAAAGGGTTTAAATTCAATAACTATACTTAATACAGGTATTAAGTGTTTGTATCATCTGAGTTGATCTTTTATATCTTATTTTTAAATATGTTTAAATAAAATGAGCGATGTATGCCCACATTAAGTTATGCCTTTGTATGCATGTTGAAAAATATAAAGGAGCACGGTACATTGCAACCAAACTATCAGCACCATGTTGATCGACCTTTACTTTCACGTACGATTGTACGAATAAGATTGAGTGAACTGCGATGCGCAGAGCATCATTTCACATCTCACAACCCTTGATTATTTTGTCAATCTTCATTATAGTTTTCGCCTATTTATTAACCATGCATGCATGAGTTTAGGAAGGAATTAAAAAAAGTGAAAAGATCTTTTTTTTTTCATGTCGTCAATTCTTGTTCCTTTCTTTAGACCATATTGTTGATCCAGCTCGACGGCGAGAAATTTCAGCACACATTGATGCTGAGTAGTAGTGTCAACATTACATTATATACTTTTTTTAAATATTGTAAATTACTTGACTAAATATATATAAGAGTAGAATTATTATTTTTTATCTTTTTACAATAGTAGTATTAAATTATTAATGCTCAATAGCATTGAATGAGGACCGAAAATAAGCTTCAAAGCGAGAACCAATAAGTGAGATCTCATCTGATCTTCTTTTCGACATTAAAATTCCAGATTGGGTAAATTTCACTAATATATATATATATATATATATAGTTTACTAATTAATTACAATTTTACTTTCAATTTTAGGATGTATATATATCAAATTTCGTCAATGATACGTAATATGGATTTAATTCTTCTGAAATTTGGATTGATAAATTTTTGTGAAGTTTTCTATTTTCAGAAAGAGAGAAAAGATTTTATATTTTATAAAAAATAATAAAATAAGTGAAAATATTAACAAAAAATTATTTAAATTTACCAACCCCAATTTTAGAGGATTTAAATCAAACACAATATTACTAGTGTGCGATTAAGATTGACGTTACTGGTATTAAAGTTACGTTGTCTCTCTGTGGGCCAAAACTGAACGTGTGGGTACGCGGAATCAAAAGTTCGATCTTCATTTTTATATCTATCATTCCATTTTCTATATATTTTCATTTGTTTTCGTGGTTAGTACCCAAATACTTTGCCATTGGCTAGATCATACTTACAGAACTTAAGCAACTTAAAATCATACTAACGAAAAGAAAAAAAAAATCCAATTTCAAGTTGCAATATAATTTGTCTTGTTTTTGTTTTTTAATTAACATCTTGAAAATCAATATTATGTGCTGAAAAAGTGATACGTTCGAACCAAATAAAAAAATGCCTGGCTGAAAACCCACGTCTTTAGATTATCATAAATTAATCCATTTGTTTGGAAAAATCGTATAAAATTAATTACCTCATTGATATAGTTTACGTTAAATAAATTAATTTTATAACTTAAGATTGGGAGAAGATCATTTTTCAGTAGCGTCCAGCGAAATGTTCCTCAAATATAATATTGATAAAAGAAATGCATGTAAATAAATATAAAAAATGGTCTTTCTCTAAAATTTGTTCTAGAAGGTTACAGGAATATTATTTTGGAATGCTTCCGGTCAAAGTTACAAACCAATTCATGGTTTGCTGTTACAGTCTTCGAATGATCAATCTGTTGCTAAACCTTAATTACTTATAATACACACAATGGACTATATCAGCGACATCAATCAGGTGTAAAAGTTTGACACATTGTCTCGATATGACGTAACGAGTTAGATTAATGGCTGAAGAACTACTAGTTCCACAAATAAAACATTAACTCTGACCACTTAAGCTTGCCAAGTCTTCACCTGCCTCGTGCGATCAAGTGCGGTCAAAAAGTTGACCAAATCAACGCCTCATCTATATATAAATGCGCATGGCTTGCCATGGAACAATCTCATCCCTCCCTCGAACGCAAATACACACAAACAGAACTAAAAGAGTTTGATCAGTTTGATCTGAAAGGTTCAGAAAACATGAAAGCTGTTCACTTGGTCCTTATTATTGGCCTCCTGGCTATGGCATCTTCTGGTGCCTTGGCTTTTGATCCAAGCCCTCTTCAAGACTTTTGTGTTGCCATCAACGAAACCAAGACTGGTGGTGGTGAGTCGCTTTGTCTTTCTCTTTGCACTTCAGATCATTTCACATTTTTAGTGATATATAGTACTATTCATGCATGCATACAAAATTTTTCACAGTATTAATGTTTGTTTGCATCGGCAGTGTTTGTGAATGGAAAATTCTGCAAGGATCCCAAGCTTGTCTCTGCCAATGATTTCTTCTACGGTGGATTGAAACAAGGAGACACGTCTGGTTCGCTTGGCTCGGCAGTCACTCCAGTTGCTGTAAATGAAATACCAGGCCTCAATACAATGGGCATATCATTAGCTCGTGTAGATTTCGCTCCTAAAGGCTTGAACCCTCCACACACTCATCCTCGGGGAACTGAAATTCTTGTAGTCTTGGAGGGTACTCTTCTAGTGGGTTTTGTTACATCTAACCCAGAGAATCGTTTGTTTACAAAAGTGCTCTATAAGGGAGATGTATTTGTGTTTCCAATTGGTTTGATTCACTTCCAACTCAACGTGGGTAAAACAAATGCTGTTGCCATTGCTGGTTTGAGCAGTCAGAATCCTGGAGTCATTACCATTGCCAATGCCGTGTTCAAATCAAACCCTCCCATTTCTGATGAAATTCTCTCCAAGGCCTTTCAAGTGGACAAGAGCATAGTTGATGCTATTCAAAAAGGATTATAGATAGAAAATAATTAAGAGAAAGCACTAGCTAGTCACTCACATATTATATATAGTGGTATCATTGTTTTGATCGTTTGTAATAATTTGTTTCTGGGTTTGCACTACTACAATAGTGGATGGATCTTTGTTTCTTATTTTTGATGTTTAAATAAAATAAGCGATGTATACACACGTTACGTTATACATGCAGTCGTCAGCAGTGCAGTACATTGAGGGCTAAAGTTCTGTTGATATATATAAATCAACACAACCTAACCGATACATTTCGCAGGAAGATCTGCCATTCTATACTTCTACCGAGAAACTCTCCTTCAACGGAAATTTTGTTCTGATTCATGAAAACCGAAGGAGAACAATATAATTTGTGAACAACATATTATCTCGGTTCTGATAATTTTGGTTACATATATTATATTGAGTGAAATTTAATTAGCGTAGTTCAAATTACGATGTTGGTGGATATGTATCCATATATTGCTTTGATCACACACACACACACACACACACACACATCATCATCATCATCATCTCGATGTTGATCGAACTTCATGTTCTATTAGGATATCCACTTACAAGTGCATTTAAGCTAATTAATGAAAAAGTCACGTACCGAATAAAATTGAATTATATTTAATAAATATATATATAATAAAGTGAAATTATTTATAAATTTAAATTTTAAAATTTTGAGCTAAAATATATTGTTACCCCACCCATTTATTCTCCTCCTATTTTAATGTTGTCTATAACATCTTAAAAATAAAAAATGATGATGATGATGATGATAAAATATGTACATATATAATAATAATAATAATAAATTAAATTATAGGATACAATTATTATTTAATAATAATAGAAGGGAGGATAAGGCATGTAAAGCGTGTGTTTGTGTATCACCAAATTAAATAATATTATAAATCATTAATGAGGAGAAACTTGTCAGCTTTCCTTGTCCAAGAAGATAAAAAAATGCCTACGTAAAAGAGGATGACATCATGAGTCAAAAGGCTTCGAAAGTTCTAACAAGATAAATATTACACATAGGATTCATTGTAGAATGAGTGGACTATACATACACAAAAAGTAGAAATAAATAGGGTGTTTTCCTAATTAGTAAACACAACGAAAACAACCAAAAAATAGATAAGAAGAGAAAGGGAACAAAATAGAGCTCAAAAATAGAAAAGAAAGTAAGACTTTCTTGTACTCTTGGTATTGTAACATTCCCTTACTTCTTTAAAACATACGTACTTTAATCTCCTTAGAATCGTTTGTCTTTCATTCATACTGTTTTTTTTTTTTTTCATTTGTACTAAACTCTCTAACAGAATTGTTGGGAATATATATAAACTACTTTCAGACACACACACTACCAAATATGCATAAATGCTCTCCCTTTTTCACAACCACACACACATTTGTACGTAATATCTACACACACACACACGAATTTATTAAAGGCATATGATATTAATTTGATTGAGTTTTCTCCTTGATAAGGGTGGCACTGTTATTCAAGAACTTATAATTCACATATGCGGTTGTTTATTAAATATATATTATTTTAGACGATAAAATTGTGATCTATTTTAATTAACATTTTGTTTAAGTATTATTGTTATTATTTTTAGTTAGTTATTGTATTTATTTATGTATTTATGCATAAAAAAGGAGAATTATATTTCAAGAGCCTCAAAGGATTTCTATCAAGAGAATATTCATTAGATTAAAAGGTTTCATATTGTGGCCACACTGTGGTACACCCTAGCTACATGAATGTATTATTTTGATAAAAGAGCAAGGCTCCATTGTTTTATTTATGCATGCATGCATTGATAAATATTTCAGTACAGGGAAGAGAACTTATTTACTTGTTAAGCAGTGGGATCATTATTAGTTTAAAATTATAATTTTTGTATAATCCTCATTAATTTTCACAATGTGTCCAGATGCTGCTCACGCAAGTATTACTCAAAATTGATTGGATTATCATGTTCCAACCAAGAATTGAGAAAGACCAATCATATGAAATATAGTTATTGTAGACACTACTAATGTAATTCCACTTGAGAATTATCCTTTTACTCCACCTCCATTTTATAATTTTTATTCTCCATCTCAAAATGAATACTCACTTCCTCCATTTGAAGACATTTTATTGGCTCTAGAAGACATTTTAGCTCCCCTGCCAACTCCTGTGGACTTTTCAATTGTTCCTCCTCTACATGAAGATCAAGAGTTTCTGCTGAATCTGAATTAGCCTCCACCTCCGACCAATGACTCTTACGATTGTAAATATTATTAGATATCAATAATAATGGATTTTCGTTGTAATAATCTTATCTTTATATGACAATGTACTATAGCTTGTGATGATATTACTAGCATGTGATGATATCTATATTGAGTTAAAATCATTATTGAGTTTTTAATTATTAATATACAGTGAAGATATATATATACACACACACTTTAAGTTATTAATATTTGTACAGGTAAAATTATAAGAGAACTCGCACATAATGATTTATTTAATATTTTCTGCGAATCTAATTGTAAAATAAATAATAATAATAATAATAATAATAATAATAATAATAAAAGAGATATCACATTATCGCTCCTGTTTCTTACATCTTTATCTATACTTTGGGGAACTACACATTGATGTTGAATAGTGTGATTTTTTAAACTGCCTGAATTGTTCAAGTTATGTCGTTTGAATGTAATCAGTATTCTTCCTCAATTTGTTACTGTAAAACATAAAATAAATGTTGGTAATATGATGTCATAACCTCTTTATCTCCTTGGAACGAGTTCTCATTTCATCATACGGTGGGGGACAAGTATTTAATTAATTTGCACAAATCTGGGTGAGAGAGACTGCAAAACCATAACCCGCTTCTCATTTTATTATGGAAAAAATCAATCATATGCATTTAATTTGCACAAGTCTGGGTGTGGGATGTGAGAGACGAGACCAAAATGATTAACTCTAACCCACTTCTTATCAATAAATATATATTAACAAATCGCGTAGAAGGACTCTGATTGGTTATCATCATTGATTTAATACAAATTGCGTAGAAGGAATCAGATTAGTTATCATTGATTTAATCAACCTTAATACATTTTAAATTGTTTATTTGTCTATCTCAGTGTTAATTACCATTACGGGAGCATCAAACTTTTTAAAGGCAGTGAATGTTTTCCCCTGCCAATCTCATTCTTCTGGTCCTTTTCTCAGTGAGTCTTTTTCTCTCCCGAGCAATGAGTCCGAAGAAGTCAATTCTGCCAATCTCATTCCTTTGCTCTTCGAAGGTCATCGCTTTTTTTTCTCCTACAATTTCTGTTCGGCGTCGGCTAATGAAGCTTCGAAGGTCATCGCTTTATTTTCTCCTAGGGTTTCTGTTCAGCATCGGCTAATGTTTCAAAAATCATATCCTCATGCTTATAAAATGTGATCGTGGTACATTAGTAGATCCTTTTATCCTTTTAGCAAATCCTAAACCTCATAGTCATAGTCGCATTTATTACCTGAATTCATGAACCCCTCTTCAGTCCTTAATTTCCAAAACCCTCGTCATGACTGAACCAATTTCATCTTGGGATTTGACTTTCAGTGATTTAGCATTCGGGTTCAATAACCTCCCTGTCTTGTCTATGGATCAGCTTTTTTTATCTGGCATCGACCTCGCCATACCCACGGAAGCATTTGTGGTAGATCTTGCTGATTTAGCCATTGAGTTTAGAGAGCTGTGCTTTACGGAAAGAAGTATCTCACGCTGTGCTTTGTTGAAGGGAGTATTCCTTTGTCTTGAATTTGGTCAGCAGGTTTATTCTATCTATTCTTCCTTCCATTTGGATACTTTATTTATTCTTCAATTTTCCATTATTTGTTTTCTATTATGGGATCCAAGCCAACTAATTTCTTTAAAAACTTCAGTATCAAAGCCTCTATAGATTCAAATGTTTTTGTTAGAACTGCTTTAAATGATGTTTATGCTAAGTGCTCTTCAATAAAAGATGTAAATCAGGTATTTCAGAGCATACGAAAAATAAGTCCTATAACATGGAGTTCTATGGTGGCAGGATATGTACTAAATAGGTTCTATGAAGGCATCTTGCTACTGTTTCATAGTTCTCAATTAATAAGTTTGGAGCCAGATCAGCTTATGGTTTCATCTGCTATTAATGCTTGTGCAGGTTTGTCAACTTTGATCGAAGGGAACTTTGATCTCAAAGATCTATTCGAGGTTGCAATAGTAGGGCCCTTGAGATCTGATGATAATGTAGATACTGTGTATGTTCTGGTGGCTCTTTGGATTTCAGGGTCAATGATTCTATTCATTTTAGCCTTGATTATTTCCCTTTCGATGATCCTGATAATGATGAGCTTTAGTTTCATAACTCAAAACGCAGGTACATGTTGCAATATTATTGGTGTACGCATAACATTTGATCATTGTTCCTACTATTACAAATAATCAATTTGATGTAACATGATGTTGCAATATATATATCTATATATATATATATATATATATCAAAAGTTAGTGGAGGGCTTGCATGAACTGTATCTTGGTATATATATACATATATGAACTATGTACTGTACATGTGTTTTGTTTGTGAAGTCTAAATCAAAAAAGAAGATGCCAAAATTGGAGTTAGTGGAGCCCAAAGGACAAAAACGTATGGAGAGAGTAATTAATGAATTGAAGGTAGGCAGGAAAACACACACAGTTAGATCTGATCAAAGTCTTTGGCTCTTTGGTAAGTGACAAAATGGATCATTGTTAGAAATATATATATATATATATATATGTATGTATGTATGTATGTATGTATGTATGTAGGTGTATATATATATAAATAAAGTTGTTTTTATTTTTAAGTCCTTCCAAAACATGTTGTGACTTCCTCTTCAACACGTTAAAGCTATGGCATTAACACAAGTCCTGTAGAAGATTCTTAGATAGAGAGAGGTCTCTATTGTTCTTCTTCATTTTTTTCACTTTATTAATTATATGAATTGATAGCAAATGATGAATTGGCATGCTACGTAAGTCAAGGAACTGGAGCTAAGGCAAGTCCTTTCTATTGCTTTGAATAGTTGTAAATCTAGAAGATTATCAGCATGAGTAATCTTGTCTTGACTATCTAATCTTATACTTGCCTTTGTCTTCTGATAAATGTCTTTCTTGAGGTTATACTTTTAGATAGAATATATGTTCTAAACTTTTCAAATACAGACTATTAGAATCATTAATTTTTAATTATAAATTTATGCTATATCAGAAAAACTAGTTTTAATGTTTGATAGTAAGAATTAAATCCTAGGCACTTTGAAATTGGAAAAAAATAAATTTTGATTCCTAATACCAGTTTCAATACTTTACATAAGAAAATTAAATCTCAATCACTTCGAGAATTGAAAAGGATTAAATTCTAAAGATTTAAATTATTGGTTATCTCATTGGAACTTAGAAAACCATTCTTCTAGTATCCGTCTATTAAATTCGTAACTAATTGATTTTCCAACCAAAAGTCTCTCATTGTAGTGCCTCTTGAGAAATTGAAACATTCATTTTCTGATATTTCATGTACCATTTATCAATTTAATTTAATTTAATGATGTAGTGAGAATTATTTTTCTCTTATTCCAAACACCTAATAAATTACAATATGCTTCTTATTGCTTGCATGCATTTATAAAAGGCCCCAGATTTTATTACTTTACATTCTTTCCTTCCAAATATAACTATTCTTCTTTCTAATTCTTCTTAATCAAATTGTGTACTTGAATCATATAAGGCAAAGATGGAATTTGATGAGTATGACTTTGTTCAAGATAATAATGACTCCATGGAGACATGGTATATTGTCATAAGAGTTTTGAGAAAATGGCACATAAACTAGAAAAATTCCTCTTACCATATCTGGAACATTTCATTCTTGCTCATTGATGAGAAGGTATTCATTCAAACAATTCTGAAGAAATGTAGGCCATTGACATCTACGACAAATGTAGTTTACAAGAAAATTTTTCAAGATGTTGAATGAGGGGAAAAACAAGATGTTTTATATTAAATTTGAATAAATGTATCCATATTATGTATTCTTTGTGGAAATAATGCATTGTAAGAAAATGCAATCTAACCAATCTTCTTATTTGATTTTTATTAAAATCTCATTCTTTTCATAACTCAATAATGCATAATGGAATCATCAAAAATTAGATATTTTTAACCTTTACCTATAATTTACTATAGGATTGGGAAACAAAGATAAGATGTTAATAAGTCAAACATCCAAAAAGGAAAATGGCATGTAGAATAACACTTGAAAATATAACAATCTCACATCCATCTTTATCCATGGCATCAATTATATTTTTCCCAAATTCCTCAATTCTAACCCGTGCAACGCACGAGAAAGAGCCTAGTTTCATTATCATATATTGTATGTTTCTCACTCCTTCTTCATGCATGTCGTGCGCACTACCAGGATAGGTTTCCAATTTAATAAATGATACTTGATAAAATAGAAAAAATTAATACCCATTAACCTTTAGAATTTCATATCATTTCAATACATGTTCCTTAAATTCTAATATATTTGTATATATTTTGATTATTTAAATCAAGAAAAAATATGCATTTTGTATTGGATTTGCTCATTGAGCTTTATTGTGTCATCTTTGGCATAATTTATGCTATTTGTGTTTAAGGTCTAGTTGGAAGCATTTTTGGACCCTTGATGGTACTTTTGAAATGCTTTTGGATGAAGAAATCAAATGGAAAGACTAGTCATGTTAATTGGAAGAAGCATGCAAAACTAGGGCCAAAGTCGCGACTTTCATCTCTGTTAGAGGTTTTCTTTTGAAGAGCTTGAACAAGACTCTGATTTACTTCATCCCGAAATGTGAAGTCACTCAGTCTTTTAAGGACTATATGCCAATTAGTCTTTGTACAGTGATCTATAAAATCCTCCCAAAAGTTCTTGCGAGTAATATCAAGCAGATCCTGGATGACTGCATCTCGCCTCATCAAAGTGAAAGGAAGACTCATTTCAGAAAATATTTGATTGCTGAGAGCTTTTGCACTACATTCATTCATCGAAGAAGTGTGAAGGTAAATGGGCAGCGCTTAAGATTGACTTTTCAAAGGCTTTTGACAAAATTTCTTGGCCTTTTCTTCAGGCTGTTTTATCCGAAATGAATTTTCCTCCCATTTGGATTTCTATGATTATGCAATGTGTCTCCTCTGTGTCGTATCAGCTTTTATTAAATGGCAAGCCTTCCAAAATTTCAATCCAAAGAGGGGGATTAGGCAAGGAGATCCTCCATCTCCATATCTCATCATTATCTGTGCTAATGTCCTTTCTTTTGCCATTACAAAAAGCGAACATTGTAAAAATTGGGAAGGGATTAAAATTTGCAGGGGAGGAGAAGCTATGACTCATCTTAGCTATGCAGATGATACTTTATTATTTTTCAAAGCTGGGAAAATCCAATGCAAATGTGAAGGAAGCAATTGATGATTATTGTTTTTTCTCTGGTCAAGAAGTTAATTTCAATAAATCAGAGGTTATTTTCAGTCCCAATACCACACCTTTGTTGCGCTGGAATTTTAAACACTCGTTACTCTTCTTCTTTGGGCATATATCTTGGAATGTTCATTAATAATGGATCTAGAAAGCACAGAATTTTCAGGGATTTGATGCAAAAAATTCAAGCAAAGCTTGGAAGTTGGAAGATTTTGATGTTATCCCAAGCTGGAAAACTAACTCTAATCAAATCAGTTTTGGCCTCTTCCAGCATTTATCAACTTTCATGCTTCCTTCCACTAAAGAGCCTGGCGGCAAAACTTGATTCCATATGTGCGAATTTTTTCTAGGGTCCATCTTCTAATGGCAGTAATAAAATGCATTTTGTCCCATGGAAGAATTTATGCAAGCATAAGAGTCTGGTAGGTCTGGGCTTCAGATCTACTTATCACACTAATATGGCTTTACCTGCAAAGCAGGCATGGAGGATTGTTTCTGCAAATGCAAATTCTCTGGTGGGGAAGACTCTACAGGTTAAATATTTGGATTTTATTCTGAAGGGTGATTGCAAGCCTAGAAATAGATTCTCATGGGTCATGAAGGATGTTCTTAAGGTTTCCTTTTTGATTGCGAACAACCTAAAATGGCAGATTGGTGATGGAACTATGATTCCTTTAGACCATGTGAAATGGTTTCCTTTGCAAAATGACTCAGCAAATCATAATGTCACCGTGGCTAATCTTATTTATAAAGAACAAGCTTTCTGGAATGAACAGCTCTTATCTTCCCTTTATTCACGCCGAATCAAGGAGGAAATGTAAGTACATCCTTCTCCCTGTTTAGACAAGATGATCGTTTTATCTGGAGCAAATCAAATGATGGTGTTTATTAAGTCAAAGCTGGATATAACCCATCAGATGTCTCTGATTCAAATTGGAATTTCTTTTGGAAAATAGATTTGCCATTCCGTTGTTTACTGTTTATTTGGAGAATTATCAATGATGCTATTCCAACACCTGAGATTTTTCGTAGGCATCATCGTCAATGTTCATCCTTATGCCCTTTCTACAAAGATCAGGAGGAATCTTCAGATCATATTTTCCTTTCCTGCGACTTTGCCAGAGCAGTTTCGTTTGCTTCAACCTTTTTTTTTTTTTTCAGATCAAGTGATGTGGATAACATTAAAGTTTTCATCTCTTGCTAGGTTAAAACTGCTGAACCTAACTCCATCAATGTTCCTATTCACCAAAGAATTTTCCTCACTCTGCAAACTCTTTGGGATTCTAGAAACCTAGTAAAACATCAATCAAAAGAAATTCATCCTTTTCAGGTAATTCAAAAGGTAAAATGGTATACATCCTTTTTGTCCCTAACTTTAGATGAAATACCAAAAACTCCAAAACAGATGAACTCATGCAAAAGGTTAGAAATAGTTGAAGCTAAAGCAAGACCTGGTTGTTTTCTCATCATTGATTTGGTGAACAAAGTCATACTTTAGGGAGTAAATCGAAAGGACTTGACATCATTATATTCAGGGATTTTAATTTTGTCAATGCAAGAAGAAAGATTTTGGACAACGAATGGTAATCCTATTTTTTTCATTCTTAAAGAATTGAGATCTATTATCAAATGGATCACAGATTTGGAGGACTTTGGCCTGCTAGGCTTTTATGATATTACTCTAGTTTTCAAGGATCCCAAACTATTAGGAAATTTTTAGAGTAGAGCTGCAGTGTTCCTGGAGAGCAAAATGCTTTGGATTAATGTCAACTGCTTCTTGTCTCTGTTTCACTTTTGTTGGGTTGAAGGTTTTCCTCAGCGCTGGTCCCAGGGGTGGAAATCTTTAGATTTTAAGTTTTCTCATAATTTTTATTGTATTAACTTAAATAACTATTGTTTACCCTCTTAGCTTTGTTTGCAGTTGATCTTTAAATAAAAAAAATAAAAATAAAATATTGCGTTTTGTTTAGCTGAAAATGCTTGGGTGGCAACTTGCTCAACTCAAAACTTATTCTACACACTTGAAATCACTTTAGGAGTTTGGTTGTATTAGAGTTTTGGTTTTGGATGAGTTGGGTCCAAAAGTTTGAAGCTTTAAATGCATTTGAAGCTCCAATTTTTTTTTTCCAATTTCTTTTGTTTATTCTTCATTTTTCTTCTTGTAATCCGATGTGGCTGTAAATATTATGAATGGCTAAACTTTTTGCTTTACAATTATTTTGAATCATTGTATGAATTAATACTGATTTCCTCATCTCTTTTTTATGTTTAATGATATCGAAGTATTTATACTCTTTTTTTAATATTTTTAAGTGTTTAGTCACCATTTAACTTATACGTTTACTTAGGTGATATTTGAAAGGGCTAGCTTGAGTGTAAATTTAGTTAAAATAGTGCAAAAACTTAAAATTTGTATAGTGATTGAGTGGATGCTTTTGTTAGTAAAATAGAGATATACTAGCTAACTTTGCATAATCACTTGCTCATGATTTAAGAGAGTTTGTTTAAGTATTTTTAAAACTCTCGATTATCACTTATTTTTATTAAAAATATTTATGAAAGGAGGTTATTTTAGTGTTATGAAATGCAAAAGGAAATAAATAATTGTAGATCCCAATTTGTAAGTCCAAGAATTAATTATTTTTCTTTATTTTTTAATTTTAATATAATTTGCAAAATTAACTTTCTTCTTTAATTGTGTTTATCTCAACTAAACTGAATTTGCATGGTATTTGCTTGGTCACTTTTTTCTTTAAACAAATCTCCATTTCTATGATAGTTTACTCATCTTATATCAATATATTACTTGTCAAGACCTATACACATGTAGAGCAACAATACCTTTTAATAATTTTAAGTGTATCAAACTCCACGTTGAGAAGGATTTTTTTTTTCTAACTGATTTAGTTTGAATCTAAATTTATAGTATCTCATCAGTATAGAAACTTGATAGTTGTAATTTTTTTTTAAAAAAAGTCTTAAACAATAATTTACATGTTATTTTTTGGGTAAACAATCAGTTTAGTTATATTATTTAATTTCTACTTGTTTCTTAAAAAAAACTACAAGGATAATTTTTATAACAACTATAATTAAGCATCATTAGAACAACTTAAAATTCATGTGCACAAAGCATTATACTTGTATTATGTATTATTCATGAGCATAGACTTAATATTTAATTTGGAAGGTCAAAGTTATAAACCAGTTCATAGTTATAATACACCAAATGGACTATATCAGCCATAGATTTGGTAGTGTAAAAGATTGACACAGTGGCTCATTATGATGTAACAACTCTCCACAAATAAAATAATATTATCTATCACGCTCAAAACTTATGTTACTTACCAAGTCTTTACCAGCTTCGTGCGATCAAGTATATATATGGTCAAAAAGTTGACCAAATCAAGGCCTCATCCATATATAAATAGGCATAGTTTGGCACGCAACAATCTCACCCCTCGAACGCAAATACTCAAAACAGAACTGAAAATCTGAAAAGTTCAGAAAACATGAAAGCTGTTCACTTAGCCCTTATTGCCATCCTGGCCATGGCATCTTCTGGTGCCTTGGCTTTTGATCCAAGCCCTCTTCAAGACTTCTGCGTTGCCATCAACGAAACCAAGACTAATGGTGGTGAGTCCCTTTGTGTTTCTCTTTCCACTTCATTTCACATTTCTAGTTATATATATAGTACTCTACATTCATGCATGCATGCATGCATATAAACATCTTCACAATACTTATGCTTGTTTGCATCTGCAGTGTTTGTGAATGGAAAATTCTGCAAGGATCCCAAGCTTGTCTCTGCCAATGATTTCTTCTACGGTGGACTGAAACAAGGAGACACGTCTGGTTCGCTTGGCTCGGCAGTCACTCCAGTTGCTGTAAATGAAATACCAGGCCTCAATACAATGGGCATATCACTGGCTCGTGTAGATTTCGCTCCCAAGGGCTTGAACCCTCCGCACACTCATCCTCGGGGAACTGAAATTCTTGTGGTTTTGGAGGGTACTCTTCTAGTGGGTTTTGTTACATCCAATCCCGAGAATCGCCTATTCACTAAAGTGCTGTACAAGGGAGATGTGTTTGTGTTTCCAATTGGTTTGATCCACTTCCAACTCAACGTGGGTAAAACGAATGCCGTTGCCATCGCTGGTTTGAGCAGCCAGAATCCTGGAGTTATTACCATTGCCAATGCCGTGTTCAAATCAAACCCTCCCATTTCTGATGAAATTCTCTCCAAGGCCTTTCAAGTGGACAAGAGCATAGTTGATGCTATTCAAAAAGGGTTATAGATAGAAAATAGTTAATAAGAAAACTCTATCTCGTCTTGAGTTTGAGTTTGTAATGATTTTTTTCTGGGTTTGCGTATGACAATAATGTATGGAGCTTTGTATCTTGTTTAAATAAAAGAAATAAGCGATATATGCGCACATTATAAGTTAATTTTGCCTTTTTACATATATCATTATATTTGTCTACTCCTGCGTACCAAGTAACTCTACTACAACAGAAAATCAACTCCGATTTATGAAAGCTAAAGGAGAACAAATAATTTATTATCGAACATACATCTCAGTCAGTCTGACTATGAAAGCCAAAAGAAAATTAGTGTCTAAACTTTGTGCGCTGCAAAACAATGACGTTCTCGCGTGATATTATTTATCAAGTGTAAATTATGGGACAACATCTAAATAACAATATAATTTTTTCTTGTTACAAAAGTACGTACTACGGAGAATCAAAATGAACTCATGAATAACAATATTGCTTGAACACCGAAAATTAGCTTCAAAAAGCCATAGTCAACAAGTGAGATCACAATCTATTTTCTTTTCCATACAACAAATCCGTTTCAGTAAATTCCACTGATAATATATATATTTATGTGATTTTCTCAAAAAAACATAATTTTACTTTAACATAAATAAATTACAAGTTTACTTTGAATATTAGGATACATAACAAATTTCACTAATTATAATTTGCCATAGAAGCAATAGTTTTGAACAGGCCTACACTGATGAAGATTTAGACTCAATTGTTTCAATTGAACTCTTATCACAAAATGCAAATTCAAAGGATGATCAACATTTGGTTGATATAACCAAAATTGCTATGGCTCAACATCATCCAAAACTAATTGTGGAAGACCTTAAAAATGATCCAGAATCCATGGACGACAATTAGGCTAGATTAGATACTCATAGTTCTAGACTATCTTTTGAATGTTGATATTTGGGGTGGAAGCTTCATATACACTTCTTTTTCTAGATCTCTATTAGAAAGGCATTTTGAACATCCATCTAATGAAGAGGCTAATATGCTTAACAACAACAATGGCTAGAAGGTTGTGAACAAAAGTCATATAGGTAACAAGTGCAAAAGTCTCCTCATAGCCAACACCATACTTTTGAGTGAATCTTTGGGCCACCAAGCAAGCCTTACGTTGCTTCAAAGAGATGTCAGAATGAGTCTTGTTCTTGTAGACCCATCAATGCCTAACCATAGTTTTACTAAGAGGATGATCAACAAGATCCTAAGTATGTATTTTCTTTAGGGTTTGCAATTCATTATCCATAACTTGTTGCCAAAGGGGATTATGAGAAGCTTCCTTAAAGGATCTAGGTTTTTGAAACTAGAGAATGGTGAAAAAATAATGGTAATCATTGAGGTAAAAGGGCGAATTTCTTACATAATTGGGCAAGAGTTTATAGACGATATGGGCTTAGTTGGCTTGACTTGTGCTAGAAGAGCATTAGGTGTGACAGTAGAAGAATCCTTTAAGGAATGGGCATATCTGGAGCAAGCATAACGTCAATCGTGGAAACGAGCTGATTAGAAGAATCTGTACTTGAATTAATGGGAAAACGATCAATAGAAATATTTGTAAAAATAGGAGGTAAAGAAGATGAGAATGATGAGAGATCAGTTAAAGATGAAAACTTGATATTTTCCTAAAAGACAACATGCTAAGAAATACGAATGTGGTGAGAAGGAGGATTCTAATAACAATAACCCTTATACTCAAAATCATAACTAAGAAAACAACATACACAAGAATGAGCTTGAAGTTTGTTTGTCTCATGAGATAGAATAATAACAAAACAAGCACAAGCAAAAACTTTTAAAAGACTACAATCGGGACGATAACCATAAAGACACTCAAAAGGAGAAATGTTACTGGTGACGGCAGATAGGATTCAATTGATGCAAAAGATAGAGGTTAAAACTACTTAATCCCAAAACCATTTAGGACAGGAAGAGAAAATGAGCAATGGTGTTTATGCTTAGTACGCATGATATTCGAAAGCATTATCATGATGAAAATTTTTGATAACTTTAGAATACTGAGTGTGAATTATAGTAGAAAATTTGATATAAAGTTCAGGTAACTTATATTAATATTTCATCATATAAATTCAGATAAAATGAGAAAAGTCATCAACAAAAATCACAAAATATTGAGATCCTCCTATGGAGGGAGTAGGTGCAGGATTCCAAACATCAAAATGAATCAAATCAAATAAAAAAAACAGCAATAGAATCATTTTTATGAAAAGACATAGCATGTTATTTAGCAGTCTAACAAAAAATGCATTGCAAAGAATAACTATGAACATCACCTAAAAGATTACTAGAAATTAAAGAATGCAATTTACTTATAGAAGCGTGAGTAAGACAATGATGTCATAAGTTGAGAGAAGAATTAGGAGAAGAGGATGTGGAGGCAACACATAATGTGAGAACATTGATCTCAAGTAGGTGCATTGAGGTGAGCTCAAACATGTGACCAACTTTGCATCCAATCCCGACAACTTGCCTCGTATAAAAATCCATCACAACACAACTACATTTATTAACCCATATCAACAAGTTGTCCAATAAAAAGAAGGTTAAAGTTAATGGCAAAAACAAAATATGTATCATAAATAGATAGAAAAGGCAAGGAGGCAGTACCAATATGACTAACAAGCATGTGAGAATTATTAGCAGTATATATAGGATGGGCAGTAGAGTTAGATGCCATAAAGAAGAAAAAATTTTCTTGACCTATCATATGATTGTAATAAGCAAAGTGAAAATACCAAGTGAATTTATTGGTGAGAGTAGATAAGGTAGCAAATAGGCTAGAGGAATTAGAGATGAACGTGTGTAACAGAGTTTCAA